GCTTGTGTAACAGTTATCAAAATTGTTCCTCTCATAGGGAAGAGGAAAATAACTGCATATGTGATTATAATTTTATCATTCTCTTTATGGTTTCAAAGACAGGCAAAAAGTGCTTGATTTCTAGAAGTCTGACAAACTTCCTTGTCAAGTTTTGTTAGACGTTGGAAATGAGATACTATTGAGAAGGCAGATTCCCAAGAATAAATTTGTAGTTATTTAGATGGAAATAGCAGTAAGCCTGTTATACTGTGAAAATTTATGATAAAATTTATGGTGCTGTCCTTCCTTTTTCATTTTCTAATGTCTCACCTTTATTCTCTTACACATACTTTGGTGTCTAATGTGTGCTTAGAATATTTAGTGGTGAAGAAAAACTTTCAAGGTTCATACATTTTTAGGGATTTCATTTTAATGGGGATAAAAATTAAGCAACAATTACACGAATAAATGCTATTTTAATTCCAACCATGGGAATGTTCATGTAGTATTTCCTTAGCTTAAAAATACAGTTTTCCCCAAATTATAGGCTGCTTAAATGTTGAAATATTGAAAATTATAGAGTGCTTGAAATTCAAAGCACATTTTCCCATAGAAGCACTGATATAAAGCGCTCTTATGCACTTCCATGAAATCCTATTTAATCTAAATGTTACTAAATGTATGTTTGTAATTTTGTTTTTCTGGGAAACTTCTTTCAACATAGTGGGACTATGGATCTCAGCAGATAACACGGTATTTTAAAAGTTAACAGAGATGATACTAAAAAGAGAGAGCTGTGAATGGAGGTGATCCGACTCTGGACCTAGGTGGTGAGTCCAGGGCCTCCTAAGGTGTGCCACTGGCAAAGGAGACTGTGTTTTGGGCTGTGTTATTATTTATATTCAGATAAGGAAGACAGAAGATGAAGATGGAAGTAGCTGAAAGCTGATGTTATGTTCAGTGATACATGTTCTAGTAGGATATAGAAAAAGCATGAGAGAGACCATTAGGAGAAAAATACTCAGAGATAAAGAGAAAAAGAAGTGATGTGATATTTTTGAGGATAGTTTTCTGATGAGGTGACTGAACCACAAGAAAGGATTCCTTTAAGATCTAAAGGTTGAGCATAATCAATCACAGGTATGATGAGGTAGTGTGGAATTCAGAGGAGCACGACTGAGTTGTGTAAGAATGGGAGAGGAAATGAAGAAACTGGTGAATATTGTTAGTACCTTGTAGGATATGGCAGTGGTATTTGTAGAAAGCTAGATAAAAGAGTTGCCAGAAACCCTTATGCTTGTAGGTCTATTAGAGATGAAGGAACCAAAGTTTCGTGGTGGAAATTTCATTTTTATTACCATAGTTATTTCTCCCATTGTTTGCTTTCCTTTTACAGGGACCTTTGGTTTTAGTAATTTCTTAATCCTTTAAAAATCACCAGATAGTCTTTTCTTTCTGATATTTTTTTAAACAAATACCATATCACATGCATTTTTTATAACATGGAATTCTAAAAATTTGTAAAAAGCGATTTGGAAATTTTCAAGAAAGCAGATTCCTAGTTAAATTGTTGACTGAGGTTTATATTTGTATCTAGACAGTTTAGTTCATATTCCTTTGACCTGATTATTCTCTACATTCTAAGCAATACTATATGCTTGGTGTTTGAATTTTTTTTAGTAAAACATTTGATTATATGTTTTATAATGTCTTATCAGAAAAAATTATTTTAAGGAAGAAAATCTAAACATCCTAATAATAATTCATATAACTGTACATTTTTCTTGGCTCAGGCTAGATGTGGAGCCAGAGCTCTAGTCTCTTAAGATAGGGACTGGGGCCGTAACTCAGGGTAGTAAGAGCACTTGTCTAGCATGCAGGGATCCTTCAGTTAGATTCTCAGCACTGGAAAAAAATAACCAAACCAAAGCAAAACGAGATTATGTAAAATGCCAGGCAATTATGCTGTCATATATAATAGGTATTTTTATACTTTCTCTCTACATTTTTTATGAATCATGTTTTTTATTTACAGCTTACATGAGCTATTATTATACTGAATAGGAAAAACAGCACCTTATTTGCTCTTGAATTATTGTAAAAAAAAATTGGATAGCTAATACTATCTTGCGTCAGAACTTCCTGTTTAAAATACTTCAAAAGGAAAAGTATTTTCTTCTCAGTTAATTTAGAAATAAAGGGAAGACAAAGGCATTGATGCTATTCTGTAAATTTCCTGTTTAAGCTCCATGAAGGAGGGCAGGAAGGACACTGAAAAGACTTAGTATACCCACAAGTTTTGGGTCTTTAAGCTACCCTTTGCTCTTTTATCACGCTTCATATGGCCTAAATTCTGTTTAAATTTTTAGAGAGCAGAAAATAGCAGCTCTTTGTATCCCTTGATTGTTCTTACAACAACTTTATCAGCAGATAGCAACTGGCCTTGTTTGCCCTTCTCCAGCTGAAGCTTTCCATAAGTAAACAGCTTCTCATTCCAGAAAACAACTGTGGTAGTGTTTTCCTGAGAGGCACACTGGTCATCTGTTATTATTCTGTAAGAGTTGTGCCTTCCACATTTTAAATTACATATTTTGGGTGCTTAAAAATTTTCACTTAAGTTTTTCGCTTAAAATTAGCTTTGGTGACTTTATGTGTCTCATTTGTCTAAAAAAATGTGAGACTTTGTTACCTTTTTTCTATCATTGGATAGATAGTGTTATAATACCTAGAATATTCTAGTATCTAAACAATCCTAGTATCCAGAACTGTAGATAGTATCTAGAATTCTTTTCCAGCTTTTTTTTTTTTTTTTTTTTTTTAAAGAACAAAGCCTAACTGTGTTTTTCATGTAAGATTGAATCTTCTTCCGTTTCTTCTGTTTTTGGGTTGTGGTGGGTAAGGACGAGGCCCCCCTTCTTCTCTGATGCTGAGAGTTTGTCCTGGGAGACACTTCAAGGGGAAAATAGATTATAGAGCTGGTGGCTGCGAATGTCCCCCTGGCAGACTTTTTTTTTTTTTTTCCTTTTTCGTTTTTATCGGTACCAGGGATTGAACTCACGACTGCCTGCTTGCAAGGCAGGCCTTATGCCACTGAGCTAAATCCCCAGCCCCTCCTGGCAGACTTTTTAAAAACATCATTCGTGATTGAGCTAAATGCAGCAGACTCTTTGTGTACCAAATGGCAGTATCACAAAGGTTTGGGAAATGAGCTTTTCAAATCCAGGATAGATTTTTTTCATGGAAGCAATAGCATAAATGTGGGTTATGAAATAAGTCTAATCTGCAACAGACTCTCCAACAGTTGAAACTTCCATCAGATCCCAAGGGAGTTAAATTAAATTGGTGGGACGAACTCTTGTGTTGGTGTCACATGCAGATACTTACTTTAAAAAAGACCTCGGGCAAGACTTGTAGAAGTTTTGAATGGGTACCTTCACTGTTTTCTGAGATGGATCATACTGTGCCTGTCACATCTACTTTAATTTTAAAATACCAAATGAAATAAGAACTTCTGGTAGATATGTTTCTTCAGATTTCTGGATGGTCATATTTGTATATTCTAAAATATAAATGAGATCAATAATGGATCCTTTTCTCTTTGAAAAGTCAACATCTTAGCATTATTATAAGTGTTTATTTTAAAGAAATACAATATATAGTCTTTTTTTTTTTATTGGTACCAGGGATCGAACTCACAACTGCCTGCTTGCAAGGCAGGCGCTTATGCCGCTGAGCTAAATCCCCAGCCCCCCCATGATATATAGTCTTTACATAGTACATAAACTAAAGCACATTTATAGGTGCTATCCTCCTTATAAATTACACTTCAACATGATACAGGGCGCCCACATTAGTCATTTGATTTGTCCCCTTATGTTAATTAACTTATTAGTAATTTTAACCATTTCTATTCAGAACCTATTTTAGACACATTAACAGTTTTTAATACTTATTTATCTAGCTACAGGAGCTTAGTAATTGTTTTATATGTGGACACATACGAATGCCACTGCATATATTTTTAGAGGGAGGGCAGAGGAATGGGTAGACTGCAAGGAGGTTTTATGATGAGCACTTAATATGACACAATTAAGAACGTGTGTAAACTCCTTTTTCCTTGCCTGCCCTATTTCCATTGTCTCTAAGGATGTAAGATTGAAAAGCATTGAAAAGGAGGAGACAGCTGGGATATATGAGAAAATGCTGCACAGATCAGCTAGGGAACAAGTGTGTGAGAGTAGTAGCAACGCAGAGGCATGTAGACCGTTCCTTTCAGCCCCTGACACTGCAAAGCGGAAAGCCTGTGTCTTTATACTAACACAGCTACCCTATCAGCAGCATGCGCTGTTCCACAGTGGCACTTTCCTGCCCATGGCTGCTGGCTGTCAGGCACAGGGGCAGCCTCAAAGGGACGCTCTGAAAGGAGAAGTAGAGTTAAGAGTGTTTGTAAGATTGGTATTTTAACTTGCAAAGTTATTTTCAATACAGAACTCAGAAATGCTTGAAACCAAAAAAAGATCAAAGAAATATTTTGAATTTTAACTCCAAAATGTCCTGATTTTGAGTATGAGCCTTTTATTTTTAAATTTCCTTTTTGTCTTTTTGAGACAGGGTCTCTCTCAGGCAGGCCTTGAGCTCACTTTGTAGCCCAGGCTAATCTCACATTTGCAAGGATCCTTCAGCCTCAGCCTCCCAGGTGCTGGGATTATAGGCGTGTGCCACCATGCTAGCTCTTTAATTGTATTCTAAATGTATGATGCTTTTAATGCTAATCTGAAAACCAATAGGAAAAAACGTTACATGTGCATAAGGGACAGCAATGCATTTTACAAGCCCAGTCCATCAGCCGGCCTGTTGTTTTAACCACATGTGTTAAGTTAGCCCTTTTCTAAAGTTAAATTGTACTTTTAAGTGTGTGTTTTAACCACTTACAAGGTATACTAGGATGCACAATTTCATGTGCACTGCAGCATTAAAGCTGATTTGCCATTATTCCAATCCTTTCATTGCTATTTATCTAGGGGATAGTGATCCTAGAAGAAAGTCAGCTTCCAAAAGATATTTTGAAAAAACAAATACAGTTTGCAGAGCAAGCAGCTTCCCTAAGCACTACAGAGAATCTTCAGGTTTCCCAGAGGAGTCAAGAGCCTTTGCCAGAGCAAGATTTTGAAATGTCACCAAGCAGTCCAACACTTCTCCTTCGAAACATAGAAAAACAGGTAAAGTGAGAATAAGTATATGTGGTATGAAATGACATTTTATTGACTTTATAAATTATTCAAATGAATACCATTATATGTGCATTTGTTAAGGGGTAATAAAATTGACTACTTGACACTGCATAAAATTAAAATATTTGGTATATGTACATGGTTTAGCTCTTCTTGATACAATTAGAATTATTTAATATGTAATTAATTGTTACATATCCGTTAGGAAATAGTTCATTTATACTAGGTTTGGAAAGTTCTCTTTGAACAAGGCTGTTCATCACTGTACTTACTTCAGGAAGAAAGAACAGTGGTTCATCTGTGTTTGACTAACTGAATGAAACTTTCACTGAAGAACAATAATGGAATAAGAGTTTTTTTATAAAAATGATATGGAAAGTCAAAGAAGCCTCTAACAGATTACTTTAACTCCAGACCCTTGTCTGGTCTATAAATCCTATTATGGGTGACTCTAGAGGCTGAATTATTTTGTAATAGCTGTGCCTGTCTGTTTATATGCTTTGCAGCGAAGCAGAATCTGCCAGAGCAAAGCCAGTCTTGACCACAGCTGCATGGTATCTTGCTATCCTGGGAAATAACACAGATTCAAACCTGTCTACATCTGATTTTTCTGAATTTTTATAATATAAACTGTTAATGATTTAGTACTAGATTCCTAGCAAACCAAAAATACTGTACAGATTTGGTAGGATTACCATTGCCTAGAGTTTTATTTTCTTCCAGTATATAATCAAAGCACTTTTGTGAATATTTGTAATTAAGTTATTTAGTAAGTATTTATTCTCATATGCTTGCTTCTCTGTTCACTTTCCTGCCCTCATTCCACAGGCTCCGTCCCCTTTCAGTTTGGCATTAGTTGCTGCATACTCTAGAATAATTTATTTGCTTTCTCAGTTAGACTTACTTTCTCCACCTGTTGGTCATTAGTTTATTGGAAACTAAGCTGAGGAATCCATTCGCCTCTTTCTCTCCACCCGTCCACTTCCCTTCCTCCTCATTCCTTCTTCCTCTTCCCTTGGAGACTGAATCAACGCTTTTAACTAAGCTACATCCTCAGCTCTTTGTTTTAAGACTAGGGATTGCTAAGTCACTAAATTGCCCAGGCCAGGTTTAAACTTAGATCCATTTTCCTCAGCCTCCCCAAATGTTGGAATTGACACATATGATACCTCTTCCAGCTTAAATTAATAACTAGTACAATAAATTCTAGAGGAGTTTCTTGTTTTCTCTCCTTAGTTTCACTAATTTTGTTGGACCTGGTAACAGTCCTGATAACATCAGAACTGAGCTGTACAATGCAAAGTGCAGCTGCAGATCCCTTTATTAAAAACGTTTAAGAATTTAACAACAGTGACAGCAGGTATTGAGCAGCACGCGCATAATCCAGTGCTTCTGCACAAGCTGCATGGCTACCATTTGCCATCACTGAACGTAATACCGGATAGCTACAACTTAAAGGTGGAGAGGTTCATTTTGGCTCCTGACTTCATTTCATAGTGGGGGCTCCGAGACAGAAAGAGGCTGGCAGGGGGCATGACACAGAAAAAAGGTACTCAAACTCTGGCAGCCAGGATACACAGCTAAGGGGGAAGCGGGGGACAAAAACACACCCACGCAGGTCACAATCCCAGTGACCTACTTCCAACTAGTCTCCACTTCCTAACACCACATTCAGGTACTAAATGTGCAGTGGAAGACTCCACTGAGGAATATAGTGCCACCACAGTTCAGTCACCTCCCAAGCACAAGAGAATTTGGGAGAGACTTAGAGCTAAACAATAACATTCCAGCTCTCTTTTCAGACTCAAAGGATACCGTTAGCCATGAGTCCTTGTAAAAATCAGTAAAAAAGTTTAACGCTGCAATCATACAGTCGCACAAGATAAACACTTCCAACAATACATTGGCACACTCCAACACACACTTCACAGTCCAAAAGAGAAAAATAGGAATATAGAAGGAATCAGACCACAGCAAGACCACAAAAAAACCTAGCAGAGCAAACATTAAATCCTATAGTTGTATGTCCAGTACCTAGGGACGGTTGTTGTGAGATCTAAGCTCCAAAGTTTGGCTTGGGCAACCCCAATTTCTACAAAAGTCTTACTAGTTGAAGCTCACACATGGTCTGTCTCTTGGGCTTGGTCCACTCATTGCCTGTGGCTTTCCACAGGAGATGGTCCATGATGCTGGTATTCCCAGCTTCCTGGGCTCTCCACAACACCTTGGCCTTCACTTGCATACCTTCACACACTGTTCTCACATGAGCTTCTGCCTGGACTCCAAGGCTTGTTCTAAAACCTGAGTGAAACTTTCATGACCCTGTAACTCTTATATTCTGAATACCTGAAAAAATAGCACTATTTGGATAATACAAGAGTTGGCTGTCACCATGGGTAGTAGCCGGACTCTTTTGGATCATGGCTGCAGCATGAGAATCAAATTTGGGGATGTTTTCCTAGGTGACCCTGAGTGAGCAGATGTCCCAAGGAATCTCTTCTTATATGCAAGATACACAGTTTTAAACCCTTGGTCTTAGGATGGGTAAGATCTTGTTGATTTCTGAGATAACCTCAAGATCTTTTTGTTTTGTTTTGTTTTTGGTCCCTGTACACAATATTTTACTTTTCAGTATTAATCTTTTCAGAAACCATGCTCCTCTTTGTACCAAATTTCTAGCAAAACTGTACAATTATCAGTTAGTTCTGCCTTTTCTCCTGGTTCTTACTACATTAATGGGCAAACCATCCAGCAGTAATCCTGTTACAGCTTGAACATTGAGTTGCCTGGAAATTTCTTACACCATAGTAGTCTGTTTCCTTTATTTACAGTTCTCCATAGTCTCAGTTTTTCTGGCAGAGGGCAACACACATGGTCTCTAGTACAGTTGTCAGTGGAGTCCTTATTCTCCACTGAAGTCTCTTGGGCCTGACCTTTACTGTCCATACTCTTACCTATATCCTAGCCTTTTGATCTCTAATCGTTTCACACACCAAACAATGCTCACAACATCACAGAGCTATAGCTCACTCTTCAAATACTTAAAACACCTGAAAACTAAAGGCTTCTGAAGGCAACACCTTCATTTATAATACCAATTTTCAGTATCAGTTAATGGAGGAAAGGTTTGTTTTGGGTCAGTCCAGTGTCAGTTAGCGTCAGGGCAGAAATGCGTGGCCGAGGAGAGTGAGAAGGAAGTTTCTCATATGATGGCAACCAGGAAGCAGAAAGAAAAGGGAGAAACTTCAGCTGATAATACACCCTTGCATTACACCCCCAGTGACCTACTTTCTCTGATCAGGTACCACCTCTGAACCTGACACTCTTGGGGGGACCTTTTAGGTAACATTAAGGAGCCTAGTAGTTGTGAGACTAAAAGTCATGGCTTAACGTAAGGAGAGTAGGGGAAAAGTATTTATGGGTTTTTTTTTTTTTTTTTTTTTTGAGACATCGTCTCACTATGTAGTTCAGGCTGGCGTTGAACACTGTGTAACTGAAGCTGGCTTCAAACTCAGGATGATTCTCCTGCCTCAGCCTCCTGAGTGGTGGGATTACAGGCACGTACTGCTATGCCCAGCCCAGAGGAAAATAAAAAGGGTCAGCAACAATCACTTGTAGAGGTCACTAATAAATTGCCTGTCAACAGGTTGTTTTCTTAAAAGGTGATAATAATGCTTTACAGGTCAGTTCTTTAAAAATTAAGTTATTTTCAACTTTTTTAGGGAAGACAGTCTGAGTGACTTAAGCATTGAGGGTGGCAAGCCCAATATTATGCCTATTTTTGTTAGGGTAATCTTTTGTCTTGAATGCTTTAATTCTATAACATGAACAGCTATTTCTAAGACGACAATGTGTAACTTATCAACCAGCAATTTCTTACCGTTTGTTTTTCTGTAAGTTTGTATTATTTCTACCCTTTTTTTAAAATCTCCATGTATTCTCTTGTTTCCTTTTCTTTAAATAAAAAAATAAAAAAAACCAAAAAACATAATTGTATTGTTGAGTTGTACACTGAAATATATACACTTAAAGCTGATTAATTTTTGTTTTCAGAGTTGAAATTATGTCTCTCCTAATTTTTATGGTGCATTTCCTACCTCCTGTGTGGGTTGAGGTATAAATTGCTGGTGGTTAAGGTAAAGCTGGACTATTCAGGTGCTGTCCTTCTGATTCAAGTGTCACACACTTGGCCAGCAGTGTCCCACCTGGCTTAATAGATCTCTGACGATGATGTATTTGAAGAGAGAATAATGAAAATAGGATTTTTATGTTGCAGACTGAAAAATGATTTACTTCATTAATGTAACTGAATGACTAAACTAATGAATACTTGGTAAACAGATAAAGAATTTATTGATATTGATGAATTTGGAAATGAACTTTAATCAGAAAAGTATCTAACAATTTTCAAGATGAACTCATTAACTGCATACTCTAAGAAAATAAATGAGAACATTATTGGAATTTTTTTCATGAAAGAAACTTAAAGACCCAGGTTAGGTTATATTCTTTGTCTCATTATTTTTAATGACATATTAGTTTTGTGCAGATGACTTTATTTAGCAGGCTTATATAAATGTATTATTTTGCAGTTAATGAAAACAGAAAAACAGGTTTTAAATTAAACTATTAAAACTCATATGCATATATGGTTCTTTTTTGTTTTTAGTTGGTTTTACATGTTCCAGAGGATAGGATTGGTAGATGAAGAAATCATTAAAAAGGATATGGAAAAGGGCAGATTCTTTTAAAATACAGTTAGTTTGTAACGGAAAAATCAATGTGATGTAATTAATATATTTATGAAAATATATTCATTTGTACAGTACATTTTGAGAGATACCAAGCGTTGACTAGCACTTAGGTCCGAGAGATGGCTCACATCCCTTGCCTAGGAGGAGCACAACGCTGATTGTTTTCTTGCAGAGCGCACAGCTGACGGAGATCATCAACAGTTTGATTGCACCTCTCAACCTATCTCCAACTTCATCACCCCTCTCCTCCAAATCCTGCAGCCATAAGTGTCTCACTAATGGCATTTCCAGAAGGTAGGTATCAGGGAGCCAGGTATGCTTCTAAATGGCTCAGGTTGTGGATGGCGCTGTGGGTGGCAGTCCCTCTCTTGAGTGTGAGAAGTTGGGCCCATAACATGCATCCTAAGGGGTCTGACTCTGAAAGTGCTGAGATGAAGTACACTGGGTCACATGACTCCCTCACTGCCCACTTCCAGCATGGAGCTCAGTGGCCTGTTTGCTTTGTCCACCCACCAGTGTAACTAGCAATACACTTTACCTGGAGGTTGGCACATTCCTGGGTATGTGCACCAGGGCTCCAGAACAGCAAGTGGTGCAGCTCAGGAGCATGCAGGCCATACAGCTGGCGGGGCTGGGACACACCTAGCTGAGTGAATTAAGGGAGAGGATGAAGGCTATGAAGGAACAATTAACAGTGATTCTGAAGATGAACCAAACAGAAATTCTGGAAGTGGAAACCCCAATCAGTTAAATATTGACCAAGCAGAAGATAGTAAATGAGGTTGAAGAATTCTTACCTGCAGACACTTAACAGAGAAAATATAAAGAAATTATGGACTAAACAACCAAGAGCTCTGATCCATGAATAAAGGACTGCCCTTTAAAAATTTTGGTGTAGAAGAGGGTGCCAAGGCTTACACAAACGGAATAGAGTATCTGCTTTATGAAGTTATAACAGAAAACTTTTAGAATCCATAGAAAGATACAGATCTACAGGTATGAGAGGCATTTAGACTCCAAGGAAGCATGGCCAGAAACTGCCTGAAAATGTCAGGAGTACAAAACTGGGAAAGAATAATGAAAGCTGGAATAGAGAACCACCACGTCATTTATACAGACAAATGTGTCAGGATAATTGTAGACTTCTTTGCAGAAACTCTACAAAGGCCAAGGAAAGCAAAGAATGATGCACTGCAGTCTCTGAAAGAAAATAACTACAAACCTTGTTTTATGCTTATTTAGGCTAGACTAGCTTGTGAGCTTACCAAAACTGAGACTGAGGCAAGTGCATAGTGCCCATAGGTATGGGCAGATGTCACGTTCTGATACAAAGCCTGCCACCAAACGCAGCTGTACTCCTGAAGTTCTCACTAGCCACTAGAAAGCCTGCTATCACATGCAGCTTGTCATTTGCCACTCGCTGTGTATGGGGTTTTAATATGAGTCTGCAATCAATTGATTATGGTCTCTGCGCAGTCCTTTGCTACTGTTCATCTATACCTTCACCTACTCCCCAGCACTAACATCAGTACCTCAGCTCCACCTCCGCTCTGGCATTAAATTCTCAAAGGGAACATGCAGCCTAGATCCCTGACTTGTACAGTTCTCAGGAAGGTTGTGGAAGGTTGTGTCCCGTGAGAACGTTAACACTGACACTGTTCTCACAGGATGATGGGGAGCAGCTTTAAATACAGACAAGCTTTGCTGTCTTGCCTGCTGGCCGCCTCCTGCTGTGCAGGCTGGTTCCTCACATGCATTGGGCAGTTGTTGGTCTGGGGCCTGAGGCCTGATTTATAGGCTTTTGTGATTTTTGCTATTCTCCATAGTTGAGGTTGCCAGGTTGGTAAACTCATAAGTGAAATACTTTAGTTCTATTAATAAAGCACACTTATTCTAGCCTTACATCACAGTATGTCACAACTTCTGTATGAAAAGAAATATAAAAGTTTGAAGTTTGCCCACCTTGATATTTTGTGCACCATATAGAACTTACTGTGTGATATATTTTTTAAAAGTGGTAAAGGCCATTTTTATAATATCCTAGTCTGTTCGCACAGTGTCTTTATGGTAAATTCATCTGGTTAATTATTTTCTAGAGCCCTTGTTTGCACACTTGTTATTCATTGATTCCTAGGTCCTATTTCTTACTTAATGGTGGTTTTGTACCAGAAAAATGTTAGGGTTGATTTTTAAGCTTTATTATTCTTGGCAATGGGGCCTGAGATGACTCACTAGGAACAGAACAACTAAGACTGATTCTTTGAACACTAAAGCTTTACATTGTATGACTGTAAAAATAGTTACAAATTTTTAGATCAGATACTCTAGCATGAAGATAAAATGTAAATTGATCCTTGTTTAGCCCATGGGTATTATCTCTGACAGTGTGAACTCTGCCTGTCTGACATGTGCTGACATTTTTGTTGCTTGTTTTTGCCTAAATGAATGTCTCAGTGCGATAGAAAATTAAATTCCAGTGACTCACTGCCATGTTACTTATTTCCACGAATGGTAATTATTCCACATGAAATGCAACCACTCATTTTAATCGAATATAATAATTGAAAACTGCAGTTAAAAATGGCAAAGTAGTCATACAGTCATTCTTTTATCCTCACAGTGTTCTCAGTAGTCACTGCCCAGCTAGAAGCTAATGTTGTTAGCATTGTTCTCCAAACCGATGTTTTTGTAATACTATAAATGATATTAATTACTGTATTAGCTAGGTGAATGGCATCAATAGGGAAATAAAACTTCCCCTGCTGTGTTTTTTAAAGTAGTTCCAGTAGCAACTATTTCGCTTACTTTCTCCTTTTACATCTAATAAGTCATATCTAAAATTTAATGTTGTATAGGGATATTTGGATAAATTGTGGTACAGCTACTGGATGTGATACCATAAAACTAATAAAAATTGTGTAGAAAATGTGTAATCACCTGGAGATACATTTAGTTTGGAATTTTAATTAGAAAAATCAGGATACCAAATTATGGTACAGTATTATTTTTAGAAAAAATACTTGAAGGCTTTAAATCAAAATTATAATACAGATTACTTTCTGCTTAGCTTTATTTCCAAGTTTTCGTTAAAATGAAAAGTAAAGGTATAACACACTTTAGACCTCACTTCTCGGGCAGAAATCTACTGCTGTTATAGTAGCTTCCTACTTCCTTTGCATTTATCCTTTACGAAGTTGCACTTGTGCCAGAGGTGGAAATGCAGACTGTACTGCAACCGTCAGGCCCTTCTGCCCTGCAGTCTGTACTGTAGAAAGCGTTAGACGTACAGAGAGAATGTGATTAGCACAGCTGTTCCTTCCTTCGTGACTCTCAGGACTTTGCTTATTTCAGGTATTCTTTTTCCTGACATTATTTTCCCGTCTAGAGAATTTTAACAAGTAAATCCTAGTGATTCTTAATTATAAGTCGTTCTGTATGTTTCTCTGATAAGCTTTTTACACATTTAGTGTTACCTGTAGTCTGCTGCTGTCATGCAGTTGTGTCCACATTCAAATTTTTACAGATGTGTCAAAATATTTTAATAATTAGGCCTAAGTTTCATTTATTGTCAGTACTCATTTTAAAATGTATTTAAGTTCTAATAAGATTACCCTTTAAGTAATATTTTTGTTAATGTAAAAATAATACAAATTCATTGTAGCAAAAATAGAAAATTCAGAAAAAGAAGACATCACTTTTATTGCTCAAAATATTTTCATTTCTATACTTTTTATATATGATTTTCATGGTCATCTGTTGGCTGTATTCCTATATCTTTTTTAGTTAATATAGCATTAACATTTATTTTCTATTTTACTGGCTACATAATAAGTGTACATATGTGTTTTTAGAAATCATCCTGTTTGAATGTAATTTTACAGTGTAGTTCAACGTATATCCTTACTACTGAGATTGAAGAGATGTTTCTGAGTAAGGAGCATAGTCCCCTGGACAGTATGCAGGGAAATAGCCCAGGCACAGTGCCAGGAAGTATTTGGGTCTTGCTATGTTGTTCACTTGGAGGGTTTACTTTTGACAGTTGGGGGAAACGTGGGCCATTTTTAGCTACTTTAAATTATATTTTATATTAGTTCCCTTAAAATCGTAGCAGCCATCCCCAGTAGGGTTTGGGACACCAGGGAAGTAGGGGGAGGTTTGCTGCCTCCCTTGGAATGGCAGGTTGAATTCATGAAAACTGTAACTGATGAAAAGGAAGCATCTAAAGTAGAGATTGAAAATCACTCAAAAGCTGACTCTTAGGTGAATGTGCTTATGGATGCATTGGTTTTATAGACTGCGTTGTGCTTTTGACCTGGAATATCTCCTCCCAAAACCTCTAGCTTAAAATAATATCTGAAGTCTTTAGGTAAGATTCCTTTTCTGCCTCTTTCTAGCATGAGTTGGTCGAATGCAGCACGTGACTTTCCTGCTGGGATACAGACGTGGCAGCCTTCCCTGTCTGTGTCTCTTCTTGTTGGGAAGTCACTGATTGAATTTCGGGCTTAAGCATAGCCAGGGTATCCTTAACTATTATACATGTGCAACTCTACTTGTCTTTTTTTTGACATGAGCCTTAGTAAGATACTGTTCAACGCAGTACAGTGAGTGTAGGTGCATGTATGCACGGTTCGCTGGGGAACTGTCAGGTTACTAGTCTCTTTGAGAAGGCATATTCTAATCTTTTTCTCCAGAGTTCATCGCTACTTTTCTCTTAAGTATATTTAATATGAAAATGCTGTTGGGAAAAATACTAAAAACATTGGGCTAAAACAGTATCTTAAAATTCTATATTGAATGCCTATTCTGTGTTGTTCCTTCAGCATAGTTTCTTTGACTCCACTGTGTATTTTAAAGCAAACAGCGGAGTGTATACATTGTGAGGGGTGGGACTGAAGAGGAAAGGCCAAGATCTCTTTCCTAGATCTCTAGTTAGTCATGTCCAGGTATACAAGGCTGATCTGCCTTGAGTAATTCCTGGCCTTTTAGGATACCATAAGGATGTAGATCTTCCAGACTATTATACTAAAAGTTCTTGGTTCTTTTTTCTGTGAATGACAATGCACATTGAATACAGCTTAATACAAATAGAGTTCAAAATTTCAGAAGCATTTTTATGACATACTGTTCAATAGCATTTTCTAACTCAATCATCTAGGTTGTAATGTTTCAAATTACACTGGCAATAAATGGATATGTAACTTTAATTCTCAGTCATTGAGTTCTTTTTTGTCTAGCAATTTGAGGTAAAATAAAATACCTACTGTTTGCCTATTTAATGATTTTTGGGCTCTCCTTCTCATCTGTTATTTTTCCCCTCTTCTTTCTGAGATTTATTCTGAGTTACTTTACCTAAGGAAATAAATTTATGCAGTGGAAGGTGTGTACCAATGAATTTCATGGTCCAGTCATTTAAATGGTTTTATCCAAAAATACGTAAACTACCATGATAAAGAGTATGCATTAACTTCAAAAACGTATATCCATGCTTTATAAAATTTCTCCCCTGAAAAATCAGAATCAATAAAACTGAGGCTAAAAATGCAAAGAATTAATCAAGTTGGTTTGAAATAATAAACAGACAAATCCTTAGCCAGTCTTAACCCCCTAAAAAGGACAGAAAAGACCCAGTTCAATGCAGTCAGACATGAAACAGGTGAAATCACAATGCACACTGCTTTAAAAAAAAGCTGTACACCAATAAAAGAAGACACAGATGGATGTAAATTACCAAAACTGAACCTAGAAGATAAAAAAACTGCATAATCAAGTAACAGGCAATGATATTAAAGCAGTAATGAACAACAACTAAGAAAAACTCAGGCCCAGATTCACTGCTGAATTCTATAAAAACTTAAGGGAAGTTCTAACACCAATATCCCTCAGGCTTTTTAATAAAATTGAAAGGGAAGGAGTACTCCTAGAGTCATTCCTAAAGGCTACCATTGTCCTGATTGCAAACTTGACAAAGATCCAACCAAAGAAGGGAACTATAGACCAATCGTTTTTATGACTATAGATGCAAAAATCTTTAAGAAGATAGTAGCAAACAAATTGCAATGAATCATCAAAAAGATACATATGACCAAGTAGGACTCATCCCAGGGAGGTAACGTGTTTCAACATGTGCAAATCAATAAATACATCACATGAACAGAGGCAAGCACAAAAATCAAATGATCATATCCATAGCTGCAGAAAAAGCTTTCGACACAATCCAGCGTCGTCATATGATTGTGAAAACAGTAGTATCTTAAACTGATGAAAGCTGTTTATGTCAAATCTAGTGCCAACAATGGTAGGTTATGACAAATCTATTGCCAGCTTTAAATGAGGAGAAAATGAAAGTTTCCTATAATGAACCCACTGAGGAAGATGGAAAAATACACCATTCACAGTAGTACCAAGAAAAATTAAAGTCTTAGGAATTAACAAAGGAAGTGAAGACCTCTACAGTGAAAAACAGTACTCTGAGAAGGAGATGGAAGAGAACATAAGAAATGGAAAGAGATTCCCTGTTCCTGGGTAGGCAGAACCAATATTGTCAAAATGGCTATACTTCCAAAATTGATACACAGGTTTAATGCAACTCCAATAAAATTGCAACAGCATTCTTCACAGAACTGGAGAAAACAATGCTAAAATTCATACAGAACCAGAAGAGGGAAGCAGAAGGCAGCACAGCACAGTCCTGGACCTGAAGGTGCATAGGTACTGTTAATAACATGTTTCTGGCACAGAAACAGACATGATCATCGGTGAGTGGAATAGAAGATGCAGAAAAACCCCATCACAGTCAGTTACTTGATCTTTGAAAAGGGGACCAAAAACACGTACTGGAGGGCAAAAACAGTCTCTTTAACAAATGGCATTAGGAAAACTGGCCATCCACATGTGTAAGATTGGAACTAGACCCGTATCGCTCACGTGTACTAAATTTAAATTAAAATGGGTCATAAAACTTAAAAAAAAAAAAAAAAAACTAGAGCCCCCTCCAGTAAAAGACTTAATCACAATAAGGACAAGCAGAATTAACAGAGACCTCACAGAAGTACAAACAGCCTCGTAAATGAAAAAAATGTGTAACATCCCTGGCCATTAGAAGAATGCAGATTAAGAAAAATGCCAAGATAACATCCCAGAATGAATGGCCATCATCAAGAAATCTAACATTAACAAATGCTGGGAAGGCTCAGGAGAAGAAGAAACACCTCTGCACTGCTGGCAGGAATGTACACTAGTAGTCACTGTCAGTGTCAGTGTCAGTGTGGCAAGTCCTCCAAAAACTGAACCTAGAAATTCCATGACACAGGTATTTCCCTTCTAAGTAGTATCTAAGAGTTAGACCTTTATTATAATGACACATGCATACCCATGTTTATAGCAGCACAGCTCATAATAACAATCTTGGAAACAGCCTATATGTTCATCAAAAGATGAATCTGTAAAGAAAATGTGGTATTTACACATTGGAGTACCATTCTGCTACAGATGAGTTATTTGTCACAAAGTGGATGCACTTGGACACCATAAAATTAAGTAAATAAGAGATACAAGCTTAAATATCACATGGCTTTTTTTTTTTTTTTTTTTTTTTTTTTTTTTTGTCTTTTTCCTTTTTATGGGTACCGGGGATTGAACTCACGACTGCCTGCTTACAAGGCAGGCGCTTATGCCGCTGAGTTAACCCTCCAGCCCCCTATCACATGGCTTTTATATGAGATATCTAAAAGTATAAGAAGCAAAAGGTAATAAGAAGCAGGGAAATAGGTATGTCTGAAATAGGAAATCAAGAGAGGAAGAGACCGGGAGGGAAGGATAAAAAAAGGAGTGGAATGTGTTAATATACCTGTCCCAACTCCACACAAGGGATGCTATAAACTTACACGAATAGAGTGAAATAGTTGTTACCAACTTTCCCTTCTATACTCAGTTGTGTATATGTTGACTGTATTACAGTGGAGAGGAACTCCTATATTTAATTGCTCTTTCTGGTTTCACCAACATAAACCATTTGGGCATGATTTTTTTTAATATGTAAAACAACTTTGAATTGTTTGCTTTCCTAAAATACCAAACTCTGTAGCTTTAGCCTACATAAATAAGTTTGAAATTGGTAACTTATACCAAAAAAGTTTATTTCACAGTAATATATTAGCATTAACTGAAATATGTTGAAATATGAAGGGTAACTATACTTACTTTTACATGTAGCTTGTGTAATATTTTCATTATTCTACTACTGTAGCTTCTGTATCATTGAAAGCATTTTTCAAATTTCTAGAATAGAGGGGTTGGGGATTTAGCTCAGCGGCATAAGCACCTGCCTTGCAAGCAGATGGTCTTGAGTTCGATCCCCAGTACTGATTTAAAAAAAAAATTTTTTTTTCTAAAATAGGATAGTAACTATTTAAGAAAGCACTGAAAAGTATTCAGTGCTTAAGAGCAGCTAATGTTGCAGTGATGAGACTAGCGTTTTTAAGCCCATAATCATAGGTAATTTTACCCATGTGCAAAAAATTGATGTATTAAAACTAATATATATGAATTACTAACTTACAACTAACAATGAGACTAGAAAACTTGTGGGCATTGTCTAACTTTCGGGATATTTATTTGCTGGAGAAAATAGTAGAAGAAATCATTCTTACAATATGTACTTCTACAATGATACAAATTTTTTCACCAATAAGTACCACAATTACTTGTGGAAGTTAATGTTCTTGTATCCTAATAAACCAAAGCAATTTACGTTTAGTTTTTCTTCTTCCCCCTCTAACTTCCTTCTAATTATTTCCTGTCATTTCAGCTCTTCAGAAAATTTAGAAGAATTCTCTTCATCCAGTAGCTGGTTAGTTAATCAGAAGCACAGTAAAAAAAGGAGAAAAGACAGGATAAGACTGAAATCTCCATCTCTGACTCTAAGTACGGCAGCCCGAACAAGACCCCTTCAGAGTTTCCAAAAACGAAAACTCTACAGATTGAGCCCCACTTTCTATTGGGCTCCTCAGGTAAGGAAACCTTCGGAATACAAGAACAACTATGTCTCCATCAGTGTATTTCATGTTACAAGTGCATATGGATTACGCACAATTATTTAGAATAATTTTACATGTAGAAAACTTAAAAATACAGTATTATGTAATAGGTATTACCAGTATATAAGTGAAATTTACTTATTTTTAAAACAGCAAATTTCAATTTTCTCACACGCTTAGATTGCTGCTGCTGCTGTTTGGGGCTGGGGACTGAACCGAGGCCCCGTATGCCGGCACCACTGACTATGCCTTGCACTTTCCGCCCCTAGTTTAAAAGTTGCTGTTGCTTATGCTATTTTGAAAAACAAAAACAACAAAAAAAAACCAAAACATAGTAGGAAGGGTAACAAGGGAATGGGGATGTGCTGCACACTTCTTATGAATACTTGTTCACATAAAGGCAATCGCACAGTTGCAAGTTAGAAATGATGTTTTTGTTTTTAGGTTTTGTAGTAATCCTGTGAGCAGTCCCTTTTTTTCTTCTGGAACCTAAGCAGTACACTTTTAGTTGTCCATACTTATACAAGAAAATATCCCTCATTAAAAGAATACATTTTGAAAAGCATATTTTTACTTGTAAAAAACAAGATGAATGTACTTCTTTGAAATTCTCCTTGATAGTATTATTATTATTATTATTATTATTATTTGTCTTTTTCCTTTTTATCGGTACCAGGGATGGAACTCACAACTGCCTGCTTTCAAGGCAGGCGCTTATGCCGCTGAGCTAAATCCCCAGCCCCGATAGTATTATTTAATATCAGTGTATTTGTTTCTGACTGTAACGTTAACTATTTTAAATATACTTGTATAAAAATCAGTATCTTTGCTTCATTAGGAATCAGCTTTCAGTTTTGTTAAATCCATTTATACATAAGAATGTGAATTATCATGAATTTTTTTTTAAAAAAGACCATTTTGCATTTTACTAGTTAACATATTATTAGTAGAATTCCCCACTTTGAAAATGTTCTTTAAATTGTTTTATTTCTTCATTTAAAAGAGGTTTCTTAAGTCAATTTATGAGGAAATGATTTTTGAAGTTTTGATATATTACATTATTTTTACACAATAATTTTTCTGCAGTTTCTGAAACAGTAGATCAGTAGATCAACAGCATTTCTGAAATGTAATTCTGTGCTTTCTACCCATAAGTACAATTGTCTGTCTAAAATATTGTACGCGTGAATGTGCCACAGTAGCCTGACTGGAAGAGATCGGCTTGTATAATTTAGCTGGGTTGCTATGACTGTAAAAACCCACCTGAGAAAGTGTGCAGTTTTAAAACTTTCAGCAAACAGAAGCACATGCCCACCTTTTATTTTTCCCATCAGAGCACAGGACAGATTGCTAACCTGAAATGTGAGAGCAGGAGATCCACCAAGTCCCAGCCATGGTCTGCGTGCCTGGGCTGGAGCAGAAGCCGCCACTCACATGCTAACTTATCTTCTAGGAAAATGAACTTGTAACACTGGCAAGCCGCTTGAGGCTGGGTATGGACTAACTTGGGGGTTAATGGGTGGGTGCCCACACTTCTGGGTCAGTGAAAAGCCAAGAAGGACCTCTAGTGGCGCTGGCATGAAAGGCGAAGGGTAGTCACTGTGCAGTAATGCCTAGGGAGTCACTGTATGGCGAACTTCCCTGCCAGCTGGAGAAAGACATAGCTCTAACTCCTACGCACACTGTCCTCTCACCTGAGGGAACGGGGTGGAAAAAGAAAAAACAACAACAAAAAATACTGGTTAAGGTCACAGCTCAGGACACACTGGAAAGCCAAGATTTAATCATGAAGATTCCGGAGTTATTTCCCTTAACCCGTATTACACTATATACTAGCAATCCCGGCAGGGTAACATGGGTTACAGCTGCTGAGCAGAACTAAAGTCAGAAGTAAACCGAGAACCCAAAACAGAAAAGAAGCATGAAGCCCCTGGCTCACCTCCAGCCAGCATGAAGCGAAGCCTGTGGGATGAAGGTTTATTTAGCTCGGGATCTATTAGGTGACAAAGTCTACTTTCCAACAAAAACTACTAGGCATGCTAGGAAAAGTATACTCTGAAAAAGTGATTGTTAGAGCCCCCCTCAAGTATGATAAAGGTAGTGAAATATCTGACAAAAAATCATGAACAGCTGCAATTAATGTGTTAGCAGCGTTATAGGTATAGAAAGCACAGGGCTCCTGCAAACAGGAATGGGGATTCATAACAGCAACTGAAAGTTGATGCTACAAATTTAAAAACATTAACTCATAACTGAGTAGGTTTTTGATAGACTCTATAGCAATCAGAAAATGGCCAAAGATCAGCACACTTACATGGAAGTCAGTAAACTTTACAAACTAAAATGCAAAGAAAAAAGGCACTTTTAAAAACTGTAGAATATCCAAGAATTAGGAGGTAATTCCAGGTACTGTTCCACATACATAATTGGAATACTAGAAGAAGTGAAAGACAATAGAGAAACATTTGAAGTAATACTAGATGAGAATTTTTCAAATTGAGTAACAAAAAACAAACCACATATCAAGGAAACTAAGACAGGATAAATACAAAAAAACACAGGCATGACATGTTCAAATTGAAGAAACCAGAGATGGAGAAAATCTTGAAAAAAAGCCAGAGAAAAATGTCTTATCAAGAAAAGAATGAGGCAAGAACTACAGCTGACTTCTTGTCATAAACTATATAGGCAGAAAGAAAGCAGAAAAATATTTAGTGTTTAAATGGACAAAAACAGCTGCTATGACATGGAAAACAGTTTTTCTCTAAAAAGATACAGCTATGTATGCCCTCATTCATGTTACTTAAAATTATGATTTATGGGTTGGATTATGTTCTGAAGAGCTCATGTTGAAGCTTGAACCCCAATACCTTGAAATGTGACCTAATTTAAGATATTAGAGTGTGCTCTAACTAGTACGACTGTATCCTTATAAAAAGGGGTGAATTTGAACACAAATTAATGGACACATTGCCAAATGCCAAACAGAGGTCAAGATGATGCTTGTGTAAGCTAAAGAACTGCAAGGATTGGTAGCAGATGCCAGAAGCTACGGGAGATACATGGACTTCTTCTTCTTCTCAGTCCTTAAAAGAAACCAACTGTGATAATACCTTGCTGTGATTTCTGGTCTCCAGAGCTGTGAACCTGGAGTTGTTACTGCAGCCATTTGCTTGTGGTATGTTGTTAGGGCATATCTAGAAAACTGTTCCAATGAAATGATTTGTCAATAGGGTCTTTATACATTCAGTTAAGAATTTCAGGAAAGATCCATTTTGGATTATGATAAGCCTTAAGTTCAGTGAGTCCTATCAAGAGAGAAAGCAAAGAAAGAGATGAGATATAGACACACAGAGAATGTCTGTGCAAATGGACGTAGAAATTGGCGTCCTGTTCCCACAAATCAAAGAACAGCAGAAGCCACAGAACCTAAAAGAAGCAAGGGAAGATTTTCCCTTCCAGCTTTCAAATGAACTGGGGCCCTGCCAGTGTTTTATGGTCTGCCATCTAGCCTCTGGAACTGTTTCTGTAGCTTTAGTTACTCAGCTTATGGTAATTTGTTAATGCCAGCCCCAGGAAACTAGAGTCTGGTACCAGGAAATAGGATGTTGCTACAACAAATACCTAAAATCGTAGAAGTGTCTTTGGAATGGCCAATGGGTAGAGAATGGAAGTTTTAAGGTGCATAATAGGAGAAGCCTTCATTCCTGTGTGGGCTCAGAAGGAAGAGAGAATAGCAGACACAGCTGCCGTGCTCTCTGAGAATACACGTGTCTTCATGAACATAATCATGTTGCTAGAAATACGAATGTGAAAGGGGCCCTTGGTAAGATTTCAGGAGGAAGGAAAGAATGTGTTACTGTAAACTGGAGAAAAGATGATTTTTGCTATAAAGTGGCAGGATTATGTTCTACTGTGGGACAGAAAATACAGCTTTTAAACAGTGAACTTGGATAGTCATGTGAAGAAATTTCCCAGCCAAATGTGTGGTAATTAGGGTCTGGTTTCTCCTTGCTTACAGTAAAATGTAAAATAACACGCATAACTGAATAAGGAACTGTTAAGTAAAAAGGAGAGTTTGATGATTGGTAAAATTTGCATTGTCTTACAAAAAAAAGACAACATGCTCTGGAGAAAAGCCAGAGTATGAAAAAATGTTTGCCCCAGAAATATTAATGCATAATTCATGGCTCCAGGCAACTGTCTCAGGAGAAGCAAGACCAGAGCTAGGCTAGCTACAGAGGGTCTTTAGGGAATCCTCTTGTCTAGTGACATGGACCCCCCTTGACATGTGGTAGTACCACAGGTTTTTGGGAATCTTACACCACAGAAACAATACCAGCTTAAACGGAAGGAAAGATGACGTGCAGAGTTTGCAAACCCCTGAAATTTATAGGCAGGAAAGGGACTGCTAAAATTATTCAATTGCAAACATGTTACTCTTCAATATAAAAGAAAATGAATCAAAGCTCTAAATGTGAAAGACAAGCAAGCCGCTGAAAGAAATCTTTATGTCCTTAGGGAGGTTAACTTCAAAAGACTGGTAATTTGGCCTTTGATAATTGTATTCATTTAAAAACAAATACTAAGTCAAAGGGTATATACTGAGCAAAGACTTTTGATATACCCAAATATGTATTTCTATATCACTGAAATATATAGACAAAACATTTTGAATCCTGAGTGAACATATTATATATTTTCAGTGCCTTTTATTATTTATTTATTTATTTATTTATAGACAGGAGTTCACTTTTTTGTGCACTAGGTTGGTCTCGAACTTGCAACAGTCTTTCTGCCTTAGCCTCCCAAGTGCTGGGATTACAGGCATGTACCACCATGCCCAGCTTTTTTCAGTGCCTTTTAAAAGAAAAAATACTGATCTATACTAAAATAGGGATATAGTACTAAAAATGGTGGTTAAAATGGCAAATTTTATATTGTATACCTTTTCCGCAAAGATATACAATATTAAGACTTTAACAGCTCTCTCCTATAAAAAAAAGCATTACTTAGCAAGGAAAGACAATTAAAAATACAATGTGTACCACTGTGTACAAGTAATCTTACTATCCAGAAATTCTACTCTTAAAAACCTACCAGGGATAGTGAATATATATCTGCACAGAAAAATATGTAAGAATGTTAAGAACATTTGTATGGGTTAGAGAGTCTTCAGAAAAAAGACTTAATCAGAGCTAGAAAGACGGGTGGGACGCTCAAAAAAGGAAGAAGAAAAACAAGATTATGAGGATCACCTTCCAAGATTATGGAGGCCAAGAAGCTCATGATATGCTGTTTGCCATGGCCAGAACCAGGAAAGCTAGTGGAGTAATTCATCACAAGCCAAACCCCTGAAGCAGAACAGAGAATACCTAGTATAAGTCTTGCAGTCAGAAAATCAGAAGCATCTATGTCTGAGATGCAAGATGGCTATTCAATCTCAAGAACACAGAGGAAGTTTGGTTTTCTTTCCTGTGCCTTTGGGGCAGAGCATCTCTACTCGGTTTGTTGGAGCACACTTCTGGGTGTGTCCAGTAGGGAATGGAGCAGGGCCTTGGGGTCCATGTCTGGTCCTTTGCCCGTTCTTCTTGGGCTCTACCACTGAGCTCCCCGACTCTTTATTGTTGTCTCGCTAAGTCCCGAAGGCTAGCTTCAAAGATTTGATCCTGCTGCCTCAGCCTCCCGAGTAGCTGGGTCTCAGGCATGAGTCACTATGCCGGGCCCAGTTCTTCTTTCTAATACTGATGTCCAGTACCATGCAGATCACTCACTGCCTTGTTTTCCTCTCCCATAAAAAGGAAAAGGCTACCGTACAGAGTTGAGTCACATCTGAAAGCTGTGCACCATAGTGTGCATCAGAAAAGCCTCTTCAGATGCAAATGAGGATGACGGCCATACAGTTTGTACAAAGAGTGATGGTTTTTATATAGGAGTGAAACACTACAAATATTTCTGAAAGATTAATGTGCCTTTCAGCAGGATGATTACAGCAGAGAAGGCTGGAAAAATGGAAATCAGGAAACTATTTGATAAGGTTATAAAGAGAAGATTGACTACATAGTGGGATGATATAAAGAAACTTTGACTAATTCACCAGTCTAACTGATTTTCCAAAGTTCTGAAGAGAAGAGAAAGGAAAGGCACAGCCAATGATGACACTAAGGACACTTTGTAAACTGTCCCAGTCAGGTCCTCATAGTGACACACCAGGAAAGCTTGAACCAAACCTGAACTGACATGTCATCGGATTCATAGTTCTGTGAACTCCACTGTGGCGGATGAGTGGAAAAGTTTGTATCAGCACATCACGTAGAAAAGGGGCCACAGAGAAAACACGTCTAACCAAAGGCCCACTTTCTACCAGGTGTACTGATGCTTTGAAGTCACTTCCCAGGAAAGGCGTATGTTTCTCTCGCTGGTTGCAATTGGCTGTTGGCTTTCTGAAACTTAGTTTGGTGTCTGGGATGTGTGGGCGAGTTGTGAGTGATAATGCTCACCACATGAAGCCAAGACTGGCGGCAGACATGCTGTAGTACTTGTCATTCCTGTGGACACTAAATGCTCCTGTCACTGAGTCACTTTCTCCTTTATCTAGATGGGAATGAATGAAAGAAGGCAGCACCTTTTCTAATTATATATACAATCTTGGAGTTGCTTAGTAAAAGGAAATAATGTATCTTTATTCACAATCTTATGATGGCCTTACCATCATAAGATTAGTCTGCTTAGTTAATATTTACACCCATCTTACTTTGTTCCCTTTAGTTTTTTAAAAATGCCTCAAAGCAAACTAATGTTTCCTAATCATTTAAAGCATTTGTTAGTAATAAACCCTTTTATTCATTATTTGACTAAAGGTTTTGTTTGTTTGGGTCTTTGTGTTCTGGTTTGTTTTCCAGCACACATTCTTATTCCCGGCATGCGCTATTAGCCTATTGTTTTGTTTTCTCTATAGAAAACCTGTGGTAAAAAATGTGGTTATGTAAACAATCTCCTTTGAAATTCAAAATGAGTTGTTTTTTCATTACAATTAGAAATTAAAAACACATTGTTCTTTTCATCTGTCTTTATATAGAGACAAAATGTTTTACTATCTTACATAATAGCCAGTACTGTGTGAGAGCGCTGACTTTTAACAGAATATTTTCAGAAGAAAACAACACACAGGTCTTTGTAATATTCCATTGTTACAAGGCAGGAATGACTGTTTGGCATTGTGCTGTGATTCTGTTGTCCCGATGCTGCTGTGCTCCTAGAGAGCGGGAAGTAAGAGCAATGAAAAGGGGCAGAGGGTCCCCCTGTGTGGGGGGTATCATGTTTGCTGGGTAGAAACAAAGGGATAAATACATAGGCTGTATACGTGAATACTGATGGCAAGAATAATAGTGGTATTGTGTGGGGTTATCAATATGTGTAGAATTAAGCCCAACAGTGATAACACAGAAAAAGAATAAGGAGAGTTAAAGTGTTCTAATGTCCCAATTTTTTGAGGGAAATGCTAATAGTTTGTGTTGTACTATAAAAGCAAATGGCTTAAGGACCCATATTGTAATCCCTAAGGAGGCAAACTATTCAAAAAAATTACAATGCATAAAACACAACTGCACAAAAAAGAATATAATAAAATACTTAATCCTAAAGCAAGCAAGATAAGGATAAATACAAAACATCTGTTCTAGAAACTCAACAAATGAATTGCTATTTGAAAAGTTAATAAATTAAAAAGCCCTTGAGTAAGACTCTTAAGAAATAATCCAATCTTGATTTGACATTTAAAAAATTTTTAGTGAAACTCACCAGATTAATGGGTTAAGAAGAAAATCCCTGTAATCATTTCAGTGGGTTCAGAAAAAGCAAAGGAGTAAACTCAGTACTAATATATTTAAAAAGTTCTTTCAGCAAAATTAAGTTTATCATGAGCATACCAAAAAACAAAAATCCTACAATCCACATCACTGTAAATTTGATGAGTTAATAAAATTTTTGTTACAAGGACCAAAAGTTTCTCCTTTGGTGAACCTTACCCAGCATGACTGGAATCCCCCCACATAAATAATGAAAGTATTAGTGTTGGATGCAGTTAGATTATTATTTGCAATTAATGTTCAAATAATAGAAAGGTAAACAAAAGCTATAAATATACTACTAGATAAGAAAGTTTTGCACAGTTGTGGGATATGTTAAATAAAAAATTTTAAAATCTTACAATTGAAACAAAGGAAACATTTCAAAAAATATACATGTATGTCATTTTAAAATTGCAAGGTGTTACCGAAATAACTTGAATATGACTTAAATGAAGGTAATGCCATATTGTTGTATTCTTTTCTTTTTACTGTGACTTCCTAAGATAAGAAAAAGTCCACTTTCATGGACATTACTCTTCCTTTCAAAAAACTAAAATGAAATTAGTGAGGCTTAAGGTATGTGGCTGGTTTTTCTTTTCTTTGTGTGGTTCCGGAGATTGAACTCAACAATCTTGTGCTTGCCAAGCAGACGCTTATGCTGCTGAGCTAAACACCATGTGGCCGGCTTTTGTTTAGTTTATCTTATTTTATGTGTCATTCTAAAGCTCTTCTCCACCAGGCTCCTTAGGAAGACAGAACATGTTGGTACTATCTTTTAGGTACTGTATTGTAGCTGTCACACTAGCTCCCATTTAGTCTTCAAGCAGAACTGAAGTCTTCATTCTTCTTCCTTGCAGATTTTGCATTCAAAAGAAACATCATTTTTAAATCCTACAAAAATGCCTTGCCTGCAGTCAGCCCCCACCGGGACCCACTGTGAACACAGTTCAAAGGTGCAGAATCTACGAGAGCATGTTTCCGACCTAGATTCCTCTTTCCATTCAGTTCTTTCACTGCCATCAGGTAAGCTTTCTCCTACGAATTTCTGAGTAACTCTGTGTACTTCCCATAGTGAAACAGAATCCTGTAAATACAAATAATCTAACAAAGGCTATCATTTTGTCACTAGACCTAAGCAGTTTTTACAGAGGAATTTGGTTATCTGTGATGCTAATTTTCTTTTTAAGTTGATTTTTCAGTTACTTTTATTTGCCTTGCTTTGAGTTTTTACCTGGAGTTTTCCTTGCCACATAATGTTCTGCCATTTATAACTATCTGCAGGTTTAGTCAACTTTTGAGCCTCAAGTGTATATGTAATGCCTCTGAGTAAACAAGGCATTTATATTCTACAGATGTAAGGTGGTTTTAAATTTCCAGTTAATTTTTTGGGTAACTGTTCTAGTCCTTTCTATATTGGATCTAAATTAAATGTTATTTTAAAATTTTTTTTCATTTTTATGGTACTAGGAATCAAACTTATGACCTTGCACTTGTTGGCTAATGCCACTGAGCCGTGCCCCCAGCCTCTCAGTATTTTAGATAGAAAAGAAACATGCTTCATAGTCATCTCAGGTTCTTCTATTAGGGCATTTCTCAAATGAGCTTTAGTTTCCTTTGCAGCTTGTGTTAATGTTTAAGTTTTCAGTTAAGAGACGGTTTCTTTGTAAAACAACTTTTTTCTACCTATCCCACTTCTCCAAATCTTAACAGTGTTAGAGTGGCATGTTAGCAGCACCATTCTTTAAACTTTGAATGGGAATTATGTTCATCTGTCTTTGAGAAAACCTTGACAGTACATAGAAAATAATAAGCACCACAATGGCACTGCTGCAGCCAACACTTGGTGTTAGAGTACACTGGCCCTGTGTGCAGTAAGCATATTACCCATGAGCCGTGAGAACAGGTACTGTGGTCTTCTTCATCTTACATGTGAGAAAGTTAGGCTCGAAGACAGTAAGCATTCATCCAACATCATGCAGTGTCTTGGTCACTTTCCTCACTGCTGGAACAGAACACCAACCCTGCACTACAGAGGAGCACAGGTTTATTTTGGCTCCTGGTCTAGAAGTTTCAGCCTTGTATGCTCAGTGGCTCTGTGCCAGGGTCTGGGCAGGGGAAAGCTACTCCCTTCCTGTCGGAGGGGAGGCAGACTCAAGGGTGAACCTAGGAAGGTGAATCTGCCTCCTGCCTCTTCCTGTCAGTCTCATCTCCTCCCAGTAGGCCAGCGTACCGTCCCACAACCTTCCAGACACAAACTTGGGCCACTGTAGACCTGAGCTAATAAACCAAAGAGCTAGGAGCTGATCTGAGGTATTCTAAACCACCTCCTTTTTTCTTTTAAACTTCCTGTTTCTTAAACCGGGCTTGGTGCCATGTGCCTATAATCCTAGCACTCAGGAGGCGGAGGCAGGATTATTCAGTCTGACTGCATAATGAGATCAAGGCCAGCTTGAGCTACATAATAAGACCCTGCCTCAAGAAACCAGAACAAATAATTTCACTGCTGTACATTTCAGTATGTAGTTGTGATGTTTCTTTTGGGAGATCTGCACATGTATGTAATATAGCTTGATTATTTTCTGTCCCTTTAGACCCCACCAGCTGCTCCCTTCCAAAGTCATTTTGTTTCCTACCATTTTGCATTTTATTCCTTTTGATTTAGGTTTCTCTTTTAGTAAGAGAAACCATGTTTCTCTGTTGACATGACCCTGCCAGCTGATATGTACTCTTCCTAAGATAAAACCTGAGAATGTGTATAAGTATCCTTTATCTTACAGGCTCCTTATAGGAGACATTATTTTTTAATAAAATTAGGGCCATCCATTCCTTGAATTCATTTAATGAAATTCTCTAACTTACACACAGTGCACTAAATAGGTGCTAGGCATACACACACACACACACACACACACACACACACACAAGTAGACCAGGGCCCCTGTTTTCCCAGTTAGGACAGCTGCAGTGCACACTGAGAGCATAAGTCGGCTCTCTGGTTAGATCACATTTTAACCCTCACACATGATACAAGTGATCCTCCTTTAATAGGACTCTGCTGTATCTGAAGAGGCTGTTTCTGAATTAGCATGGATCCAAAACCTCCATGTTTAAGTAGCAATTTGAGGGAGAATTTTTAATTTATATTCTTTTGTTCATTTTGTCTCTGGCCTTAGGACACACTCCATGATGATGACCATGAGCCAGTTTGTTTTCTGCGTACTTTTCCCACACATGCACATGGACTTCACCAGCAAAATACTGTTTAAGTAACAGATACATCTCTAAAATCTACTCTCTTGGGTCTATCCTGGTTTGCATGGTTTCTTAAAATGTATCGATTGCTTTATAAGCCCCCCAGCTCCTGCCCCAGGGAAAACTTAGGTGTCTGATATTCACGGTTTTTATCCCAGGCTTCTTCATGCCAGGCAGATGTTTAAATGTCCTGCCACTTAGCTTCATCTCCCACTCTTTAGCTGTTCTGAGAAAAGAGCTTGCTCCTTTGTCCAGGCTGGCCTTGAATTTGAGATCCTCCTACCTCAGGCTCCCAGTTAGGCATGCTAATTTTTAAGCTTGCCTGTATGTTCTTAAAAGAAAAAAAACTTAGCAAATGTGAGCAAATCTTTTGACTTTCTGGTTGTGACAGTTTGAAATACATAAACATAATAAATTGAATTTTTTGAAGTATTGAATAATAGAAAGAAAGCTATGCCAGGAAGTTTTAATCATTGTGAAAGCAGTTTAATATTGTAAACTAAGTGAATGTGCAGTTTGGTGTTTTCATAACAGGTTGCATCTGAATTATAGCAATGTTCTAAGTATTGTTATTTTTTGCAAACTTCATTATTTCTCACGAATTTTGTGGTGATGTAGAATGAGCTGTCTGCCAGGTTTGGCTGTGTTTTAACAGTTAAAAAACCTCTTGGGTACATTGGTTTCCACTCACCTATGAATTGTGTTCATCAGTAGTATCATCTTACCTGCTATTTTAGGAAGTTCACAAAGCTGCTTATCTGTTAGATTTTCCTTATTAAGTACACTTAACCAATAACTCCCAATACAGAACATTACTGTGCAAGCTTACTTGGTATGTACAGTAAGGAAGCACAATATTAGACTGTAAAGAATGGTGTTCACTGAGAACATTTTTACTTTCATTTTTGTAGATGTGCCTCTTCATTTTCACCTTGAAACATTATTTAAAAACAATGAAATGAGAGGAGACCTTGCTGCAAATCAAATTGTAGGCGACTGTATCTTGTCACCATCACCTGGTATGTCACATTTACAAATCTGGTACTTTACGCTGCCTTTGACATCCTTCTTACTTACTATTTTGCATTCTAAGTAAATAAAATTTAACAAAAATAAATGTAAATTCTTAATTTTTAATAATCACTTTTCACAAATCACACAGACAGAAAATACACAGTGGTGTATCATTTGTGAGGCCCTGAGTTTCATCCTCAACACTAAAAAAGGAGTAAGTGAAAGAAAATACACAGGAGCAATCTCTTAAAAATGTGTGATAACTACTAGATGAAAATTATGAAATACAACTGATAAATATAGTGGAAAATACAAGTAAACAAGCATTCTTGTATGACAAAACTGATAAGGATATCCTATTTATGAGTTCATATGTTTAATGCAGTGTAAGTTCTAATAGATTTGGTTAGCTTAAAATAATTCTGTAGGCTACTGAAAAGATGAAATTATATAAAAAGAATGACTAGAAAATACAATTTCCCTCAACCACTTATAGAAATACAGCAAAACTCTTTAATATTTAAGAAAATAGATTTACAAGATAAGCCTAGTCTAGTTTATTATATGATCAGGAAAGAATTGTATATCAGAAGTGGAGAACTTAGTCAATATAACAGTATTGGTAGTTTTTTTCTGAGAAAAATTTGTAAATACTATACTTCATATCATGCAACAGAATGAATTCTAAAAACTATGTCATAAAACTTAAAAGAAAGTATAGCGAAATGTTTGTAATGCTCTGAAAGGTGTGAAGACATTGTCTATGCTTGGAAGTAACTGTAAGACATGAAAGTATTTTGATTGTCTGCAAAGTGAAAATCTTAGTCACATAAGAAAGCCATATGAACTAAGACAAATTATTTCCGGATGAAATGACTACCTAAAAATCTAAAAACTCAAGACTCAAATCAATGTCTGTTAGAACTGGGGTTTTATTATAAAAAACCAACATCCACTAGAGATGGGGCGTAGCTCTGAGATAGGACCTGGTTGCTCAATCAACAAAACAAAACAACTGCTTCTATAAATACCACTCATAAAGTATGCTAGTCATGTGACAATGAAAACAGAATATCTCTAAGATTAGAAAATGTTCACTGAGGGACACAGAAGGATGTTTCTACATGGAAAGAAATGCTGTTTTGTTGGAAGATCTGTAACTTGCCAGTTTTCCACAAGTCACCAATAGAGTGTGATTCTAATCAGAATCACAGAGGTATCCTTTTTGAATACTCTGAGATTTACACAGATGTTGGAGAGGTAAAACTGAAAGATCAAGAGGGCGACATATCAGATATCAAAATGTTGTGATCATTAAGACAATGCAGTACTGGTAGAAGCCAGAGTAAGGCGAAATACAAACAGCCTTGAGAAAGACTCAAAGGTCTGGGTTTTGAGTGGAATTTCCCTATTGCTTAGAAAGGGTGTCTTGGTCCATAAACAGGACAGCAACGATGCACTCACTCTTTGTGTGCCAGCCCTAGTGAAGAGCTTTCATGGGAGCTCACTATTGTCACTACCTTCCCAACTCACTGCAGAGGAGCGGTGGAGCCACACGCCCAGCCCAGGAGCCCGGCTCACAGCCCGTGGGCCAGACAACCAACTTCCATGTATCACAGCGGCACTGAATGATGGTTCATTAAGTAAGATCTGCCCTTTAAGATGGGTGACACTAAAAATACCTATTTCAGATGAATTAAAGATCTTGAAAATGATACTTGAATTGGAAGAAAAGCTAAATGTGACTGTTGATAAAATAATGAAAATGATACCTAACACTTAGTGACAACTTGTGTCACACAGTTTACTGTTCCTGCCTGGTTAGTATTACGATCAGTTCTAGTAAAAAAATACTATTGTAGTTTTAACAAGCATGCTAGTATTTCAGATAACATTAAAATCAGTACGAGCCTTCTGTGAGATACATCCCAAAGCCTTGATTTAAAGTATGTGTTTTATAAGATCACTGTGAGGGAAAAACCCTTATCGCTTACTTTTGTACCTACTCAAAATAAATGTTTACTGAACTGGTAATTCTGTATTCTGACCCAGTTATTCCATTTTCAAGACTAGTGGAATCCTACCAAACATGAAATCAACTTTCCACAAACACATTCATCCCAGCATTTTTGTGAAAATGAAAAACTAGAAACAACTTGAAGAATGTAATAGGGAAATGGTTAAATATATTCTGTAGAATATATTTGTCCTATAGTACAAATGCAACCTTAAAAATCTTACAAGCTCATGAAAAGATAGGTGCATGTTTCCCAAAGAATGCTGTGATAAAAAGGGACACAAGTGCTTTTTACTTTTGTGTATGACACAATTATAACCATGAAAGAATGTCCTTTTTCTCACCCAAAGACATTCTGGTTTGAACAAGAACTGTGTACACACACACACACCTGGGTTTTTAAACAACCCAGGAAACCTGAACATGAACTGGCTTGTAGATGCTAATTTGTCACATATAATAAGGCACTGTGGTTACATAATACACATACGCTATAAGTTTAATTAGTTCATGCTGAGATTTACAGATGAAAAGATATTTCTGAAATTTTCTTTAAAATATTATAGCAAAGGAAAAAAAACTGTTTGAGAAGGGATAAAACAAGATTGCTCATGAGTTGCTCATTGCCAAAGCTGACTGATAGGTACGTACATAGGAGTTCATTATTCTAATCTTTTTTGTACACATGTGACATTTTCCTACAGTATACAGTTAGGGGGAAAGAAAAAGAGCACCAGGGACAAGGAACAGCTAGCTCTGCCTAGCAGAAGACAGACTAAAACACTGCAAAGGATGAATTGTGTTTATGTATCTTCCCATGATATGATCCTACTCTGTGGGACACTGAGATTAGACTCATATCCATGAACATGATTACATTAAGAATCTCCCTAACAGCAATAATTTCATTATACTGTCGATGACGACTGTAATGTCCAACAGCAATGGAATACTTAAATGATTTTGTCTCTAACCTGAAAAATGTAAAGCTACCAAATGCAGAAATAATGGTTATGGGATGGAAAGAAAATTACGCTTTTCTCCTAATTATGATTCACTATTTGAAATACAAATGAGGCATGAAATGTACAGGTATGCGTATAATTGAAAGTTTGTGCAAAAGTGAAAGCACATGTGTTAGAAGTGAGATGATTTCTACTAATGTTGCCCCATTTATCTAACTTATAAAATAAAACTGTGAATGTGTTAGGCAGAGAGTTTGTACTATCAACGTGATGACCCGTTTCACACCACATTGGGATAGAAAGAATAAAGACTGGAACACTCTCAACGTGAAGGCTGCATAGTTAGGCACATTGATACAGTGTTCTTTTGTGTAACCTGTCCTTAGGTTTTATCCTCTGTATAAAAAGTTGGTCAGTGACTTTTCATTGACTGCTAATGATTTCTACAGAAATAAGAACAAGAATTTAACATTGAAAGCACCAGTGTGGCCAGGCAGACTACTACATGTTGAATCAAAGGTGAATCATAAAAAACATTGTAATGCAATGGGGAAAAGTCGACATGAACAGACTATTAAGAGTGTGATGAGCATATATAGGATAAAAGTCATGCAATAAAGAGGGAGTAACATACATAACTGTGCTTAGGACAAGGCAAAAAGAAAGGTTAAAGGAAATGAGAAAGGGCTGAGAGGAACTCCAGAAAGATCACCATCTACAGGAAGTTACAGAGTAAAGGGGAGGGTGTGGTGTGTGAGGACTCCTCAAACTTTACATGTGACTGTTAGAAGGCAGGTCTTGATTCAGAGTCTGGAATCGGCCCTGTGACTCTGCGTTCTGACAAGGTTCCAAGAGATTCAGATGCTATGGGTCAGTGTTGTACATTCATCAGAGACCTAGAACAGGATGATGGGTTCACGTGTCCACAGACGGCTCAGTATTCCCACAGAGTAAGCTCACAAAGAAGGGCATGTATCTAGTGTGCCTTCCTTAACACACAGTCTGGGCATAGCCTGCATTATCTGTTCACTTGTGCATTTATTGTGACACTGCTGACTTTAGTAAGAGGAAACACTGTACCAGAGAAAACCAATTTAGAGCCCAGACTTAACCAAAGTAGTAAAGGCTATGAAAAATGACAGTGGATCTCTTGCAGATACACAACTAAAACATAGTAAATGACTGAACTTTCTATAAAGAAAATGTAGGGGTAACTGGTCAAACTTGAACAGCTTCAAACCTGCTAATAATGCTAATTTCTGACAACTGTGTAGCTCTGTAGAAGAATGTTATTATTTATAAGAAATATACATTCATCTATGTAAAGGAGCCTCCAGACAGAAATGAGTACAGAAGGAGGGAAAGCAAATGTGATAAAAGTTAACTTTCTTTTCCAAGTTTTCTGTAACTCTGTGTTAAAATTTTTAAGAATGGATAGATGAGGAAGAACCTAAACTCACAGGACTCAGCCTCTACCCACCGTGCCTCAGGTTTCATCAGCAGGCTGTCAATACTGAGTGTTTCATGTCTGTACTCATTCCTACCACATTCAGTCAACAGCCGTCTATGCTCCTGAAAGAGACTGGCTGCAGTCACAGCCAGGGACCTTCCACTGCTGTAAATCTAAGTGTTGCACCGGCTCCCTCCCCGTCCCTCTAAGACTTAAGAGGACCCCAAAGCCTGCCTGCCCCTGTGGGCAGCTCCTGCCTGCTCATGGGTCTTCTTCACCGTTTCCTTATTCTACACTACACAGCTCCTCTTCAGGCCCCGCTCCGCCCACTCCCTGGGCCTCAGCACAAACTGTTCTCTCTTCCTTCCCCTCAACATCATTATGAGACCCACCACCTTGGGAAGAAAAGAGAACAGAAGGACAAACCGTCTGGGGAGGTTTACCACTGGCTACACCTCCCGCCCTGTTACATACGTAGGGCTGGAACTTTCAGAGGTGCTCCCGTGATGGCCTGCATGACTGATTTTTTTCTTCCATTTGCTCTGTTCGACATTGTTCAAGTGAATTCTCTAAATTTGTAGGGCTACTATAATTCCTGGAAAAACATTTGGCTATCCTTTCCTCAATACCCACGCCTTTACTCTGTTCTCTAGCACTCCACTTTGGTTCTTTTCTTTCTCACATTTTCTACAACTGTTACTTCAAATTGTCAAGCTTTTCTTCCAGGCCCAGTCTTGATTTTCACCTTCGTCTGTTCCGTTACTCAGCTTAATTAATGCTGCTTGTGACTAGTTGTAAAATCATAATTTTACAAGGCTTCCCTAGAGGCCTCTTGCCTTTTCTTTAGAAGTCTTTCTGGTTAAATCTGTATTCTGAATATGCTCCAGGTCCTATTTCTTGAGAGGGTTTGTCTACTTGTAGTTTATGATGTTGCCAATCAAGATTTCTGGAATTCGTGCACTCATCTTTGAAGTTGATATTCACTGTTAAGACTGTTCCACTGCTGTTTATGGTACCCTCTTTTTACCTCAGTACAAGAAATGAGAGACACTAACCCCTCAAATATAGAAATTAATTCTAGGAATTAATTCACTTAGTCTTCATAGCTCCAACATAGCTATTATCTGTTTTAAAGATGAGGAAACTGGGCTGGGGATTTAGCTCAGTAGCATAAGTGCCTGCCTGGCAAGTGTGACGTCTTGAGTTTGATCCCCGGTACCACAAAAGAAAAAAAAAGAGGAAACAGGTACAGTGACATTCAGCGTCTGAAAATTGTGTTGCATTGTTTTTAAAAAGCGGAAGCAGCTAGGGGCAGCGGCAGTGCCTATAATCCTAGCACTGGGGAGACTGAGGCAGGAGGACCTCTTGGAATTCAAGCCCAGCCTGAACTACATAGTGTGACTCTTACCTCAAAATGAGGGGAGTGAATTTTTTAACAGTATGACATTACAATTTTACTCTGAAACAATCTCTGGCTGCAACAATAAACACATACTCCCTAAATGAAATCTGGTCCTTGCCCTCACGGAGTCCTCGTCTACTGTGACTACGGTGGGGGACCTTTCTTGGATCTAAATTATTTCCAGATTTAACGATAGGCAACTTCAGGATTCAGTTGGTAGTCAACCAAGAACTTGGAGTACTTTAGGATCCCTTTACTTTTACATCCTCTTTAAAAACAAGCAGACAGAATGGCGAACAGCAAACTGGGCACCCAGTGTTTTTAAGGAGTCCTGTTACATGTATTTTTTGCTTAAGTGTTGTTCATCTTAGTATTTCACTACATGCAGTTTTGCACTGGTATCTTAAAATCCTGTAGTGTTAAAACTAAAAACAGGTAAATATGCTCATTATCTGTTCGTGTTAAGAAACTAAAAGCCTGCGTTTCCTTTTCATTTGTTTTAGTACACAGCACTTCCTTGAATCAGTGGAGAAAAGGATATTCGTCTATGTGTAAGCCTCAAATAAGGTCAGAATCTTCTGTACAGCTGTTACAGGCAAGAAAGAAAAGACATTTGAGTGAAACAGCAGTAGGTAGGTTAAAATGAGGATATGATCATTAGTGTTAAATATTGAAAAGAAAATTTTGGTCTTCAAAACACCCCTGTATCACAGGTACTTATAACCCAATCACCCAAAACATCTACAACCCTGAGAACATACTCATGCAGCTAATTCAGTCTGGAGCCTGGGTATCCACCCACTTTATGGCAGTGAAGAGTTTCTCCCCTATGTCCCCTGACCAGCTAACTCTGTCAGTCGTTGTTTCTCAGCTTGTTCTGGACTCAAGACTGGGTCAGTGCAGGACTGCCTTACAGAAACCTATCACTGCTTAAAATTCTGCAGGAGTTCAGAGAAAAGAGGCCATGGTTTAACTGCAGTACTTACCCAGTCTTGTTCAGTTCTCCTTAGGAGTCTTAAATGCAACCAAGAGTTATCAATGGATGTTCTTAGTGGGGGTATAGGGGAGACAATCACCTCAGTTACTGCTAATGATAAAACTGGCATGATTATATTTTGATTAGCAAGGTATGTGATATTTTTGGATCTTACTCATTGTTCCATTTATTAGTCAAGTATTCTCCAACTGTAACAGTAACATAACCAATAAACTAGGAGCTAATTACTTCCACAATGTCCTGACAGTTATACAGAATGAGTTTAGTACCAGCTCTATAACTACAGAAATGTCACTGATAATAGACCAAGTCACTACCCGATGATGTAGTACACTGACTGTGGCACAAAATGAACCAACTCTCATGTTTTCCGATGCTTCATTATTCTCTTTATTGTCTCACGCTTAAACTTGACCACGACTAGCTAGCTTTTAAGGAACCTTCACACATGCATAATGAAACACAGGAAAACTTTATCTTTTAATCAGATGCATTATGAAATGTGTTCCCTAATACACAGTGTTTCACTAGAAAACTTTAAATCCAATTTCAAGTGTACTGCATATACTGTATAAGGGCTAGAAGAACAAATGAAATGACAGACACTGCAACTAGACAGTTCCCTAAGTGGTACAGTCTCTGTAATGTCTGTCTAGATTGTAAGACACCTAGGAGACAATAATCAATTTCATTTGGAGGATCCTGATTTGAAGAAACTAAATCATAAAGGATACTTTTATGACAACTGAAGAACTATAAATGTAGACTTTATAATTAGACTTTATATTTTAAATTAGATTTTATGTAACATGGGAAAATATTCCTGTTAGGATTCATAGTGAAGCAAAACAGGCAACGGCAGGGCAGTAAGTGAGTAAGTGCGTAAATAGGGAACGAAACAAACAGAAGGAACTTAAACAAATGATACCAGAGAAAGAAAACATCAATATCCAGACAGAAGAATTTCAACCATGAAATGATGCTATTAAAAAAACCAGAGATCAGAAACTTACTAGTACTTTAGTTAGCACTTTCAAAACTCAAATGTTAAGATTTTTAAGTTTTTAAAAAAAGAACAAAATGAGAGAACATTATGATCAGTTCTGACATTGCAATTGCTAATACAGGTTAAGAGTCATAGAGAGCAAAGCCACGATAAAGAGAGATTTTACTCAAGAAATAATATGAAATATATTGGATTTAAAAAATTAGCAAATCCCAGAAAATAGAAATGCTTGTATGCAGCAAGAGTATAGATAAGGCTCTTTTATAATTTCCTTTTGCTTATTTTCTGATACATGAATTAAAAAAAAAAAAGAAATAGTAACCTCTCACCTAACTGGGAAAATAATACTAATAATCTTGACCATGTTTAATTTGTGACGTTCTGAATGGTTCTTTCCACGGCAGGAGAAAGGGATAGATTTGAGGAATTTGCTTTCCAACACACAGAACCAGGATCCCATTGCAATTTTTCTGCTGTCTCTAATTTCCATGTTATATCAAGAACCCAGAATTCATCATCACAAGTAGGTTTTTGTTTTGTTTTGTTTAGATTGAACTCTAAATTTGCTTTATTTTGAAATAAAACCAAACTGGCTTGCAGACTACTTTGCTAATCTTTCTCAGCCTTATTTCCTAGCACCTTTAGAACTACCTTATTAGGAAACTGTAAATTTGGTTAGATAAGGCACTTTTTACTTAGAATCTAAGAGTTTATTAATCTTTGGTTATGGATTTTTTTCTGTTGAAAACATTTATCACGGCTATCTCTTACTCTTTAACATTTGAAGATAAATGCAGTTTTGCTAAGGCAATTTAGGATTTATGTTGCTGTTAACCTGTTTTATTTGTCATATGGCCAGGGACTCGAGATGTCAGAAGGTGAGAAGATTTAGAAGTGAACTGTCTGAATAAAGGACAGGGACAAGGGACACATAAATGAAGCTTGTAATAATTATCTTTACTAAAGCTGACCAAAGCAGTATTTCAGAAGCCTTTCCTCATAAGAAGCACATAGTTCTGTGCACCTAAATACACACTACACACCCACAAAGAGGTTTAATTTACAAAACACAGGCATGCGTTAATCGGTAACATTTTATAATCAGATAACAATGTATTTGCAAAAGCTATGCAACAGGTATACTACTTACTATCTTTCATAGCTCATGAAAGAATCTCAGTAACTAGATGCTACTGTAAAGCAGTACTATAATCCTGTTTTGCAGAGTACTGCACGACGGAGGTTAAGAAGTGAAAGCTCTTATGACATAGATAACATTGTGATTCCTATGTCATTAGTAGCCCCTGCTAAATTAGAAAAACTCCAGTATAAAGAAATACTGACTCCAAGGTATGTACACCTACTTACCTCTATATTTCTTTCCTCTCCTTCGTCAATAAGCTTACATGTGGAGTGAAGTTAGAATTTTAACTGAGAAGAGAATGCTGCCTCTTTTCCTACCCTACTTGTAGAGTCATGGAAGGAAAAGGGTGGAAGACAACTTTACACTATTCATGCCATGTGGTATCACAACTTTAGTTTTTAAAACTTCTAGTTTTTAAAAAGTGATAATTTCTAGACTGATTTAGTTTAGCGGGATCTTTTTCAACTGTTTCTATTATGTGTACAGCATTAAAAGGTACTGTAGTGATGATTACAACTACAGCAACACACAATGCTTGCCCACATTAAAAACAGTTGTGCATGCAGTTACAGAGAGTTCAAGATTTGCATAGTTATAACACACTCCAGATAAAACATTTGTGATAAGGAAAATAAGATTCTGATACATTGCAAGTCAGCATTAAACACATTACCTAGAAAGATGAATAGAAAGGACTGAGAGGATATCCACCAGGTCAGAGAAGGAGACCGTAAGAAAGGCAGATAGACAGCACGTAAGGCTTAGGAGCATGTGAGGTTTTGCACAGGATGATAAAAGTTCAGGCGAGGGAAAAACCAGGGTGGGGAAGTCCCTGAATGTAATACACAGGTCTTCTATTGGCAGTGATGTTAGCACACTTTTTGGTAATGATTGAAGTAGTTTCTTAAAAATTTGAAGTCATGAATATTACACCAGGAATTCATACTGCAATGGCTGGAAATCAAGACATAACCCTTGAAATAACTACAGTTAATTCTTTTAATTTCATAATTTGACTCATTACTTCATTAATTACCTTGAAGCATTGAGAACCTATAAAGTATTATGAGAGTTGATATATAAAGAAATGTCAAATTTTTCTTCAAAAGTAAGAAGGGTAAGAAGAATTTTCTTATCCCAAAATTGCCACACATTACAAATCAAATCTTTTTTCTCCTCCTTTTGGCCAGGCTAATTTATTGGCATATCATTGACATAATTCAACATCAGTACATAATACTACATATAAAATGCAGCTGTGTAACTGTCTATTCATTCAAAGATAACAAGTAAAGACTTTTCATCCTTTTCTCATACTACAAATACCTTGTTTTAAAATAAAGTATTAAGATAACCATTTGAATTATGGAAATTCCAAGGGAAGCCTAATGTAAGAATAAAATTGCTATATTTAGAAAGAATAATAAAAGGTGTCTGAAATATTATCTTCAACAGCTGGAGGATGGCTGTTCTTCAGCCTCTGGACGAATGTAACTTAGGTGAAGAGGTAAGCTACCTTTCATTTAATAGGGTAACTGTACTTTGTATGGAACGATGCATGCTTAATCTGACATTTAAGGAACTAAAGGGGAACCCGGGTATTTTAACTTCTACTAATTTTTTCTTTACACTTACAAAGAGCAAGCTTTTGACAAGGGATAGTAATTCTGCTAAAATGTCTCTGTGCACATTTGTGTACAAAAATAAGACAAATAGGAACAGAAGAAAAATTTGAGTTGACACTAAATTTATTTAGAACTTCATCTATCTCAGTACTAGTCATATTTCTCTGCATACAGAGACTTAATCTCAAATTATTTGTAACTAAAATGCCATAAAAATATTAGGGTAAATATGCTTTAGAATTTGGAAGATTTCAGACTTTTTAGAAAGACACATTATCTCTACAGTTCAAGACAGTGCCATACGTGTGGGAAATGGGATATACACTAGAAGTGATTGCACCCCACTGTAGACCAGGCTCCGTGTGAACTATAAAACATTTGTTTTTTTCAGATTTTTGGATTTTGCAATTACAGGTAAAGGACTGGGGACTTGTGCAGATAAAATCATATTAAGACAACCATGCCAGGGGAAGATACTGTATATAACTCATAGTAAAGTGCTGCTCTGCAGAGTATGGTGTAGATTACAGTTTAAAAGACACTTGGTTTCTGTCAGGTAACAGTCTCTGCCAAGCATTCAGATCGGCCACCTCCCAGATTCACCTTTCTTTTAATGCCCTTCCAGCTTCTAAGGCTTTCCTTCTAACCACGGATGCTGGCCAGGAAACATAAGCTCCTGTTGTTATAGTCCAAACAGTTATCTAGATTAGATGCTCTACAAGATAAGCATTAAGTAAATTCCAATTTATCTCAGAACAGTTTAACATTTTTTGTTTTTTCATATTAAGTTTTTAGAATGGTATGTATTCTGTAATGGAAAATCATTAAAAACTGTGAATGAACAGAGACTTGAGAACATTTTTAGGTAAGGTAAGGCAACTGCAAAGCCCAAACAACCCATTTATAATCTAGGTAAGTCTTCACAAGAGTGAAGAGTTTAAAAAATTCCAGATTGGCAGGCGTGGTGGCTCATGCCTGTAATTCCAGCACTTGGGAGGCTGCGGCAGGACCAGCCTGGGCTACAAAGTGAGCTCAAGGCCAGCCTGAACTGCATGGAGAGAGCCTGTCTCAAAAAGACAAAAAAAAAAAAAGTTCCACATGGGCGTGACGGTGCACTTATAATCTTAGTTCTCAGGAGGCTGAGCCAGGAAGGTCAAGGCCAGCATAGGTTATGTAGTGAGTTCAAGGCCAGCCTGAACTACATAGGGAGACCTATCTTAAAAAGATATATAAAAAATAAAAATAAGAATAAATACAATAGTTCCAGCCTCCCATCTGAAGCTAATCCCCTAATACTTATTTTCTGGACTAACATAGATAATTGCATTTATTTAAAAATTTGCTTGCTGCTGTTCTCTAGATGAGGACACTTCGAAACCCATGTCAAACGTTTCCCATAAAAGCAAAATATTTTTTCTAATTCCAGGTAGAAGATCTTTCTGATGATGTGTTTTCTCTAAGACACAAAATATATGAAGAGAGAGAGCAAACCAGGTGGTCACTGTGGGAACAAAGCAAGTGGCACAGGAGAAATAGCAGGCAAGTATTTCAACTAAAAACCCACGGCACGGGTCCACAGGGACTGAGCAAAGCTTTGTGAAGTGAAAAGGAAAGGGTAGTACCACGCAGAACACCGGCTTTCTGTCGGAGCGTGTGCTGATGCACTGAGTCCCCTAGGATTATATATTCAGGCTACTTATGAGTTTCTGTTACTTTCCTCTCATGAAAACCCTCTCTATATGAAGTAGGTCAGTGGCTCTCACATAGGTCTTAGCCCTTCCATTTTAACATTATCTATTTCAAAAATAGTATTTTAAAGCAAAATTTCTCACAAAACCTTCATAGTCTAAAACCCAAATAATCTGAAGTACTCCTCAAAACATAACAGGACTTGCAGAGGGAGAATAAACAAACATATCTAGTAATTACAGATTTGAAAGAATCCTTGATGTTTTACACTACTTGTATTTTCATTATAGCCAAAACTCAAAAAGCAAGATAATATAAAGTCTGGCAGTCACTTCCATGAAGGAGCATCTTTCATTTATTTATTATTATTATAAAACACCCTTTTCTGTTTAGTTCTCAGGGTACCTAGATTTGCTGTCAGTTCCTGTTCAAGTTCTCCTAACAGAGATGAGACTGTGGAATTCTCATCTTTTTCCTTATTTGAGAAATAAAACTTTCTAGAAATTCAGAGGACAATATGAACCAATTCCGAGATATTAAGGAGTTGTCCTCATTGGTCTTTCCAAAATAGAGAAAGCAAACCACACTACATAACCTCAACTCCACAAGTATAATTTGGCAGAATAATGATAAAAATAAAAGCCTTTGATATACAAAAAGAGCATCAGAAAGATAAATATTTTTAAAAAACGTTTTATGCAGAACTGTTTAAAAGAAAACACCAAGCAGACTTAGTGATACCCTGAGTTCACAAAATGTTAAGACCTCAAGAAATAACAGATGGCACCGATTTTCTTGCCAGAGCTTACAGCAAAAATGTGGATGGACCAGAGATGCTTGTGAAGGAAGCCGCAAATGACCCCGGTGGCAGTCAGCACCGTGCTGCCCAGAGTCCCCCTGAGCCGGCCCCAGCATGCCAGGACACCAGTGCACAGGGCTCACCCTCAGGCGACAGCCCAGAAATCAAGGTGCGTGCATGGCCAACACAGTGGCCTTTTTACTTTACAGAAAATTTGTGCATACAAGCTCCTCCCTGTGAACCTGGTTTCCTCACTGCGTGTCAGTCACGGTCAAAGACTTGAGTGGGAATCAGGTCTCTAGGGCAGTGTTAGTACCATCTCCCACCTGCTCATGCCCTGGTAGGGAGCGGGGGTGCTACGGAAGCTGCCGCCCCGAGAGATCGATCAGCACAGAACCGTGGCCGGGATGCAGTGTCCACCACTGTCTTTCCTCCTCCTCCTGCGTTTTCACCTTCGGCTCTCAGAGCCAGTTCCTACCTTAAGGGTAGTGCTTTTTAACGGCATCCCCTTGTGAGCCTTTCCTCACACACAGATGCCACACAATCAGCAACAGATTTATAGGGGGAAGTGGAGTCTATGGAAATTATCAGGCATAGTGCAGAAAACTTAGGGAGGAAAATGTCAAAAGCGAAGGGCTTTCTTAAATGCCCTTCGGCTGAAAATGGAGAACAATGCCCTGTGGCAGCACTTCTTTTGTTTTGGTACCCAGAATTTTTGTTTTTTTGAGACAAGGTTTCACTGTAGCTCAGGCTGGCCCTGAACTCATCTTGTAGCCCAGGCTGGCTTGACCATACAGCAGTCCTCCTGCCTAAGCCTCCTGAGTGCTGGGATTACATGTGTGTGCTACCTTGCACACCTGCATGTCCTCTACTTGGCAGTGACAAAGTGAAGAAATAACTCGCCAGTCAATTCTCAAAATATTCCACTGAGTTAAGATTCAAGAAAAAAATGTTTGGATCTTGTACTACATGAGCACAATAATGATTGTTATTAAATTGGCACTTACAAATGAATTTAAACAAAAACAAACTTCCCTTTCAGTCTCTGTGGTGGGAAAGACGGGCTTTTCCGCTGAAGGATGAAGACCAGGTGGCCTTACCCGGCCACGGTGAAGGACAGGAGCATCCCGGGAGGCCGAGAGCCGCCTTCCGCGGTGATGTCTCTGGTACCAGTGCACCAGAGAGCGGGCACCAGGCGACCAGCCAGCTCGACGCGATGCCAGAATACTCAGCCTTCGGTCTAGGACTTTCTCAGGTTAAAAATAACAGGTGACAGGGAACAGGTAAAGAAAAGGATGTCAACGAAGAGAAGACAGACGCAGACACGAGCTGTGTCCTGGACCTTCCACGCCCTTTCGCCCAATTCAAGAGTAAGAACGGACTGCACGTTTTCATCAGTTAGGCAGTCTGTGAAACAGGCGAGAGAAGCCTCTTTGCTTCTCAGAGCGCAGAAGTAGCTGGCTTTCCACCTCTCGGCAAATGCTCATCATATGAACTATAAGCACCAATATATTAACTGCTGCAATCTGATGTCCAGTCACATTACTGGGTATTAGTAAGACGCTACACCCCCATACCCAGACAGACACACACACCCCTGACATCAAATGACGATTCCGCTTTCTATTCCTATGACAATTCAATGAAATTCCCTGGGATACATATTGGAATGTATACACACACGTCACACGCCTAGACTGAAAACGGCACCAGCAGTGACCCATTCCACTAGGAAACCCACACAGGGAGCACCTATGAATGGAAGCTGCGACACACAACGCAGGTCTGCAACAAGGAGAGACATCTAAGTCTAGATGATGGAGGAGTACTTTTGGCTTTTTATTTGTGAAGTTTGTTTAAACAACAAAAGTTACTTGAGGAAACTCTAGCAGATAACAACACAGTCATCTATTTAAGTGCTGGTATCTGCAGGACTAACCACAGGGTACTGTTTACTCATAATGGAGTTAGGATAGGCAAACCAGAGTTAAGTATCAGTGTGATTTTAAACTGTTACATCTTTGAAAACTCATTTTGCCTACATTATTTTATGTATCACATGAAGAAAAATCAACTTAAAACATGTGGCACAAACAGTAAAGCCCTTCGTAACTTTTTTTAATGGTTGTAATTCTGGCTCCTTCGGCCCTATATCGCTGTAACTATGGAAATAAAACTCTACTCTTACCTGCATCCCATGCATTAAAATGTTCAAAGGACAGTACTTCAGTATCAGAAACTCAGGAGCATACATTAAGGAAGATCTCTTCTGAATCGGTAAAGCTGGTTTTTTTTCTGTGACAGTTGAGAACAATCTGTGTGTATCCACATAACTGAAAACTCTGGCCACCTGGCCTAGTCTATGGGACTTAGCAGTAAGTTTTTTTTCAGGACTGGAAATTATTCCATTCCCTTTGAAGGAAACAAACATTGCAATTCAATACTGACAAACTTGTGCTTGTAGTTTTACTATACATTTATTTTTAAAGAGAAAGAAAACAAAAGCCAGACAAACCCAGGTTGTCCTGGTAAATAAATTTAAATCTTCGTCATGTCTAATATTATATAATCTATGTAAGATTTTTAATTAAAGTTATTTCTATATGCCTTGTGTGACAGAATTAAATGCTACCTATTCATGGCATGACCTCCTTCTAAGTCAAAATTAAAACAATAGTAACAAATTTTTATTCACAGTGTAAGAAAAAACCTAACTTCTATTCCAAGCACAAGTATTAATGCAAATATTCTGAGTCTTACTTCTCGAGAAATGTAATACTGGTCCTGTTACTTCTTGCCACATTTATCATACAGTAAGAGTGTTCACAAAACTCTGGCACCTCTCTGCCTAGCTGGTCTATCTTGGAATAAAATATATATTCTTGGGTCAGGATCCATAGTTCCAGAACATTCTCAGCCACCTGATGCTGCTACAGGGTACGGTCAGACTGAAAATGTTAAATGAAAGAAGCTTCTTTTGTCTAACCCACCTCCTGGAAGCTCTAGTTGTTAAAAAAAGGGAAGACCAAAAACCCTAGGATCTGCCATACTAGGTCCTTCCCATGGTGCCACCCTATTTACTTTCATTTTTAAAATGGAACAAAAATACCTGTCCTACCACTTAGGGGAATAATCTGTAGGTTTAATGAAATCATATAAAAACTTTATGGTCGACCAAACAAACGTATGGAATGTCAGCCACTTTATGTGGAGTAACTTCTAAGTTCTACAAATACTACTGGAGGCTTCCCATTCCTCTTCAGGCCCTTGACACATCCTGCATGGTTTTTAGTTACAGTATGCTCAACACTCCAGCGAGTTAAAAGTGCAGAAGGATGGGTGACTTGCCAAGGGCAGCAGAAAGGGACAGATTCAGAATCTACTCAACACAATGGAAATTCCAAAGGAAAGCTTTACTTTTCCTTTCCACACAGAGCTAACAAACACAGCAGCAGCATCCGGCGCCCTTAGGATGGTGGGTGAGATTAAGAAATCACGGAATAACTAACCAGCTTTGGCAGTATGAATACTATGGTAAAATCCACGCTTGCATTTTACAGTCCTTTACAATCCTTACACTGCTTTTATCGTTTTTAATGAGTTGAGTATAAGAAGGTCAGAAGTGAAAACTGATTCATGCAAGATGTACAGTCTGCCACCCACTCAAGCTTCTAGGTTTTAGTTCCACTGTACTCTTATTATCAGGCTTATAAACCAATCAGAAATAATATGAACTAGGAAAAACAAAGACTGGTTTCAAGAACAGCTGGAAAATAAAACATTCTTTTCAAAAATACAGAAAAAATTTTTTCATAGTAGCTAACATGCCCTTTGTAGGCATTAAGACATAGTTCTGTTTGTAACCTTATCAGTCATGTTTTCACACTATAAAAATCAATTCTTCCATAAAAACGGCATTTCACACTCATCTTTAAATTTCGTGGCTAAAATGTGGTTAAGGTTCTGTACCCAGCTTTGAGTCGCTGGAGTAGCTGCTCAGAGACGCAGCGCTGCCTCAGCTGCAGGGGGTCGGGGAGTCTACGTGCCTGTCCTCCAGGGAAAGGGTTTCACGACACACACGCTGGACTCCCTGCGGTCTCATCGGTCAAGGGAGCGTTTCTGAGCAGCCTCTGAGCACACGTTTCTTAGTAAGTTGATCACAGACCGGGGGTCCTCACTCCGCATGATGGCGCTGCCGGACACAATCATGTTAGCTCCCGCCTGGAAGAAGTGAACATGGTTACGGCTTTCAGGAGGGCCTGCAGCAGCTCTCCACGACAGTTTCTGTCGCCGCCTCCACAGCCGCGTTGAGATGGGTGCACCTTAGTAAGGTAGGAAGTTCAAATGCTCAAGGACGACAATATAAATGTGTTTAAGAAAAAAAAAATCACTGTCTCTCAGGTTAGACTGACTCAAACTATGCAGTATCTTTGCTAATATTTAAATAAGGCTTTAAACCCTCTCAGAGTTTCCCCCAATGTATACCAAAGCTCCTACAGATACTAAGAGCTATTACTAATCTCTGAATTCATTACGTGAATTTGTGGATACTCTGAAAGGACAATTATGGTGAACATGTGAAACTATCCGTAAGTTAATGGTAACATTAAATTTAAATAACCTCATTTTGTGTCAGGAAGAATGGAATATTTATGCCTCCTTAGCATTCCAGAATGCCAGAAAGATTTTCAAGATAGTATTTTAGAAGCAAAGAAATAAAAATGAAGAAAACGCAAACAAACCACCTCTTAAGTTTAGTTCTTAAGATCTGACTTGAAAGTATTCCAATCTGTTTAGCAATTCATTGCAAGAAAGGGCAGGAGGAAAACCACAGAGAAAACTCTATCAGTGAGACCCTGCCATATGACAATAGTGAGGTCTCCAACGTTCCTTATAGAAATCACAAAAGTATGGCACAGATAACACTTCACACGCCTCTTCATTGGAACAGGAATAGCATAACAGTTTAACAGACAGCAATCTATGAGGGACAAATGAATAAATATTCAAAAGCATCTGGGTGGTATGCTCCTCCATAAAACATCTATTGCTGTCAATTTTTTTTTTTTTTTTTGTCTTTTTGAGGCAGGTTCTCCCTATGCAGTTCAGGCTGGTCTCGAACTCGCAATGACCCTCCTGCCTCGGCTGAGTGCTGGGATTACAGGAGTACACCACCATCCTTGGCCTGCTGTCAAGTTTTGACAGGTATGTACCAAGGAGAAAAGCGTGGCTATCAGAGCAGAAACCAGAAGTGCAGACACACTCCCCTGCTGAATAAAAGTGAGCCATGTAGATAGGCGTTGACGGTGTACTCCTGGCACTCAGCAAGCAGAGGAGTGACTCACAAGTTCTGGCCAGCCTAGACTTCACAGAGAGGTCTCAGAGAAGCTTGTACCACCCCACCCCAAAGCAAGCAGGCAGCGTAAGCAGTAATTCCCTACAGTGGCATTCCAGGCCTCACATCCTCTTAGCTACGTGAAAACAGAACAAACGCTTGTCACTGCTACAGGGTCAAACGGACATCAGGCAGACTTTCATCAAAAGCTGTTCAGCTCTTACAAGTGACAAATAGGTGACACTTCTAAAAACCAGTATGATAATTAGGTCAACTAAATTTCCTTAGACAGTAAAAAGCAATGAAAGATATCGTTCCTTTCCCTCATCTGGAAGATTTCTCACTCAAGGCCTTGCAGCCAGAGAGCTGGCATTTGATACCTTTTTTCTCCATTAATGAACATTACTGAAATAATTTTCTACTTAACAATTTTATGTTATTTTAGAAATTCACTTATTGTTCTGTTTTCCTAGTTTTACATTTGGACAAGAGCATCAACAACCACAAAGCACTTTCCCAAGAAAGAAAGTCAATCCAGGAAACACAGGAGAACTGTCTAGGGCCACCCAACAGTGACAGCAAGGGTGCAGTCATAGTCAAGGTCACCCGGTGGTGTCACTCACCTCTGCACACTTATGGACAGTGTCAGGACCCACGCCACCATCCACCTCTATGTCCAGGGACGGAAACTGGGTCCTCAGCCAGTGGACCTAGACACATTGAACAAGTAAGTGACTCCTGAGCAGGAATGTGGGGAAAAAACAGCCCTGACAGACAAAAAATCAAATAGGTCATTAGCTAGCCCCTAAAACGCCAACCCTCTCAAATAAAGACATTATCTGTAAAAAAATAAATAAATAAAATAAATAATAATAATGAGGAACACATGCTTTTTAATGTACAGAAATGAACTTTATAAAAGGAAGTTTTCTGCTTGACAAACGATGTTCAATTTGCCATGGTTTTGCAGAGCCTAGATTTTTATGGAAACAAAACAAGCAAACCATTGATACTCAGTGAAAACCCCAAGATATCCCAAAGTATCTAGAGGCCACAGAGATAAAGGTTTCAAAAGGAAATAGGTAGGCATATAACAGCAGTGCTCCATTCAAACCCTAGATGTCACTGGCTGCTCACACTGTACTAGAATGAAGTAGGCACCCTGTCCCAGTGTAACATAAACCACCCTCTCTATATACACTATGCGAATAAACACACAAGCTACTAAATCCTTCTGTTACCTTTGGCATCATGTCCTCCATGAATTTCTGTCCTCCAAACCCAGGTTCCACTGTCATGACCAAGGCCATATCGATTTGATTAGCCCATGGTGCCAAATACTCAACCGTAGTTCCAGGTTTGATGGCAAGGCCAACCTGTGACAGAGATAAAGGTGCTACTTCACACAAACAATCATTTCCCTGTGTTACAGGGGCATCGCAGACCTAGCAGGAATATAGATTCGTATTTTTTAAAAAATGGAATTATTCAGAACATTACGTAAGTCTTTTTTCTTTTTAAATCAGTATTTCGGCTATCAAATATAAATGGCTCCAAACAGCAGTAACCTGCAGAAACAATTAACAGAATATACACATCCTATCTGACAAACAACTTACACTTCATCTCCAGCTTCACAGCTAAAGAACTGCTGTGTAAGTTAGGTCTTCTTTACCTGCCGGTTCCCATGTTCCACCAAATCGACTGCCATCGCGGACCTCTTACCTTCATCCCGTTCTCCCGGATGTCTTTGATCAAAGCCCCGGGGTTGTCGGTGGCCTCGAGATGAAAGGTGTATTGATTGGCTCCCGCGACGGCCATTGGCTTCACCCACTGCTCGGGCCTGGCCACCATCATGTGCATGTCTGGCAAGGAAAGACGGGCCATCAGCACCACTAGAGCACCACCAGGAGGAAGGCACCCGGCTTGGGCAAGCGCACGCTCTCCATCCGACTGCCGCACTGCGGTACCGGAGCCTCCCTCTACCCTCATGGATCTACCCTCATGGAAAGCGCGGGCTGCTGCGTTCGGAAACTACCGCCCAGAAGTCAGGAGCCCTGGCTCCCGACGACGCCAGGCTAAGAAACGTTCGCGTTCGCGGCCCATCTTTCTCAGCAAGTGGATCTCTGACTCCCCACTTACTCCTGCAGGCTAGCCTTAGGAGCGCTTAGCAAGGCCTCGGGCTGAGGTCTGGCTGCGGTGGCTGGGGGATCCATCGCTGCAGAGCGATCACTGCGGGAGAGGCAGGAAACAAGAGGCCAAGCCGGCCACACTCAGAGTGCACGCGGTCAGGCCGGTGACCGGGAGTGGACGGGCATGGGGCTGCACTCCACAGGGACGGAACAGCACCGGGCTTTGGGAAGAAGGGGCGAGTCTGACTGCAGCCGCTGCTGTGATGCTACCGAGAGGGCAGCGGGGTACAGCAACTGCGCGGTTGGCCAACCGGCAAGGATGAGACGGCACAGTCACTAAGGGCCAGTGAAAGTTAAGGCGGGAGGATTCGGGCCAGAGCCACTAGAACAGAATGGCTGGGACTGAACGATGACGGACTAGCACAGAAGGAGGGACAGACTCGAGGACAGAAAGGCTGACTGGCGGTCTGATATTTCCTTAGTTTTGAAGTCTGGCTCAAGACCTCTTCAGAGATCTTGACTTCAAACAACAGGGCTTCTTGAGCAGGAAAGGGCCAGTGAGACTGGGCCAAGGATCAGCTCCGTAAGGAAAGAATCCCAAGCCTGACCCAAGTGGTGTGGGGCGCATTCCTGAGTTTTGATTTTACCAGAAGAACATTTATGACATAGCCACACAGCGTTTAAGAGAAAAACTGTAGTATTTTAGAACCTAAGACTTTAAAGTTTACCGAAACTTTAGGAAAAAGTCAGGAGAAGAGTACACAGTTTTACTAATGAAGTCAAGATTAAAATTTATTTCTAAAGTAGAAAAACAAATTAGAATTTTAGTGGGCAAAACTTTCCCTCCCTCCTTACTTTCACACTGCTGGTGACTGAACCTAGGACCTCTGCAATGAACTACATTATTGGTCTTCTGTGCAACAGTGGTGGAACCTGAATTCGTGATCCTTAGTTCCTTAGTTCATATATTCTCCATAAGGAAAATTCAATCTGGCTTATAATATCCAGTTTATTTATTCTGTAAGTTATCAGATTTCCAGTCATTCTGACTCAATCTCCAGCCTACAGTAACAACCCCACTGCCGAATCCCCATAATTTGGGACAGTCATGGATCAATAATTTGCCTATAGTTAATAAGATCAGCAGTTCTCAAATATCCTACTATCTGGTACCCTTTACACTCAAAACTTAACTGAAGAGCTCAAAAAATCTGTTGATGTAGGTTAGAGTAATATGTATTAGGAATTCAAAGACATTTTTAACATTTATTAATAAATTGTTTACACTAAGTCATTAACTGTAATTCCCTTTTATTCAGGGTTTTGCTTCTGCAGTTTCATTTCTGAGGTTTTCTGCTGTTGATCCATGGTCCAAAATAATAAAAAAATTCTGGAAGTAAACAAGTAATTTCTAAGTCTTAAATTGTCGAGCTTGAACCACCTTGCTCGAGGAATGACCCCTCTGCCCAAGTGTGTTTTACTTAATCATCACACGAAGGCTCCCAAGTAACGATGTTGGCAATGCAGATGTGCCAGAGAGGCTGTGAAGTGCTTCCTTTAAGAATTATTTCACATCTTCACAAGAAGAGTAAATACAGTACGGTAACATAGCTTGAAAGACCATATTCACAGATGTCTTACTGCAGCCACTGTATTTTTTTTTTTTTGGGGGGGGGGTCCCCTGGGAATCGAACTCATGACCTTGTGCTTGCCAGGCAGGCACTTCTGCCCCTGAGCTAAATCCCTGGCCCTAGCTGCTGTATTCTTGTTGCTAGTCCCTCACTGCCTAATCATAAATAAGCTACACCAACAGTATAGACTCTGATTTGGCAGTGGTTCTAAGCTGGACAGCGTACTTTGAATTCTGATCTGTTTCCTGCAAGAGCCATTTGTGCACAGTAAATGCTCCCTTCCAACGTGGCGAGGAGCCACAGCTCCCAGTCAGTCACGATGCTGTAAAGTACACTGTGCTGCCACTGTTGCTCTGGAGACAGGCATTCAATAAATCAAGGCACTCAACCATCAGTATGCAGTGGGCTTCCTGTTACCTGATTTTGCCAAGCTACTGGCTAATGTAAGAGACGCTAGGGTAAGGCTGAGTTTGACAGGTTACAGTTATTAAATGCATTTCTGACTTATATTTTTCACTTACAATGCATTTACCAAGAATTACCCCACTGCAAGGCAAGGGGCATCTGCTATTGAGCTCAGAGAGGTAAAAGAGACTTTTCCAATATTGTTTTTCTCCTGCAAGCTCCATCGATGGCAACAAAAACTGACAAGCCATTTTCCCTGAAGTGACAAGTTCATCTTGTTAATTTTAAAGAAAATATGAGTAAAACAGTCAATTCTAATAAAGCACAGTTTGTCAGTTGTGTTTTCAAGAAAAAACAGTGTTCACTGAAAAAGCTAATTCAGCTCCTAATTCAAACTACCATGCAACAGGGTTTTCCTTGAAACAAGTATCACAGCTGAGTATGCAGAAGAGCTTCCTCTTTCATACAAATGTTCAAGAAACAAGATCTTACCATTAACATACCTTACAGATCTAGAGAAAACATTTCTAAAATTCATTTGGAAACAGAAAAGACCTATAGTAGCAAAGGTAATCCTGGATAACAAAGGCAAGGCAGGCTGACTTGAAATTATACTACAAAGCTACTGTGATAAAATCAGCATGGCCCTGGCAAAATAACAGACCTAAGGAACAATGGAACAGGCTAGAAGATGCAGACACAACTACAAAGATACTCAGCCACCTTATCTTTGACAAAGGGACTAAACATGTTCACCAGCATAAAGCCTAAAAATAACACAGTGCTGGAAAAATTGGCTTTCCATAGGCCAAAGATTGAAACTAGACCCACGTTTATTACCATGTACTAAAGTCAGAATGGATCAAAGATCTAGGACAGAGTTTTTGTTGTATTTTTTTTTTGTACTAGGGATTGAACTCAACGACTACAGGTTTGCAAGGTAGGCACTTATGCGGCTGAGCTAAATCCCCAGCCCTGGATCAATGATCTAAATATTAAAATAGAAACACTAAATCTACTGAGAGACAAGGTAGGGAGAAATCTTGAAGACGTGTAGGCAAAGAGTTCATGAACAAAATGCAAACTGCATGAGAAGTATTTCAAAGAATCAACAATTAGGATCTTATTTTATTAAAAAGTTTTTGCCCTTCAAACGAAATCACAGGGCTGGATATTTAGCTCAGTGGCATAAGCACTTGCCTGGCAAGTATGAGTCATGAGTTCAATCCCTGGTACCAAAAAAAAACAACAACAACAACAAAAAAAAACAAAAAAAACAAAATCACAAGAGGCTGGGGATTTAGTTCAGCGGCATAAGCACAATTTAAAAAAAAAAGAAATCACACAAAAAAAATCAATAGAGTGAAAAGGAAACCTACAGAATGGCCAAGAATTTTAGCCAACTATCCCTCAAAGGACTGGAATGTAAGAACTGAAAAACATCAGACCCCCGCCCCCAATTCAAAGAGCCACTCGAAAAATGGACATCTGAGATAAACACATACTTCTAAGATGAAGAAATACAAATGGCAAATAATTACATGAAGAAATGTTCAACATCACTGGTTATTTGAAAAATGCAAATTGAAAATAACATTGAGATTCCACCTCACTCCAGAAAGAATGGCTGCCACCAAGAAATCAACCTATAACAAATGTTGTGGGGCTGTGGGGGAAAAAGGAATCCTTTTGCACTGTTGGTGGGAATGTAGACTGGTGCAACCACTGTGGAAATTCCTCCAAAAACTAGGGTCATTCAACCTAGCTACTCTCTGTCTGGGTATTTTCTCAGAAAAACTGAAAATGTCATGTCACAGGATATATGTGCACCCATGTTTATAGCAGCGCAATTTGTAATAGCCAGATCTGGGACATAAGCCAAATGGCCATAAACAGGAATAGATAAAAAAGATATTGTACTGTGATACAATGGAGTACTACTCAAGTACATAAAAAAGGATAACCTTAAGGCTTTTATAGGTAAATGGAAGCAACTTGAGACCATACTCATAAGTGAAATAAATCAAACTCACATTTATAAACATTGTATTGTCTCCCTAGTGTAAAAAAAAAAAAACACTAAAAAACTGAAAGAGTAATAAGATCCAAGATGTACAACAGATACTATAATAATGAAAGGGTAAGAAAGTGCTCAAAAAGAACGAAGAAATGGGATAGGGGAAAGGAGAAAAGAAAGGAAAAGATTATATGTATTTAAGTATACATATATAAATGTATGTTATGTATATGTATGCAACATAGATAACTGTACTACTAATCTCTGTTCATCAAAAAAAAAGTTTATGCTGTCACTCATCTTTTTTTTTGGTACTGGGAATCGAATTCACAACCTTGCACTTACCAAGCAAGTGCTTGAATCATAGAGCTAAATCCCCAGGCCTTATTTGATCATTTTTATGCCTAAATCTTATAATTAGAACTACTACTTGTAAGATAAGAATATGCACTATATTAACTAGAGTTAATTTCATACTATTTTTAAAAATTTCTATCCTTTTTTCTGTTTTGTTTTTTAAACTAAAAAATGAAGCACGATTTTTTTTCAGATCAGCAATTTATACTGTTTCCTAAGGGCACTTTCTGTGGACACACAGTGATGACACATTGATCAACACCACTGGAATGATCTGTATCAAAGCACCAGCTCACTAATGCACCACTGCCTTTGCATCATCAATATTTGCAACAAATAACACCTTCATTTTATGAAAATAGCTCTGACCACCCAGATAACTGGAAAAGGACTTAAGGATTTCCATGGCCCTGTACCACACTGCAGTAACAGTATAAACACAGTTATCTAAATCACAAACTAGTGATTAGATAATGAGAAAAGATTCCTTATCACTTGATTCCTTAGATGGTTATTTCAGCTCAATACTAAAGTGAAGCAATTAAAATTCTCAGAAGTTATGCACACAACTTGTGATTTAGGTTCCTAAAATACTTGTAGCAATTTTCTAACAACAAAGATAAAAGAACCAAAAAAATGCTTCTGTTACAAATATTAACTAGCAAGTTTTGCAGTGAACAGTAAAAGCAGGAAGAAAAGGGGAATGCACCTAGCAGCAGCAGCGGCACTGGAAACAGGAGAGACCCTGCCACCAGACACAGTCTGGGGAAGAGGCTGCACCAGAAACAGCCAAACTAAAAGGAAAAAAACGAAAAAAAATCTCAAGCCCGCTCTAGAAAGCCTCAAGCAGAGAACTCAGCACCCACTGTACAGTCAAGGTACACTATTTCATCCACGTCGTCTGTGTGTGTGAAAAATTCACAGAGACTCACGGGATCAGATATGACCTGATCAAAGAAGTAAGAAATTTACTCTGGAAATGCCATTTTCAAAAAAAAAAAGATTAAAAAAAAAATTCGGCCTCTCCAAGCATTGTTCCGATAACCTGGAAATTTCCAGTGATGGCGACACTGCTGGAGAAGTGTCCACTGTGTCCCCTGAGCAAAGCATGAAGGGTGTGCTCTTTGGTCCACTCAAAGGACACAAAACCCCCAGCAAGGCTGGAAATGTCCCTCAGCTGACCAGTCCAAGCCCAGGGGTCACTGCCCCACATGGCCAAGGACTTGCGATGGGGCCAGTGTGAGCAAGGAATTCAATGTTGAATTTTAATCACTTCTAACTGGTTACTCGTGGCCTGCACCTACCACCAATGAACAGCACTCCTTTAAGAAACTGGCCGAAAGTATGCCGGTAAAAACAACAGAAGGGAGTCAACGGAAGGGAGTCTGCGGTAGCTTTACACCATACTCTTGAAAGCGCCTCACTTACACTGAACTAGCGTCAGCTAGCAGAGTTCCTATCTCTGACCAGAGCCCTACAACTCAGCAAGGGGCAAAAGGTCAGTATTTATACTCAAAGTATGCTTTCCTAGTATTACATGCTCATGCGGTCATATGGAAAGAAAGAAATTACCCAACAGCCAGCGGATCGCCTATACAATATAAGGAAATAGATGATCTTTATTATCTGTTTATCTACCCTACAAAGTGGCAGTAATACACTGAAAAGGACATCAAAAATAAGGTGACAGACTATCTCAGGATAATCAACTGGCTGACGCAGCAACTAAAAAGGCTGCGTGGGGGACCCACCTTCAAGCCCCCTTCATCTTGGAGGGTCCCTTGAACATATTCAACCCAAATACTCTCAGCCAGAAATTAAATGGGCTCTCTCAGCTTCTTCCATCAGGATGGATACAATCAGATGATGGAAATTGTTTTTTCCTGGTGCTAGTCAATGGAAAATAATTAAGTCTTTAAACCAAACCTTTCATCTAGAGACAAAACTCAACAGATGGCTTCAAAGCTATTCATAGGAAAAGGACTTGCTCAGATAGTAAGACAGGTATCTAAGACCTGTGAGCTCTGCCAAAAGAACAATCCTCTTAACCGAACCATAGTTCCTCCAGGCCGACAGAGACATGGTAAATATCCTGGAGAAGCCTGGCAGCTCGATTTTACTCATATGCCAAAAGTAAGGGACTTCAGTACTTCTTGGTCTGGGTAGATACTTTCAAAACTGGGTTAAGGCTTTCCCTGGCAGAACAGAAAAAACAGAGGAGGTAGTGAAAGTTTTAGTCTCAGAAATCATCCCCAGATTTGGACTTCCTAAGAGCTTACAAAGGATAATGGATCTTCTTTTAAAGCAACAGTAACACAGTGTCTCTCAGGCCCTGGGCATCTCTACCACCTCCACTGTGCGCGGAGGCCACCATCATCAAGAAAAGTAGAAAAGGTAAATGAGACCCTAAAAAGACATCTTCTTCAATGGCTCAGGAAACCCATCTTCAGTGGCCTCATTTACTATCTCTAGCTCTTATCAGAATAAGAAATACGCCTCAAATCCTGGGGCTTAGTCCATATGAAATGCTTTATGGATGCCCTTTCCTCACTAACGATTTTTCTTCAACAGAGAAAATGATGCCTTATTAAAAGATGTCACTTCACTGGCTAAATTTCAACAAACTCTTCAGGAGCTAACAGAAGCTTGGCCTACAGAAAAAGAAAATCCTCTATTCCACCCTGGAGATTTGGTAAGATCTCCTCCCTCATCATCTCCCTCCCTAGGACCAACTTGAGAAGGACTTTACACTGTGATCCTGTCGACTCCTTCCACAGTGAAGACAATAGGCCTGGACTCCTGCATACAGCACACCAGACTCAACCCTGGGAGCCAGAGCCGTCACTGGAAGTGAACAACCACCCACACACCCCTGCGAGCCCACAGCCCTCTTCAAAAAGAAAACGAAGACTTCCGATAAGTAATGCTACTACCAGCCCTTTCACGTTCACTTCACCACTCAAGGCAGGATGCAATTCCTTTTCAATATGGGCACCAGAACAATGCAAAATCACTGCAACAAACATCTTGCTGGATATGTGGCTTTCTGCCCTTGTCCAGTACATCAGGATTTCCTTGACTTAAAGCTATGCATATACCCAAGATGAAAATGCCTGGTATCTATAGAGGGCCTGTGCACAGGATCTCTGTGGAAGTACCTTGGACTACCGATCAAACACTGCAACCCTGTTCAGCTTGAGGCTGCTCGATGGGTCATCCCCCATTACCCCTCACAGCAGTGTGGATTACTTCTTCAGAGGGGGGAAATGTTATAAGGCAGCTGAGCCAGTTAGAAACATTACAGGCAGTCAGACAGGGTTAGGCCCTCGAGGAAGCAGGACCAGATATCTGATGACCTTGGAGGGGACACACACCTTTTGCTGTGGGCCAGATCTCAAGACAGAAGTCAAAGCAAATGCAACCACACTGTTTTAAGTATAATCCTTAGGGATTAAGCCTGGATCACCTTGAAATCAGGAGTCACCATTCCAATCCCTAGGGAAGAGTCACTGCTCTCTAAGAATGCCTGCTTCCCATGTGACTTGCTTTCCCATTCGTCCCTAATGTAATCAATTTTACCTGAACTATTGATTTTATTGGCTAACTACGGTAACGTCCCACCTTATGCCCATCTGCCTTGTGAGTTTCCAGTCCCTCCTCCCCCCCAACCTATGGTTTTACTCTATAACCTTCTCGGGACTCCTTCTGTCTCTCTTCAGACAGAAGCTTTCTTTCTCTCAATAAATATATTCTACTCTTCACCTCCGCTGTTCCTAAAATTCATTCTTCAGTTTTAGAGAACATAAACGCATGGACATGGTAGGTTAGGACTCTCATTCCTCTATATCAGAAGTTATTAAATTCTAGAAGTTACATAAAACACGATTTACAAAAATATGTATAACTTCTTATGCAAAAAGACTTGGAGAAATGAGGCATTGCTAAGACAGTTTAAAACAACAAATGCAAAACCATGTGGACTGAATCTATGCCTCGGTGGATGCAACCCCAGATCATGTGCTAAGAATCTGAATTAGTGTTATCTGAGGAAACTGAGGTGGACCACACTTAGACTCCATGTGGAGAAGGCTGCGCTTTCTATGAAATAAATGACTTCCGGACCATAGATCAGTCAACCGATTCGTAAGTCCAATCACACTGAGTCCCACTCCTATACAATGCACAGCTTCAGGGAAAACGCAGTGAACAAGTTAAGTCACTCTCCGCTCTCATAAATTTTATACTCTGATAAAACTAATCTCTGACTGAAGGAAATTCTAACAAGAAAATCAGTGAGACCTTAACTGGATAAAAGTTAATTTGGCGTGAGTGACCCGAGACCCAGAGATGAGGCAGTCAGCCAAGTGAAAAGCTGCTCAGGCAGACATGGGCAGGTAGGAGACGGAGGCGGAGGAATTTAGCCCCTGAAGCCCTAGCACAGGGAGCAGCGCAGCAGGGACCAGGAGCCAGGCACAGATCAACCTGAAGTTAAGAAATCAACTCTCCACTTTCCCTTCACACAAATAACACATTCAACTTCAGATGACATAACCCACACTTACCAAAGAAAGGGTCCTGGCCTAGCTGCTTTCGGAGGCTTTCTACCACAGGGTGACCAAAGGTGATGTTGGGAACAAAATGCCTACAAGACAAACAAAACCTTACTCTGAAAATGTTTGCAATTCAGTTTCTGCATCTCTCTCAGTATGAAGTGTGATGGGGACAGGAGATGGATCGTGCAAGTTTTCAACTTAGTATTAAAACTGAGGTAAAAATGCTGGGTAATTTTGGTTCTGGGTTAACAGTATCTCCCTGATGTGGCAGCAAATATGTAATGTCACATGCATCTTCATAACGATCAGTCTGTAATTTATAACCCATGATAATTGAAATGCAAAGATAACGAAGTTAAAAATCCCAAAGTTTATGACTTGCTGAACACACAACTAATTAGTGAAATGCACAACCTTAACAGTCTCCCAAATTCTAGCTTGTCACAGGAAACGCGTGGCTACTGCCAATCCACTTCAATCACAAGGCACAGAATACAGTTTATTTAAACTTTATTAAAGATACCCATTTACATGCCAGGGACTATAGCCCTACTTCAATCTGTTTTCACAAAGCCAGATGAAAAGGTACTACTATTACTCCCATTGAAGAACACAGGCTAAGTCATTCGGTTAATAATCTGTGGAGGTAGGATTCAACCGAAGTCTGCCCGGTATCAGACTCAAGATAGCCTTTAACCTGCAAGATTCATGCTGGGTACCTAGGGCACTGTGTCTTGGGAAGAAACATGTCAGTGTTGGCTTTTTAGGCTGACTTCACACATTCGCTGACAAGTGATGGCTGGCCACTCACCAAAGTTCATGACCCTGCAGCTACAGTACCAAGGCAGGCGAGAATCCGGCTCACCCAAGGACTACATTCCAAAGCAGCCCATGTGACTAGCTGTCATGGATGGACTGAGTTTTGTGATATGTGTCACTGCAGAGTCTATAAGTTAAGTGGTACATGAGCATCCTTGGTCCAAAAACCCAAAATGTTTTAAAATTATAAAACTTTTGAGCGCCAACATGATACCTTGGGTTGTAAATTCCACTCACCAAGTGACAGACTGCAATCAAAATGCTGGGTCCCTAACGTGTACCTTCAGATGTGTATAAGGTGTATTTGGGGGGAAAAAAGGAATTTCATGTTTAGATTCAGGTCCCATCCCCCAAGTATCTCATTCTATACACGTAAGTATTGCAAAATAAACAACTGACACACTCCTGCATTTTGGATCAGGTTGTTTTCTACTCTCTGTGGAGCAGGGAACCAGGGCCTTAAGCACGCGGAGCAACCGCCCCTATTCTGGAGGAGGGGCTTTCAACCCTCCCAAAACTCATCCTACTCTTGCTGTACCCTTCTACCATGAAAGCCCTTCAAGACAAAGGCAGTCTATTCCCCTGAATTACCGCTGCAAAGGCCACTCACACTGAACTGTTATACAAATAGCAAACTACACAGGGTGTGGCAGCACACACCTCCCTCTCAGCGCACTAAGAGGCTGAGGCAGGAGGATAAGGGCCCAGGGACAACCCCGGCAGGGAAGCGAGACCCTGACTCACCACATACAAGGGCTGGGGATGCAGCTCACCACGCGGGCACTGAGTTCAATCCCCAGGACCACAGAAGCACACTATAAATAAGCACTGGCTCTGAGGAAAGGTATACAAGAACAGCCATTACGTGGTTACATGTCATCGTGGTTACATGTCAAACAGTTCAAAATAAGAGCAAATACTGCGGAATGGTAAGAAGAGATACAAGATTCATAAAACAATAAGATTTGTAAAGATGGAAAAGAAAGGAAGTAAAAGCTGGGCGTGGTGGCTCACACCTGTAATCCCAGCACTTGGGAGGCTGAGGCAGGAAGATCATTGAGAGTTGGGGGAAACAGCATTGATCAGCTTGCCTGGTATGAACAGCCCAAGAGGTAGGGGTCGTCAGATGAGGGGTGTCAGAGGCCGAGCTTGGCTTTTCAGACTTTACCCACTGTAAAGACAAGTAAAGCAAGAAGCAAATACTAGCTAAGACACAAACAATGGAGCAGGAAAAGGGGCAGGCTGTAAATGGCAAGGCAGCTTTGTAAGAGGTGGTGCTGGCAGGTAGCAAGGAACGGAATAATGGAAGGGAGTCCAGGACTGCTGGTCATCTGATTAGCAGGGAGCCCACCGTGAGACACGCCCAAGCACAAATTTCACAGGTTAGACTTTTAAAATCCCTTGCAAAACAGGTACTATTACCTGCATTTACAGATGAGGAAAAGAGACTTGGGATCATACAGCCAGTACCACAGGCAGGAGTAAAGACAGGCAATCTGGATTCAAATGGTTAGGTTCTCAATTACTATGCACACCGTCCCAGCAAGGAAAACAAGGACCAGAGTCTGGGGGAGAGAACACTGCTGAAAATGACGGACAGGCACAGTTTGAGTTGGAAGAAAACACTTGCCTAGCATGCTAAGGCCCTTAGGTTCAATCCCCAGCACCACAAAGAAAAAAATAAAAAAAAACACAAAAGTGTAGACACTTTCACAAACTAATATGTGGGTCCACATAGGTTGGATTTCATGTATTTAAGAAATTACTAACAGAAATCACTGTCAGGATTATAGATAAGATGCTATGTTAATTAAACTAGAAATAAGGGTCAAAGGTGCAGTCAGTAAAGACTTACTGAATAGTCCACGACTCTGGAATTAAAGAGATTTGACTTTATATACTGTTCATGAGTTTTGTAGTCTTGATCTGAGGTTACACTTACAATAAAGGTAATAAGATAACCACATCTTAGGAAAACACAAGAGTCAACCAAACACAGGTTTTCCTCATTGGGAAAATCAAGCACAACACGTAAACCTGACACCCACACTAGGTAACTGTTTGTGCTACTTAGGATCAGTGCGATGCGCTGGGTTTCCCAAGTACACTAGAAAAACAAAATGCACCCCTTTTCCCAGGAACAAGGGCCACACACCTCGGCAGGAAGCCTGGCTGTGCTGAACTTGCCCAACAGTGGTACCCACAGCAGCACCTGGTACGGACGGACAAACAGCCTCCACCTCAAGCCCACAGCCTCCAAAGAGGGCTGGAGGAGCTGAATCCTAACAAGCGCCTCAGGGAGTTCTTTTCAGACCAACCTGGAAAGCATTCAGTTTACTTTCAGGAGGAGAAACTGCATCAGGAAGTCTGCTTCACTCTACGTTGTTTTCCCTAAAGATACACTCTGGAGTAAGGTGTACAAGAAATAAAGTGCAGGAGCTAAGCATTTCTTTTCCCGAATTAACCCTAACTTTTCCTGGAATTAACCATAACTGTCTGTGATTTTCTGGTCTGTCATTCTGTCCCATCATCAACCTTAAGCTTCACTTAGAATATAACTGTAATGTAATCTGTATTAGACAGACAAGATAAACTCAGTAAAAACAAGGACTGGGGTTGCGGGGTTATACACCAAGACCAGAAAACACTGTTCCCGGGAGTCAGGAATCACACATCTAACAAAACTGCAGACAACATCTAGAAGCCAATGGGACAGAGCAGGGTGGGGTCCAAATGGACACTGGGCCTGGCAGAAGTGGCCACTGCCCCGTTCAGCTTATCCATTAGGATCCTGTCAGAGTGTGGGTGAGGGCTGGTCAATCCTTAGATTTTTAAAACAATTTCCCCCAAAGTCAGAAATCCAGTAGGAATATGAATTTTAAATCTTGCTCAGAAACACTCTTAGGAGCCAAACATTACACTCATGAGGCATTTGTGTATTCTGGGTTGTTTTTCCACATTGTACTTTACTGCAAATATCCAACCGTATGAGTATTCCACCTTCCGAAGTTGATCTCTAAACTTCTTTTGACTTTCTAGATAGACATTCAGTCTAGGTCAGGAAGGAAACTGGGGTCCCTAAAGTGAGGAGAGAGCGTAGAAAGTGAGCACATTCCAAGTGCATTAGATGAAACTTAAAAATTCGGGGAAACTTAAAGGTGGTACCAGGAAGGAAGGCATGCTGAGCTGCCCACCTTGGGCACCAGTTCTCTGCCCCATACGGGCACCACAGGCCTAGGAGATGGCACAGCTGGCCCTGAACTCACTATGTAGCCCAGGCTGGCCACAAACTCACAGCAATTCTCCTGCCTCTGCCTCCTTAGTGCTGGGGATACCAATGTGCACCCCTACACTTGGCATTACTCAATTCTTTTGAGAACACACAATCTCCTTTTTGTTCCAAGTTCAGGACTCACAGAAAGCATTTTTTGAGACAATACAGAGTGTTACATGCTTTTAATCCTGGCTTCCCCATTTCCTACCTATACACAAGATTCATATTCCTCACTGTCAAAAATCCTAGCGATAATGGCAGCACCAACCTCCCAAGTTTGTGTGAGCTTATGCACAAGAAATGTCAGCACAGAAATGGACAAGTGGCCATAAACATTACTACTCTTGTTAGGGATACATAAACTGGCAAAATGAAGACAAATTATTTTTCTCTGCCATTCCACAAAGCCATATATCAGCTGTTAAAGAAATTGCTTTCTTTATCAAACTTACTAACCTTACAAACTGAACCTGTAATTCTTAGCACTCTAAGGTCGAGGCTTTGCCATTTTAGTAAGACAGATTCAGAAGGTGGAATGAAAGAAAGAGGACAGATCCAGCGACACAGAACAAAGCAAGACAAAATTTTTTCCAAGTGAATAACGTTAAAAAGAACTAACCTGCTGTACATAATAACACTAACTTCCAATGTGAGTGACGGCACATGGAAGTTTTATCTATTTTAAGGGAGTTTATTTTTCCTATCCTGACCCACGGTTATGACTTTTATGATTTTTATGACCAGATGACACTGAGGTTCTGAGAGTGGCAGGCACTTGGCAATGGGACGTCAACCTGAAAGTCACACACACTGTGCTTCAGTCAGTCTGACTGTGTTTCCTAGGTCTGTCTCATTTTATAACCAGCTTAAGAAAGCTGTATCAGCCGGGCGTGGTGGCTCACACCTGTAATCCCAGCACTCGGGAGGCTGAGGCAGGAGGATCGTTGCGAGTTCGAGACCAGCCTGGGTTACAAAGTGAGCTCAAGGCCAACCTCTCAAAAAGACAAAAAAAAGGGGGGGGGGGCTGGGGATTTAGCTCAGCGGCATAAGCGCCTGCCTTGCAAGCAGGCAGTCGTGAGTTCGATCCCTGGTACCGATAAAAATGAAAAAGACCAAAAAAAAAAAAAAAAAAAAAAAAGCCGGGCGTGGAGGCTCACGCCTGTAATCCTAACACCCGGGAGGGGAGGCTGAGGCAAGAGGATCGTTGCGGAATTCGAGACCAGCCTAGGCTACAAAGTGAGCTCAAGGCCAGCCTGAACAGCACCGCGAGACCCTGTCTCCAAAAAAAAAAAGCTGTATCCTAGCTCCAAACATTATATGCTCTAACTACAGTGCCTGAAAATGACTTACAAAAACCTACCTCTCCCTAAAGAAGCAACAGGAATCTCAGATTTGGAACAGGGATACGACAGGGAATGTACACTACTGCACTTGCACTCGTTCTAAGCCGTCTAGGCAACGCAACTATAGCTCCGGGGAGGGTAACTGGAGACCCCGGAGCAACTGCCCACCCAGACGCTCGGTCTTCGCACCGATGCACTTGCCCACCTCTGCCCCTGGCCAGCTGCGCGAGCAGGAGGAAGGCACACCCGCCCCCGCCCCTGTGGGCCTCAGTTTCCCCACCTGGACATCAAACATGTCCTTGAGCCACGCTCGCTTCCGGGTCCTTCGGCCGGGTCTTCGGTGGGGGAGGGGAGGGCTGAGACGGGGACCCGACGGCACCGGCGCCGGCCCAGTGCCCGCCGCAGGCCCCTCTTCCTCCGGGGAAGGGGTGCCGAGCACCCCGCAGAGGTGCCCCCGGGGTGCGTCGTCCCGCCCCGCAAGCGGCAACCCGCCCCGAGCCCCCGGGAGTTACCCGTCCATGACGTCCAGGTGCAGATAATCGGCCCCGGAGTCTAGCATCCGGAGACACTCGGCTCCTAAACTGGCCAGGTCGCTGTTCAGGATGGACGGGCCGATCTTGCAGCCCGACGCCATGGTGCTAGTTGCCTAACACAAGTTATCCAAGACGGCCCCGGGTAAAGAGAAGGTTCGTCTGGATTGGGCTCACAATTTGGACCCGCCCCTTCCCCGTAGAATCTTCCGGACGCCGCCGGAAGCAGCCGTCCTTCAAGAGGAAGTCCCGCCTCCGCCCCCAGGGGGTGGGGCCGCTAGGGGAGGGCCTGGCGCAGGGGCTAGACCCACCTTCCTCTGACGTCATTCCCGCCTAGTTTTCCGGTCTACCTCCTTCAGGTAGTTTCTTAGCTTTCTTTTGCATCTGTTCCATTGGCGTTCACTCTTCTCGCTTTGGATCCTCCCTCACTTTTACTTTCTCCGTCATTTACTTATCCAATTCCTTTCCGCCCTCCACCTCGTGTGTTTTATTTGCCTTTGAAAAAATCACCCAGACTTCCCTATCGTGTGCCTCCTGCGGTAACGCTCTGGTCTCCAGTGGGAGCGTCCAGAGCCGTCGCTGCTCCATGCCTCAGTTTCCCCACCTGCGAATGCCGCAGTGCCCGGCATCTCGCTTTGCTGTGAGGATTCTGAGATGGCCGGGTCCTCGGTACGAAGTGATGGTAGCGGCTCCCCTCTCTGTCCCGGGTCTCCTGTGCTCCTCCCGCATTGGGCGAGGGTCCTGGTTCTAGGAGTGTGCGGAATCTGCGGGCTAGGAAGGAGATGAAGAAAACTCCGCGAGGACGGAGCGGTTCCGGGGGGCCGAGGACAGAGCGCCCCGCAATGTGCGGGAAGACACCGCGGTGGGAGGGGCCTAGGCCTTTATGGCAGCTCCGGCCTGTCCTCCCTCTGGGAAGTGCGTAGTCTGTAGCACACTGCAGCCTGGGCGGTGTGTTCCGTGGTCGGGATACCCGTCTTCCCTGTTCCCCACTTTGCTTTATTCTGTAAGTTAAGGGTAAGGGAAGCCGGGTAGAATGGCGCTCACTGCAGGGCGCCGGGGTACTGGGGCTTCTGGGTGGACGGTGACCTCGAACTGGATACAGGCAGCCCGCAGGGACCCCAAGTGAACATGTTGCTGAGAGAGCCAAGCCCTGTCGTAGTGAGAAATAAAACTCAGGCATGTGAAATGATTCTAATTTATTAGAGGTGCATATTCAAACACAGAAGTTCTTAATATCTTTCATAAATATCTTTCATAAACATTTCAATATTTGTTATGCATTTTCCCATGCTCTTTGGTCAGTATTCCTAAGATTTCTTAGTCCTTTGAGGGAAGTTGGCTGTGTAGTCAATCCTTCATTTTTACCTGTAAAGTAACTAACAAAGTACTCGTATCCTGTGGTCACAGTGACTGTTAAAAAAATATCATGGAGGTACACAGATCTGTAATCCTAAATGATCCTAAAATAATGTAATAAATTTATCTTAAGCTTTTCCAAATACATTCTGTCCTCAAATTGTTTTATTCTCCTGAGTGTCAAATCAACGTTTGCTTCTGCAATGCTGCAGTTGAGACCCACTGAAGTAAATGAGGAAGTGGGACATTCCACTTCACTGCTAAGACAGGAGGCTGTGCAGTTGGGAATATGAGGTCACAGGGCAAAAGTATGACTCAGTATTATATAGCAGCAAATTCTGAAGACTGTGCTCTTTTAAAATATCTGAATATCTTGATTCTTGTTTTGGACTGTAATTCTATTCCATTTTTAACTCTTTTTCCCCCCATAAGTCTCTAAAAACACTGTTCTTTCCTCAGAACCTCTCAAGAGCTGGGAACTGGCGTGGGCAAAGTGCTTTGCCCGCCAAAGGAACAGACGCTAAAGAGGAGATGTCCTCCTGTCTCAGGTATTCTCAGAGGCTTGATGCAGAAAACCGTCTTCTCCCAGCCTGTGTAATGGGCCTGATGATATCAGTACCACATATTTTCCCTCAGCAATGCCATGCGCCTGTTTATGCCTTCTGCTGCCAGTGTCAGTAACTCATTTCCTCTTCAGAAGGATCAAATAACTTATTTAATAGAATTATAGAAAGCAGCAAATACTGAAAAATGAAAACAAAATGTTTGCTATACAAAATTCTGTATCCAGGATTTGAACTGGTTTGAATCTGAACAGTACAAATCTCTACCCACTATCACGGGTGATAACATGCTTGTTCTAGTGTCTCTCAAAAGTTAATTTCAGAAAAAGCAATCTCTTTGTCAAGTCCAGTTTTTATACATGGGAGTGGGTACCTGTTATTTTTTTTCATTTGAATAGGTAATTATTAATCATCATGGCTTGAGCAATGATTAGTTATCACTACTGTATTTTTCATAGGTAATAATTGTTAGCTTTTAGTCATGTACTCAATAATACTGTTAACAAAAAGATTGTCAATTACCTTGAAATTTTTCCTTATCTTGCCCAACTGTTGATTTTTAAAAATAGTTATCCCTTCAAACTCCAGGAAACAGTATTCCTGAGAATACATCTTGTGACAGTCTTATGCACACATGCATGGATACTTTAGCCATTACACAGAAACAGTCAACATAATACACTCAACACATTGTTAAAGGATACCTTAGATGGAACAGATGCACACATCTGCAAATCTTAGTAGTTCCAGTGTGAAAATATTCCCACTCCGTAAGGCCTTGTTTCTCAGAGTGGAAGCTTTGCTTTGCTTCTCTTCTCTTTTTCCTTTTTTTTTTTTTTTCAAAGTACAATTAAACGTAGCTTATTGAAAAAGTCTAACAGATTTTCATAGACTAGAATGCGAGAGTCAGGCTAAAGGGTAGACAGACCAGCAAAATCATGTTCAAAACAGCCCAATACATTTAAAATATATATAAAGATATTTAGGGTTTTTGTTGGGTATTTAACAATCTTCTTTGATCCCTTTTTAAATATTTGAAAGTTATATAGAGAGAATTTGAATCAAGAAACAGACATCACATACACTAGAGACTCAAGTACCCAGACACTTGTATTACCAAACATAAGGCCTCTAATGCTAATTAAGCAGCATAATTTTTAACAGGAAAATATATATCAAAGCCAGAAAACCACTTACATATCTACTTTTGCACTTGGGAATTCAGCACTAAGTATAAATGACATGAGAATGTTATAAAACATAAAAGAGGCTGTTTACCTCCTTAATTTTTTAACTGTAAAATTCAAGTTCACTCATCATTAACTTACTACTATTTTTCATTCTCTTAACAAAGGGGACTATAACCCCAAATTACATTTGAAATCGTAAGTCACAGTATAAACAGTGCCTACTTAATAATTTTTTTTTTTTGAGACAAGCGTCTCACTATGTAGCATAGGCTGGTCTTGAACACGCATATATAGCCTGGGTTGGCCTTGAACTCATAGTGATCCTCATGCCTCAGCCTTCCAAGTGTTGGAATTATAGCCAGGCATCCACCATTGTGCCTGGCCCTATAAGCAATTCTAACAAAAATAATTTTGCTTATGATTATGTTAGGTTTAGTCAGTATCCTCGACAAAAGGTACGTTTTACAGCCATTAAAGTGAAAGTTTAACCATGTAGACTATATTTTAAATTCACCTCAATGTAATCAAAGTATATGTTTAACTTTTACTTGAAGACTAGAAAACACACATACATACACGCACCTCCGCCACTGCCACACCAATTTAGGTCTGTGTATAGTAGTTATGTAATAGTTTTCTAACGTAAACTGTTAAAACACTGAAAATTAATATTGGACTACATGATGCCCAGCCCTTCAGTAATCTGCCAGTTATTGGCCTCACAGCCCTTCTAAATCTTATACTCTCCTGGACATAATTGAGCTTCAAGTTAAAGGCCTATTTGTAAAATATACAAGCTTGCTATGTCTATGAAGAAATTGCTTACTTTTTTTTTTCCTCATAAACGTAAATGCCCACGGGATCATAAGAATATTTTTACTACTGAGACAGTTATTTTATTGAACCAGTTCTACTACTAACTTTAATATATGAAAATATATTCTCAAGGGCAGGCACAGGATACTGTAAAGAAATAGTCACATTTCCCAATAAATTCTAAAGTTGGCACTGATGTAGTCAAGACTAGAAGTAAGAGTACTATCTCGAGCTATTATATTTACATTAAGTTTTTATAGTTGTATAGATATTTAGGCTCTTGTTAATTCAGACATCTGTCTGGTCATTTCTAGCATATTTTCTGCCGAGTGGTTGATTATGAAATGGAGTGATCTTACGGTATTAGCATTTTGATTTACAACATGCAGTCAAAATGACAATTGAAAAATAAATTCTGAAAAGTCCACGGCTCTAAAAATAGTATCTTTTTATCCTTCTAAATGGTTCTATTATTGACCCAAACACAAATGGCTGAGGACATGGTATTTAGTATTATCAAACTAATATTTTCCTTATTGTTTTTTTTGTGTAAATTGCTATTTATATAGCCACCTAATTTAACGTTTGAAACTATAAAAATAAACATTTGCATGAGATGTATTTGAACAGTCTCAAAAAATTGCATTCTTTTTAGAACATATTACTTGCTAATATTTCTATGAAAGCACTTGAGTAGTATATATTTTTAACTGCGCAAGGCTTCTTAGATCATAATGTGCAGTGCAATGGCTCTCTCCTCGTACTTCTCCCTGGTTTTTACGGACTCCACCAACTAAATCCTTCTGGCCATTGATTTTAAGACGTTTGTGATACATCAGATGTACTGGCAGCAAAATCTCTTCAGATTGCGCCATCTGTTGCATGTAAAGTGCATTTTATAAGTAATCTTTAAAGCAGACGTATTAAACTCTCAGCAGTGATCCTTCCCATCTCTTCTGTCCCCCCCCCCCAGTGCTTGTAAGACACACAGCTACACATGAGACTCATCCAGGGCCACGTCCACCTCCCCCAGCTCGGTGGGAGTGATCGTGAACTGGCACAACAGGGGGTTCTCCATGCCGTTCTCCTCACTGATGTGAAGCACAGTGTCTCCGTGCTGTAGGAGGCTGGACGTCTCGAGGCCGGTGAAGTCATCAGGGTCTGAGAGCTGCATGGAGAGGGGACTGTGCGCTGCAGCACCTTGTGCTTCTGCCTCCTCCTTTTTGTCTCCTTCGGCGGGGAGGGGCTCTCCCTGTGATCAGGAGGGTCACAGTGTCATGCACACATGGGGAAGCTAGTACACTATCAACAAACTGCGTAGCTTTAACTGGATGTGGAATCAGGCTAGTCTGAGTTCTAGCCTTTATTAGAGGTAAAATCTTACCAGGCATTGCCAGCTTTCTAGGCTTCAGTGCTCCTTTCTGAGTGAGTCACATACTATGCTGAGGACTCCTGTCGTGCCAGGCAAGGGCTCCACCACTAAGCCACATCTCCCCCGTATTTTTTTTTTTTTTTTTAACATTTTATTTTGAGATGGTCTCACTGAGTTGCCCAGGTCAGCCTTGAACTTGTGATCCTCCTGTTTCTGCTTCTCAGATAACTTGGATTATAGCTGTGTGCTACCATAGCCAGCTTAATCGTCAGGGTTTTTTTTTTTTTTTTTTTTTTTAACATTTAGCATAGTTTTGGTCCTGCTTACCTTACAGAATATAAAGATCAAATGGAATAATTATAAATATTAAAATGCTTTTAGAAATTAAAGGCTGGGGCTGGGGGTTTAGCTCAGCGGCATAAGCGCCTGCCTTGAAAGCAGGCAGTTGTGAGTTCGATCCCCTGTACCGATAAAAAGGAAAAAGACAAAAAAAAAAAAAAAAAAAAAGAAATTAAAGGCTATACAAATGTACATAATACTATTAATCTTTAGTATCCTTCACATGAAAAGAATTTGGTACCTATAGCAACTCATTTATAAAAATGAAAAGATGAAAAAAATCAAAATGAATATATGAAAACAATGAGGAAAAAGAACAAAAAGTTCCTCCCACAGGATACCGAAGGTTCTATAAAGCTTCATCTAAATTGGTTGCTTATTCTATGATCCTGGGGATTAAACCCAGGCTGAGCTGCCTCGCCAGCTGTTTTTGTTATAATTTTTTTATTTTGAGACAAATTCTCACAAGTTGCTCAGGCTGGCTTCAAACTCGCTATCCTGCCTCAGCCTCCTAAGTAACTGGGATTCTGGCTATATGCCACTACTCTTGACTAGTAATTTTGTTTCTTGAGACTAACTATCCACTATATGTCATATCCCTGTCATATGTCAGTGGATGTTTCAGTGGCAAGATATTTTTAAGTTTTTCATAACTGAAGAATACAAATATTCCCCCTACCCCATTTTCTTTCTTAGTGATAAGGGTTTCACTGTGTCATTAAGCTGCCCAGGCTGAGCTCAGACTTCCTATCTTCCTGCCTTGGCTGCCCAAAGTTCTGTGATTTTGTTCCTTCTGTGTGTTTTAAATAGATCTGCATGATGGAAGAACCAGTGCCTGGATAGTAAAGTACCACAAACCCATACTTAAGCCAATGGAATGAATTTGCATATTCAAATGGTTGCCTGCTTCTCCAGTGTCCTCACCTGTGTAGGAGACAGGCTGTGCATATCTGCAACCACGATGGCCGGGGAGGACGTGAGGACTGGTTTGTCTGTTCCCTCCGGCCGCCTGGTCAAAGCTGGGCTACAGCCCTGAGGCTGGCCTGTGGCGGGAAGCGTGTCTGCTGGGGCAGCTGTTGGCTCTGACTGAGCCTCGATGAAGGTCACAGATCGCTTCTGATCCACTGTAAATCAGCAGTAAGTCAGTAAAGAAGAAACTGATGGTTAGTGCCACTAATCAGTGTCTCCTGGCTTATCTTAATCAAGACATTGCTGGTTTATCAATCAAGTGAAGAGACCAAGAAAGCTCCTTCCATCTGCTGCTTCCCCTCCTCTTCTCCCTTCAAATCCAACTAGGTTAAGTTTTAACTTCCTAAAGGCCATAAAACAAAGGCCTGAGGTAATAGCTCCTGACATCCTGGGTCTTCCCTATCCAGAAGCCCCATCACAAATTGTGTTAATTGCATCAGATTGTATTAGATTGTACATTCTTCACAAAAATAGCTTCGTTTATATCATAGTAATACCTGTAACTTGGTATTGTATCACAGTAATACCTATAACTGTAAATGTGTGTCTTCCTTTTTCTCTGGGTAAAAGATTGATATGTTAATCAATGCTCTCTTCTGTAAAGAATTGTAAAATCTTACCCAATTGATATGTTAACCATTGTTGCCCTCTACAAATAGAAAGGTTGTGGTGCTAAAGTAAGGTAATTATGTCAGGAAACTCAGAGATAAAGTCTGCTGACTATGCTAATCAAGATTGGGAAGTATGTCAGAACCAAGCCACACAGGAGCTAGGTGACCTAAAAATAAGCTGTGCAAAACAAGACAGTTAATCAACTCTGACCCACTGGTCGCCCCTCATGATCTGACCAATCACAAATGGACAAATCACCAACTGTTCTGCTCTAACTGCTATGATTGGCTTCTGTAACAACGCTTGCTTTGTGGTTTTCATCCTTAAAAACACCAGCCTTGCCCCAACTCAGGGTTCTCGGTTTCCACCTGTTTGGAGGACCCCGTGTACACGGAATAATAAAAACCCCATTGTTTTTACATGAGAGCGAGGCCCTTGGAGTCTTCCTTGCGACACCGGTCTAACACAAGGAGAACATATCTGATGCTTTTGTAGGGTTTGATTGTACCTTCTAAAGCCTGGATAGAAAAATAACTTTTTTTTAGAAAAATAATTTTTATATGATGGCCTAAAACAAGAGTTGTAAAGAACCATTAGGTAAATTTGATCATCCCTCAACTGCCAATAAAACTTAAGAGCCCCAGACTATTATGCCTTATACCTGTCTCTTTGCTAATTCATGTAAAAATTTCAGTGCCTGCTTTTAGTACAAAAATAAGTAAAAACTAAAAGGCATCACAACCCCTCTGTGCCCGAATTCCAGAAAGTAAATCATTTACCTTGGGCTCTTCCATTTCCCTAGGCTCACTGGGGTGGGGACAGGAATTGGGAAGGGTGAGAAGAAAAACAGGTAGTAAAAACTTATTCCCTTAGCCTACAGGCTCTCGGGGGATTTGCTTATCTGCATCAGCTCAGTTACTGTAGACTCTGCTGGCTGAGCTGAGCTGAGCTGAATGGCTTCCTGTTAATGGCATGGGCATGAGGGACACAGGAGGCCTCACCCGATGGCTTTGTTTTGGGTTGGATGCTCCTGCGGGTGGTTGACAGCCTAGCCCCATGGCGGTTTCTTGGTTCAGTCTGAGTCTTCTGCCGTGATAACAGGGGACGTCTTAGCTAGAGAGAACAGGGAAAATCCAAAACTGATAACCGAGTCCTCCTGCTTGGAATAAAACACTGTGCTTCCCAGATTCTGACCCGAAGCTTGTTCTTCCCTTTCCCTATGTCTGCACCCTAAGGTTTCTCCTGGCAGCTACGGCCCAGCAAGTTCTTTCTACATATTTAACTATGAGCACATTCTTCTAGCAGATCCCCTGTAAGCACCTCATCTCTGAATTATTACTCCTTTATACAACCTAGTAATAGTAACATCATTTAAAATGATAAACTTGAGAGTTTCAGTGCAGATAGATCTGTAAGCTGTAGCTGAACTTATGCCAACTTTCAAAGGAAGTTTCTTTCTCTTTTTTTTTTTTGTCTATTTTTGAGATGGGGTCTCACTATGCAGTTCAGGCTGCCCTTGAGCTCACTTTGTAGCCCAGGCTGGTCTCGAACTCTCAAGGATCCTCCAACCTCAACCTCCCAAGTGCTGGGATTACAGGTGTGAGCCACCACGCCCGGCTCAAGAGGAAGTTTCTTAACCTCAGATGGTTTTAAACCGCTGGTGGTACTCAAATCAGTGCTGGACAGCTCCCAGTGGAGCAGCAGCTGTGAGCTTCATTTAGAAAATAAATATATCAGAATCCCTCCTAAGGAAATTGTAAAGATGATCTTATTTCAATTTCAGTTTTTGATTAAATCACTGATGCTAAAAAGAACTGCCTCTTTACAAAAACAGGCCTCAAATCAACTGTATGATGACTTTCCATCATTGGTGTGTTGGGCAGGGAAGGTAGCTTTTGGATATAGAACAAGTCCGCCTCCTTGACTAAGTATTCAGCTTTGCAGATAAGAAGATAAAGATCCAAAATAGAATCTTAGAACTCTCAGCTTGCTCAAGCAATTACCATGTTTTACAGTTGCTCTGAAATTGCTTATTTCGGGCAAGGAGAAGGCAGAATATAATTTTAATAAACATAAGGATTAAAGATCAAATAGAGCTTCCACCTCACGCAGTGATTCTCCCACATGCTCAGAGTCTGCTTACCTGCCTCAGGCCCCTCTTCCTCCCCAGTGGCTGCTGAATAAGGAGGTTCTGCTGGCCAGGCTCACTTTGTATACTTGCCACCCTGTCAAGCATCAACAGTGTAAGTGGACCCTGCAGAGGGCTGAAGACCATTCTCTAGTGGGTGTTAGCCAAAGCCACTTATATGGAATAGTCACTTCAAAGATACCGTGATCTTTGAAGGAGTGTTGGGAAAGGGTCCCTGGAAGGGGGGTTTCAAAGGTTTGGGAAGAAGGACAAGGCCTTATAGCCCCAAGCTGCCAAAATTGAGATTTTATTTTCAATCACTGGTGCCATTCATCTATCATTCAGCAAAATGTTGGTTTGATCACACCCCTGGTTTGGAAGCCACCAAAAGGCTTAAAATGTCATATTCTAATCTCAATTTTTTTTTTCCAAGGGGAAGGGAAGAGGTGGTGACAAACACACACAAACAACTCTTATCACATGGATGGGAACACCTTTGTAAATTTTCCAATTTAAATGAAAATAAGATGGACAAATACCAAACACATCAGACACAGATTCCATTTGGGTGAAGGGGCACATTTAACACGTTTGCAGCCTGAAGTCTCTGTGACTACTGAATAAGTAATAGTCACATGGGTAGAAAATTCATTGATTTTTTAAAAACAATTTTAGATTTAAAAGGCTGGCAAATTAATCTAACATTTCAACTTAGAAACTTTAATATCAAGTAGCTGCACTTAAACATGCTGTGCAGTTTATAAAAGCAACAACCTACTCCCCCCAAATTTACTGTGTATGTGTGTCTTTTATAAGCAAAAATGACTACTGGCAGTGATTGCTATTTTAGTGTTGGGTGAAACTGGAAATACTGACATGGGCCCATGGTTTTTCATTCTGCATGCATGTATCATAGGTATTTATAATGGAAGGGGTGAAATAAATATATTGTGCCCCAGAGAGCACTGTAATTCTGTAAATGATGCCAATGTGATTCTTTGGTAAATGGGGTTAATTAACTTCTGCTTTGCCTTTGCAAAAGGAGAGTCTTTTACAGACTGGTTTTAGTGTATTCCACCGAGGAACCCAGAGTCAGCAACTGTCCAGGAAAAAGACAGATTATAGCCATTCATTTCCATTTTTTTTAAAAAAGACAAGCTACATAAATATCTAGCTGAGTTTTAAGAAGAAAAGTTGGTGGCAAGATGGACAATTAGATATTTCCTTTGTTATACCAACAACTGGCTGATTATCACAGGTGACGAAGTCACATCTGTCATTTTTCAAAAAGTCTTACTCTTACTAGAAGAGAATCAGTAATTTACTAACAAGAGTCTCTTGTTCCTATGAAATTAGGGATTAATTACACCATTTGGGGTACACAATACAAAATTCCAAAAACGTATTTAAAAACTGTTCCCCTGAATATCAACTCCAAAAAGAACAATATACATTATATATGTGTGTGTGTGTGCGCACGTGTGTGTATGTATACCTGACCTTGTACTATGTATGGCATGTATTTCCAACTTTCTGTGAGTTGGAAAACTAGCCCAAAGGAGTAATGCAATAAATTCTGTTGCTGGTATGTTTGAAATTACATTTCCTAATTAATTACACATTCTAACATATGTCTGTTAAATTCGGAAGAGTATTTAACAATATGCACAAATGTAGAAGCAAGTTTCTCCCAATACCAAGCAAAGCTTTCATGTTTGGAATGGATTCTTCATTGACATCTAAATATTACCTCAGTTCCCTTGGCCATAAAGGGAGGTTGATACTTACCAACTACCTCCCATTAAGGTAGAGAAAAGAGTTAGTTAATGTAAAATGGTTTGAACATGAAGAGTGATGTAGATAGCATGCTTTCTTGTTTTACATTTGATGTTTGTAATGAGTTTATTGCTTCTAGAACACTAGAAGGAAGTAACGTTTTAAAACATAATTGGGCAGAGAAAATGAATTCGAGGCAGTCCACTTGTCTCATTTTTATTCAGTAATCCGCGATTGTGAGAAAAATGGTGCAAGAAAAGAAAAATACATGTTACTCAGTGTTAGATGTTAAAACGTAATGGTAATTTCATGATGAGTATTTCAAGGGAGGCTCACAAGCATCAGAAATTTTTCTGTAGATAGGCTTATATCTCAGAAATGTATCAAATTTTTAGCTTTAGAAATTAGCTGTCTGTAAATGATGTAGCATATTATTTTGGAATGCACACATCCAAGATAAAATTATAGAAAAATAATTCCCTGGAATATTTCCCTGGAAATATCTGCCTGATAAATTATATTTTCCCCAGAAATATGATTCCAATATGTCTGGATTTGGAACTTCAATTGCTGACCTAACTGTGAGTCATTTGTACACAACAAACAGCTGGAAAAACTAACAATGGAAATAATTTATACAAAACACCTTTTAGAGTCTATTTCAAATTGGAGGCTCATATAAAAATTAGTTTCAGCCTAGCTTCTTTCCTTATCCTGCAACAGTTTTCAGACATTTGAAGGATTTGTGATATACAAGTAATACTAAAGTGGAACAGGAGAAGGCCAAGGTGTTTATACTAAGCACCTCTATGTTACACCCCATTTTCTGTTTTGGTCTTCTGCAGCAACCCATCATAGCCCCCATCTATCAGAACTGTAATAATCAAGATGATTTCCTCTTTTGGGAAATACTGTGTTTTATTGGCTCTCCTAGTGCTTTAAATTATCATAGTCCAATAGGCCTCTGATTCTTTTGAATAACTGAAGTATCTATTTCACATATTATAATCATGAAAACTAAGTTGAAAGTTGAGACTATATCAAGATTTGTCAAAGCGATGGAATAAGTACTAAAAACCCTTATGCAGAAAACTGGTTTCTTGAGATACTATCAGGTATGTAGTCCATTAGGAAATACATAAATTTTTGTTACATAGTACAGTCTAGACCATGATGTAGAAATAGGAAAAGATGTAATTTGTATCTGAATTGTTTTCCTAATGTTGCCTAAATTTCCCTAGTATAAATTATTCCTTATATTTTGGATGGCCAAGTTTTACTATATTGGCCAAAAAGAATGAAATGATAAGGATAAAAGTAAGCAAATCTTCCTACATTGAAGCTAATGTTTCACAGTATACTTAGATTATCCCTTTATTTTTGAGTTGCTGAAAAATATCCCTATAGCAAACCATATAATCTAAATTTAGAGAAGTAAATTCATCTGAGGCTGGGCAGAACTGTTGTGATTCACAGCATCTACAAAAAGCACAAAAGCTTGAGCTTGGAGTGGTGGTACACTCCTATAATCTCAGTTACTCTGGAGTACTGAAAATTTGAGGATAGCCTGGGCAATGAAGTGATCCTGTCTCAAAATTTAAAAAATGTAAAAGAGTTGGCAATGTAGTTTAGCATTCCCTGAGTTCAATCCCCTGTGCCACAAAAACAACAAAGACAACAGAACAAAACCCTTTTTCAAAATGTAAGGAAGTCATTTACACACTTGGGAAGTTGAAAGAGTATTAGGAAAACAATTGTGACACAGATTACTTCATCTCTTGTTTCAGCATAATAGCCTAAATCGGTGATGGCAAGCCTTTTAGAGACCAAGTGCCAGAAACCCAGTTATTTATTGTACAATGTAAATACTGCAGTTACACCTGAATGCTCAGCTGCTGGGTGACCTGACGCATGTGCCAACAGAGGGCGCTCTGCGTGCCCACTGTGCACACAGGCTGTAGTTTCACCACCACTGTCCTAGATTGTAGTGTCTATGAGATACGTCTGCATTTCCTAATATAACATATTTCTATTAGTGTTTCTTCAAATAAGGGAGAGGTAATGGGGACTTTTAGTAATGCAATGAAAATTCCTATCTCAGTGATTATAGATTGAAGTATACTGCATAAATAAAAAATTTCAGTAGAAGTAGGTGGAAAAGTGAATTAGTGTTTATTGCTTCTCTCTGTGCTTTTGCTTTCTTTTAACATGGTTAAAGAAGCCCAAAGGTGGACCACAAGACCTGCTTACTCTGAGCGATGGTCTTGCGATGGAAGGCCCACAGTGATCACACACCACAAGAACCACAAGGCATTTGGAGAGAACAGGGCTATCGTGGACCAAATCCTGCATTTCCCTTTCACTCCTCCTTTGCACTCAAACAGGATTTTTTACAATTTATTTAGCCTCCATAGCATCTAGGAAGATATATTTTAGATATCAGAGGCTTGAATCTGGATTTTTGATAGCTTGTAAAAACTAATTTAACAATGGCAAAATTCTACTACAAAACACTTTCTCAACCAGTAGTTTTCAGACACATAAAAAAGGTTGTTTGAATTTTTTCCTTTGTACTTTAAGAGTGCTTGCCAATTCTTCATGTTTTGAAAATGTGGATGATCATGAACTGAGCTCAACTTAATAGGTTATTTTTATGTCATGTTCAAACTTAAGCCACATTTTTATGTTCCACTGTGATTATCCTACAGCATTAAATAGCATAATAACTGCTTTTTAAAAAAAAAATAGAGTTGGCTGCCATTTCCTGATTTTCAAAATAGACTGATGTGTTCAATCAGCATCTAATCCTGAAGTATAAACATCTTAAAGACTTGAATAAATTTTGCATGTCTCTATTATATATTCTGGAGAAAAATGTCCCATGTGTGTATGTGTGTGTACACATGTGTATGTGTGTATATATGGGTGTACATATGTGTGTGTGCGCGCATGCTTGCATACCCAGGCATCTGTGCATGCTTTCTGAGGGGGTTAGGGACAGGAACAGAACATCTACAGCCAGTTTCCAGAGAAGAAAATTTTTCCTTGGAATATTGCTTTAGTTTATGATCCAAGAGAAAGAACCTTCTGTCCAAACACAAATGTTTCTAGTAGGCTATTTCTTGAGAAGAATCCTTAAAGAAACCTGTTACCCTATATTAAAAAATTTAGAAAAAAACTTTGAACAGGAGTGCAAAATTTCTATGAGTTTCCAAGTACTCATATAGTCATCTTCATCCCTTCCTCATTTACCCCACTCAGCCGGACTTGCCTCTCTTCTAAAACAAGTAAACTCTTCTTTCACAAGCAAACTCCCATGAATTCAGTTAAGCAAAATATTACTGGGGAGTTGTGGGAGGAGCAGGGTTTGTTATTTCCCTCAGGCAGGCTTCCTGATACTTACTCTCAGCTTCGAGCCAGGTTTAGATCAAAGTTTAGATCCTGGGTACTAGATCTAAAGTACTGTGTAATAAAGTACTGTGTACTAGATATCATGTACATGGCTAGTGTTTTATTGCTTCAGGATTTTGAAAGTCTGTAGCATAAAAAAACCTGATGCCAAAAAGTAACACCTGGAAACCAAATATGAAAAGTGTACTATTTTGTAAACCCACCTCTTCAGTAACTGCCAGAAGTTCCTCTGCTCCAAAGAGGTCTTGATGACACAATAGAGTTCAAAGGATACAACTGGCAGTGTACAGCTAAGGCAGATGGCTATGGGTTGGTGGACTGCTTCTGCATTAATAGAACCATTTTTTAATCCCAAGCGATTGCATCATATTCCCACTTGTTAACACCACACCTGGGTGTGAGTGACTGATACCCCGAGTTTAGAGGATGGTTATAGAAACAACAGTTAACCTAAGATGGTTGTAAAACTCCTGACATGATTGACTAACACAACTACAGGTAAAACCTATAAGTTTGAATCTGAATCAGTTTTGCCTGGCACAGACTTTAGGTTTATTTCCATGACAACGGACCCAGGAAAGAGTAAATTGGTTTTTAGATAACGTTAGTGCTTTGAACCCTGACTCTTTCGGAGATGGGCAGCTCCTTTGATGACTTGGTAAAAATAAACTCAATTTCTTGCCTCCTCTTAACCACCTTGGAATAGTGTTTATACTCATCCAAGATAAAATTTGGTCTAATTAGAAAAGCCACAGGACAAAACCAACTAAATGGGAGTCTGATTTAATACTTTGTACACAGAAAGCCACTGGAGTTATTGTCTAACCGAGGTTCTCCTATCCCACATGGATCCCACAAATATACAAATGTAAGCATTAAACAAATTATTTAAAAACAATGGTCAGTCTGGTAGACCTGTTTGATTAATCTTAAACACTAACCAATTAAGAAAAACTCTCTCAAGGACTGTTTTGTTTCTTAGCTTCTTCATTCTCAAACCTCCAGCTAATAAAATTGTACCCTACAGCACTTCCACATTTATTACCAATAAGGCAAGGGCTCTCAAACACAAATGAATGCCATGAATGATGACCCCTGTTTAAAAAAAGAAAAAGACCCGATGATGGACTAAATTTCCCATTTTCAATTGCAGAAGAAAATGTGAAATCTGAACAAGATGCAAAGAAAACAAAAGACAACCTCCCAGGAACAGCCTCTCAACATTTCCTCATCTTTGTGACAAAGCAATAAACACGCGTGTGTGTGATACTCACTACTTAACGCAAACCTGAAAGGGAATGTTTTCTCAAGAGGGACAAAGGCATTCTAAAGATGTGAACAAGAAGCATTACCCTAATGAGGGTTAGTTGAGAGGTGTAAATCAACAGCACAAGATTGGGAATGTTTGACGTGATTTATCTGAGTGTTAAAGGTGCAGTCCCCTTTTCTGAAACTTTAATCCAATAATCAACATTATATTGTTTGCATCATAAGAATTCTCTTACTGAGAAATGTTTGTGTCTGATATTTCATGGCAAATTTTAGCATCATTTTTATGCTAGAATAGACATTCTTTGTATGTGTTGCTTAAAGAAGCTGTTACAGTAGTCTGCCAAATGGCATGTATTCAAAAGAGGAAACTGTAAATTATAATGACACTGTTACTACCCTCAAAGCATCTTTGCTTTCTTACCTTCCAGAGTATTAGCTAAAGACCTGACTCCATGTAAAACAGGGGCTTCCTGATGATGAAGTTACATTAAGAGGCCTTTGAAAAGCAATCCTTCGTGAATATTTAGTGTGGACAGGAATGATTAGAAAGGACAAATTTTGGGGGGTGGTGGGAATAGCGCTGGATATTGAACCCAGGCTCTCACATGTGCTAAACACATGCCCTACCATTGAGCTTTTGGCATATCGGAATTTTTGCACATCCATTGGACAAGCCTCGTAGAGAATTCTGTAGATTGCTGATTTAGTAAGGTTTTTAGGTGATTTGTAATTGAGCTCCACAGCTGAAAATGAAGGAGGGTTTGCTACACCTTTGACTTCCAGGCTCGTGTGTTCATGAACAACACAGGGCAAGGAATGGAAGTAGGTATCAAGACGGGGCGAGAGAAGACAGGGAGACAGAAGAGACAGGGAACAGCTAGTTTCCCAGCACAGACACCAATAGACAGGTAGCATTGACACTGTACCTAGAGAGGCTGCCCTCGGCGGCCAGGCCCTGGGAGTCATCGAGGACATTAGGTTCACTGCAGGAGGGGTAGGGAGATGAAGCATTTAGGGAAAGAAAATGCAAAAAGAAAAAAAAAGAAAAAAAGGCATGCAATTTTCTGTTTCCAGAACTAAAAATAAGTAAGTTTAACAGAACAAAGAAGGAAAAGGAGACAGTCAACCATTTCACCTTGTGCTGGGTTTGTCAAGACATAAGACTCAAGGTAATGGGGAAGGAAGGACTTTGGATGGATACGACTCTCAGAGGAGTGGTCTTTTTATTAGTCAAGAGTTAAAATGAGCTCCCAATGGACATGAGCTCTGAAATGCATTGCAGAATGGCTCTGTAGAAGATGAACACAGCACTCCTTTGGTAACCATTGGACTCGTGGTTATTGTTTTTAATCTGTCTTATATGTAGTGTTTCTTTGAAAGGACCCTGCTTTTTTCTTAAGCATTCTGACATTATCACAGAGAAACCACTTACCATGAATTTCCATAACAAAACTCTTAGAACTGATGCCATTTTAAAAAAGAAAGAAAAGAACCCAACTCTCCCTGCTAATTTTGCAATGAAAATGCAAGTAAACAAATGGAAGGAAGGTATCTTGGAAAATCCACATGGAACTACCCCCTTACTCCTTACTCTCTCCATCCCCTGTAAATGAATTGTAAACGCCAAAAGAAGAAACCTGTCAGGCTGGGGAGAGAATAATTAAATAGTTTATCAATTTATTTAGATATAGCTGAATGGAGATCTGGGAATGGTAACAGTGTTGTATTTTATTTGTTTTTCCTTTTGTGGCTAGCATCCAGCTAAGCACCCTGAGGCCTTACTCAATTGGGTGGAGTTAGACCATTTAGAAAACTGGAATGCTGGGGCTGGAGATTTAGCTCAGCGGTATTAGCACCTGCCTTGCAAGCAGGCAGTCGTGAGTTCGATCCCCGGTACCGATAAAAATGAAAAAGACAAAAAAAAAAAAAAAAAAAAACTGGAATGCCCACCCCCAAGGAATTGAGAGGTTGATCTAACTGTAAAATAGTCTCTGTCCCCAAGAAGAGTCTGGTTTTCTCTAGTAACAGAGATGATAATTACCTTTACTAGTCTTCAAAAATATGATTCAATCCAAAACGGATTAGCTATATTATCTTTTCTAAATTTCTAGGATATCTATATAATAGACATTTTCTCCCTGGAAATACATTATCTCCTTAATATATCTGTAGAAAGAGAATTGATAGACTGAGTTATTTTAGGTAAATAACCAAAAACTTCTCTACTTAAAAATACTATTACTCTATAATTTAAAATAACTTCTAAGAAAAATGTTAATTTTATTCTTGAACACTACTGGCACATTAACTGCTTATGTGACTTTATATCATTTCTTAGCTTTTATTTTGGTTACAAATTTTATTTATACTATTTTCTTTTCGAAGGAAAACCTGCCAAATAATTAATGAAACAATCTCTTAACAATGTTAGAAACTTTTATGTGTTATTAGTCTTTGTAACAATTAAATATGCTTATATAAAATGCTTTCTTTAAAAACCTGCAATTTGTTTTATTAACTATCTTTTATCATTTCCCTCTATTTGATGTTCTTCAAATTTTGGCTCTGCTTCACAAATTATATTTATTTATGAGGTTCATGAACCATATGTTAAAAGATTTGGGGTCAGGATAATTATGCCTGCATGTAAACTGATTTTATCTGAACATAACAATGTGCCTTAACTTTTATGATTATTTTCTACAAGTGAATTGTACCACAGTCAATATATAAGGATTAAAAATAAAACAACAAACTAATTAAAACCACATAAGGCCTACTCATAATGACTTTAATTCCTAAAATCAAAATAGTGTTTGTAAAATAGTTAATGTTTGGTTCTTACATCAGATCATTTTCTGTATACATTATATATGTGTGCATATATATACACACACATATATACATATATCCCTGAAGTTTTACAACTTATGTTCTTAGATGTCAGAAAACACAAAGATAATATTTAAGAGGGTTTAGACATGGACTCATAGAATGATAGAGTTGCTACCTGAAAGATCATTTTACCAACCTCCTCACTTCACAGAGGAGAATACTGGCTGTGAAGTGACCTGTCCACGGCCACACACAGTGAATCAGGTTCCTTTCGGCTTGGTTAAACATCCCTGCCTCTGCCTGAATACTGGTGACATACCAGAAGCCTGAAGTTTACCAGTTCTATCATGCTGGTGCTATACTTTTGCCAAACACTCATTATTAGGTTAGCTAATAATAAATCTGAAACACAAAAAAGTCATTGGAGCAACAGGAAGAAGACCCTATCTCTTTATGCAAATTTTAAGGACAGGCAATGCTTGGATCACAAGTTGGGGTCCCTTCTATTAGCCTGGCTTACAACACTGCAAACTACTGCCACAGGGAACCTAGTTGAAAAGTCCTTTCTTGAATGCTCTACCTAAAACAATAACCAGTGCTTGCTAATCTTTCAGTCTTTTTTTTTTTTTTTTTTTTTCTTATCTGTACTGGGGATTGAACTCATGACTACCTGCTTATAAGGCAGGTGCTTATGCCACTGAGCTAAATCCCCAGCCCCTAATCTTTCAGTGTTTGCAGGATAATGTGAATGTATTTTCAGTTTCCACCTGGCTCCCAAGTACAGCTTGCGGGACAGTCATGGCTCTTTACCTCTGGCTGGGGAGCATGCCCACTTCGGCCTGCGGCGCGGACACGCTGGAGACGTGGCTGGAGAACCGTCGCCTTCCGATGGCGCTCAGAAGGTAAGCTTCCTGTTCACTTACCACACTGGGCATGCTCACAGAGTCATCTGGAAGCAGGTAGGCGACAAATGTCATAAAAACTGTTCACGGGATCACAAACCCCCAAGCAAAGCCACACTGCAGTTTTGCCCTTGGCCTGAGTACAATCTAACGTTAAATTATCATTAAATTAGTCCATTCTTTACTGGAAAAAAAGAACCCAATAGGACTGATAATACATTATACATACACATCTTGCACTCTCCCACTAAAACAGCCCTTGTGAAATGAATGTAAACTCTGTGACGATTTTTACATGTATATTATGTGTAAAAGTTGACAATGTCCTGCAAATTAAAGATGTCAGAAAAGCTAGAATGTAGGGGCTAGGGATTTAGCTCAGCGGCATAAGCACCTGCTGTCCAAGCAGGCAGTCGTGAGTTCAATCCCTGGTACCAATAAAAATGAAAAAGACAAAAAGAAAAAAAAAACAAAAGAAAAGCTAGAATGTGACATTTTACAACATTCCAGCAGTGTTCCATACAGAGTTCGTTCTTGAATGAGCCAAGTGTAATTCCTTGACCTGTAATTGTATTCGGGACTATACAATTAATGAGTTCTACCCTACTAGTAGTAGGAAAGACTACTTCAAATATTTTCAGGAAAAATTTTTGAAAAAACAATTCTGAAGTAAGCACTCATTTTAAAATGGAAGCATATAATCTTGTTTTTGCCATGAAAACATGTAACATTATACTAAAATCCATAAAAAGTTAACTTTAACACAGTATTTGCAACAAGGGACCTCACTGAAAATAAGTGAATGTGATTTGGTCCTGAGTACTAAACATACTTCATTGAGCGTACTGAGCTTTGGGGAACATATGTTACCACAGAAGATCATCTGCTACTATTTATTTTAAATATGCAAGTGATCATATTTCTAATTGAACTTTTCAAAAGGTGAATATGAAATTTGTTATAAAATCTGTTATGAAATGACTGACAAAATTTATTCTTCTTATAAAATGGTATTTCCTTTTGACACAGGTTCAGAGAGAAATGCATGAAACATATAATAGGGTATGTCAACCTAGGTCCTAGGTGTCACTGATTTTTTTTTACCCTAATTTGAAATCATGTCACATAACATTCCCTCAGTATTTGGTGATTAGTCATGTTTTGCCTTACACTAAGCCTTTTGTTAAATTTTGTAAATGTCTATCATCTGCCCTATAAGACTATAACTAATAGAGAACAGATAACATATGTTATGGTTTATGTTGGTGGCCTCCAGGCCTCATGCATTTATATTATGCATCTGTGATTGGTTCATTGTATAGTGCTTGGATTATGGTGTCAGTGCTACACCCACACAGGGGTGGAGCCAGGATGTGATGTAATGGCAGGAAGAAGGTATGTCTCATTCTTTTGCTGGTTTCTGCCTTGCTATTTGCAGCTGCCATGAACTGCAGCCCCACCGTGCCACCCTGCCTTGGAGCCAACTGAGTATGGACAGAAACCTCCAAAAACTGTAAGAAATAAACCTTTCCTTTCCCAGCTTTGGGCTTCAGGTATTTTGTCTCAGTGAAGAGTAAAAAGTAACTAAGACAACATATCTTTCCCATACATCCTTTTCTTATGTCTGATAGGTCTAAATACAGATTTGATGACTGGAAAAACAGTTTAACTTGAAGCAGTCGATCGTCTGACTTTTTTATCCTTCCTTACATAAATATACACATCACAACTGCATTGCATTGTTTGTTAGCAACAGGGCTTTCATCAGGATGACTGCAATGTCCAAGAACAGAGATTATGGCAAAAATTTCCATCAGTGTATGACAAAGGAGATCCTGTTTATTTGTTCTCTTCTTTGCTTCCCTGCCTGTTTCCTACTGGCTATAGCGTCTGCTTATTCATACGTTACTTGCCAAATAAATCTAGGTATCGATAAGACAGGCAGTATCAATTTTCCATCATAAAAAATGAGACTATTTCACGCATCAAAAATATGTTTTATATTTTCAACTGCTACCTGAACTTTTTCCCCCAAACTTTTAATGTTTATTTTTAACCACTAATCCCATAGCCAAGATTTTAGAGTATTTCCCTAATTATGACTTTAGGTGTATTTCCACAACAGTCACCAAGGTGACTCTGACAGAAGTCTATGTCCGTAGAATGGATGCAGGACAATACGATAATCACCATATCTTACTGAACCTAAAACTAAATCTGGAAATGTACTGCTAAGTGTTTTGGCAAAGCAGTTATTTCTTTTCTTCTACATACCCAACTACAGTGAGGTATTAACATGCTTTTATTCATTCTAATTCATTAAAATTCTGACCTCAACTTCCATTTCCTCTATTTAGTTCAGAGAGGCGTTTTTATTGTTGTTGTTTGGTAGAGATTTATTCTTAAAGCATGGACAGTACAACTTTGCAATGAATGTTTTCTCTTGGGTATCTTCAAATGCAAGTGTAAAATAATCCGTTCAGTTTAGAAGCTCCTTACATGAGAATGGTAATTAATTGAACCTTTTATCTCGCCTTTATTTTCAAATCTGCTCGTGTTAAGCATGCATACACTCGAAAGGCTTCCTGACCAGGTTTCCCGTTACTACACAATGCTAAATCTTCACCACATGCGTTGGAAGCTCCTGGGCTGATCTCATCCTTTGGGATTCTGTTACCTCAAATCAGTGCTATTTCACCTCAAGACAGCCTGTTATATAATTTCATTCTGGCTGCCACACCCAATGCGTCCTTTCCAAGTCCTGACATGCTTTGCCCATTTTTCCTTGCCCATTACATGCTGGTCAGCCCTGAATTCTTTCCAAATAATCAAGGACACAAGAAACCAGAATCCTACTCTGAACCCTTTAATACTTGGAAAAGCAGAAAGTCCCAAGCCCTCCCTCGCGTGGCCAGGTTGTTTACCACCAGGGTTCTTTGGTGTGACCTACTTTCCTCGTCTTCTTCATCAGTCCGACTCAGAGTGTCCTGTGAAGCCTGCTGGGACGGCTCACTGTCCTGTTCCCAGACAGTGCCTGTGCCCGTGTTGGAGCGGGACATGGTGGCCAGGCTCAGGCGGTAGGCAGAGGTGGAGGTGCCCACTGTACTGATGGACGTCTTCCCTTGGTAGGCTGGGGGTCGAGAGACGGAAGGAAACGGACTGTGATACTCTCGAAAGCAAAATGTTTGCTTCAGAGCTCTCCCTAACCACTCGCATTTTTCTTTTTAAGGAAAGGTAAGTTAATAGACAAATCATGCTTAGGACAAAGTAACACATGGACCTGGATATGTTGCCAATGACAAAGAATCACTGTTGGCTGCTGAAGTAACTGTGATTGAACGGTTTCCTTGTGAATATACAACATAACCAACCAGGTGAGGTATTTCGGCAGGAACAACAGTGACTTCCTCTCACTGCTTTTCTATTTCATTTTCCAAAGCTGATAAACTGGAAGTTAATTTTGACCGTAATTTCTACTTCTAATTTGCCAGTTTTTACTGAGACATACACCTGAACCCCACATGAGCATACATAATAAATTAATGAGCGTCCCATAATCAAAACCAGAATTTAAAATCAAAACTGAATTCTCATTCTCCTTTTCTGGCAACTATGATATATAAGATATGTTTCAGTTCTAGATCAGATGATTGTATCAGTTCTGTATCAGATTAATCAGAATATTATTTGAATCGCAATACACAGATTTTGCTGAGATGGCACTTGTCAAAGTTTTTGTCATTAACACGTCATTTGAAAACAACAAAAAAGCTTAAGGGACAAAGAAAAATATGTAACATATTTTACTCCCACCACTGGCACAATACAATTTATTTTCCTTCCTTAGTAGTCTGTTGTTAATATAATTATAAAAAATAAACAATGCACACCCAAAGGAAATAGTTTGAATAGTGTAAAGTATACTCTACTTTAATGATTCTATTGCACCTTCCTCATTCCAGTTTGTGAAAAGTTAGAGACTTTATAATTACTCATGCAACCTGCCTTAAAAAAAAGCACCTCAGCATTGTCATCTGTATGTAAGTTATTTATCCTCTATTGAGTTTCAACTTTTTCCCTTTTTTGGTTTTTCTCTTGTTTTTTGCAGTATGGGGAACTGAACCCAGGGCCTAACACATGCTAGGCAAATTCTACCACTGAGCTACATGCTCAACCCTTTCTGCTTTATTTTCAGACAAGCTCTAAGTGGCCAAGGATGGTCCCGGACCTACGGTCCTTCTATGTTAGCTTCCAGAGCAGCTGGAGTTTCAGGCTTTCATCACCATGCTTGACTGATTTCCTCCTGCTATAAATATATTTTCAGTGATAAACCTTGGGGCTATTTGTGTGAATGAGAGGGAACAACTGTGACAATCTACATCTAATAGATGCCCAATAAATGTGAGGCCCCCTTTTTCAAAAAAGAAATGAAACAAAACTTAAGTAGTTTAATTTAATTACATATTCTAGAAATAGTTTGGATACTAAAATTAGGATTAAAATATTTAGAAAAAAATGAAACTCCTCTGATTTATGGCTTGTTGACAATAGTCACATGATTTGATTATAGTTATTATATATTTCAAACATGTTAATTTTTGAAAAATCACATGGTCAAATCTACTTCTGTTTTCAAAACATGAATTCACACATGACTCCAAAAAGCACAGTAGCCTGAATAGAGTGATTCTTGGTTGGCTGGGAGTTCAGTCGAAATCAAAACACCCCTATACATATTTACCTGATCCACTGTGGACGGCTTCTTTTAGGATTTTTAGTTCACTGTTAAACTCGGCAATGAGCGAGCTCTTACACAGGGGCCGTGGTATGAAGCGCCGCTCCAGCTGGTCCGCAATGTGCTGCCGGGCAGAAAGCTCTTCATGATTCTCTGCTGGTTGGGCCAAAAGCTAAAAAGAAGGCATTGCATTCTCAGGGCCTTAATTTCTTCACCTGTAAAATGGGCTAATTACCATTCCTATCTCGTAAGTTGAGAGGTATAAGGTAACACATGTGAAGTCCTTCACAAGGTCTTTCACAAAGGCAGGCTTACTAGTTTTGGATTTTGAGTCACTGACTCAAAAATTAAGCATAGGAATAAAAAGGCAAGAATAATGAGGGTGCTGGGGGGGGGAGAACATGCTAGAAGTGTCCTACTTTTTTCATATTTATTTAAAATCAGATCTGGGTCATGCCACCGATCTTAAGGGAATGCTCCAGTCTATTCCACCGGTCATATCTTTTTTTAAGGGGAGGAGGTAACGAATAGGGGGAGCGAACTAAGTTTGCAGACTCTAATAACCATGAAGGTACTTCCGGTGTGAAATCTTATTACCCGGTTATAGCTTGGGGCTGCATCTTCATGGAGCATGAAGTTAACAGACTGTGTTAACTGCCCGAAGCAAGTGCCAGGAGCCTTCCCGCAACAGCCCTGGCTTCCCAGAGTGCGGCCCCTGCCCTGGGCTTGGCACTGCGGGCCAAGCGGCCCCCGCACCTTGCACTGAATGAAGGGACGCAAGAGCACAAAGATGGGAATCCGAGTCCGCACGATGAAGTCCAGGAAGTCCCACAGCGCCAGGCCGCCCACCTTGCGCAGAGCCATCTCCTTCACCTGGAGGCTCAGCCAGTACCACTGGCTTCCCAGCTGCCTCTCAAAGCAGACGAGAATCACCTTCAGCGCTTCAGGGCGGGAGAGAGGAAGGAGAGCCTGAGGTCTGGAGCCTGGGGAGACCCCAGCCTCGCAGCCTGCAGCCTGGGCCTGACCGCTCCACGAAATTTTCCTCACTTCTAAACGTCACATTTCCTAACACTCAACGCAGCCCTCAGCGAGCGTTCCTGATGCTGAAGCAAAAATTTGTGTGCTAAACTGTTTTGGTTCTGATGAGAACACGAGTATCTTTCCTAAGGGCACTGACCTACATCAGAAAGAAAAGAGTGATGTGGTCTGTGGAATGGACACAAAACTATTTAATAAACATGACATTTCACTAATACTTTGCTGTCCAAAAGCTTTGTCACCAGTTTTATAGCGATAGCAGCATATTACCCCTATTCACAGCTAAATCATGGATGTTTCGAAAACACTGTTCTTTTAAGCATAAAAAGAGAAGCCCTTGTTATTGAACATAAAGCCAAAACATGCAGAAATACACAAAGTTAAAAGCAAAATGAAGTCCTTCCTCTTCCCCATTCTCCACCCCACACTAAACCGTTCCCAAGAGGTAACCCGCAAATGTCATTAGTGGGTCATTCCAGATATAAGTGACCCCCTTTCTGCACATCAGGCCTGTAAGTCCTGTGGGCTTCTTTCACAGTGCCCCCACAGCGTTCCAGCAGCCCCTTCACAACATCCATTCATTCATGCTCTCACCACGGGGCCTGCCGAAGGCAGTTAAGAGGACCTGGACCTTCTTGACCATGTCTTAGGACCCACCTCTTGGGTATCTAAAAAAATCTGAATGGTGAACATGTTTCAGTTCCTATGAGGACACAAATATCTTTCTTAAGAACACTGTGCTACTAAATACACAAAGAAATCCCACTTCTCAAAGCTGCAGAAACTCCCTCTCCGCTCCTTCCTCAGGGTCTTACTCTTCGCGGCAGCTGGTTACCTCCAGACCCTCCCTGAACTAAGCAGAGAAGCAAGTGAGCAGAAAGCCACTTTCCAAGACGTTGCTATTATTTGGTGCTGACTGGCAGCTGTTGGGTTTCTATTTCCCACTTTTACTTCTGTCAGTCTGATACACAAGCTATTAATAAGGTACTCAAAAACAATCTGGGGCCAGAAGTCATGGATTTGAAATCCAGCACTGTGGTTCACTGTCTCTCTAGGCGAGTTTCTGGGCCTCTGCCTCTTTGCTCCTGAAATAGGAGCACTAACTTCACAGAGTGGTGAGGCGATGGGAAGTCAGGGATGATGCTGTGAGAGACAGAAAATACCGCAGCACAATAAATTCCTTGCTAAGTAAGCAAAACAAAAACAAAACAAAAAACATTAAAGGGGGTTCAAATTAAGCCAGGCATGATGGTGCACACCTGTAATCCCAGCACTCAAGAGGCCGAGCCAGGATTGCTGCCAATTCAAGCCCAGTCTGGCTAAACCGTGAGTTTAAGACTCTGTCTCAAGACCCTCACAAAAAGGACATAAAGTAGGTGGAACTGAAACATGCTCTCATCCGAGGGTTTTTTCTCGGTGAGCTCCTTTCCTCTGTTGTCCTGTGTGTACTCCCCAGCTTTACACAGGATGCCAGCCAGAGTGGGAATTTCATATAAGCCTGCTTCACACCATGGCAACCAGGCACCCTCACAGGTGGGCTCCGTGCACACACTGTTTTCTTCTCCATCTCATTCTCATTGCCAACCATGTCATTTTCAGACACGTCCCTTTAACATGAAGTTCAAATGTCCCAGACTCCAGGGACCTGTCTTCACTGGCGTTTCATCTTGGCCTCCTCATCATGACCTGCCTTGGTGAACTGGAAAATGCCAGCAAGACTTTTGCGAGTGCCTGCTGACAATGTCGCTACTCTGGCTGTTGAGCCAAGAGTAACCTGTTCCGCCAGCCCCATTTATTCAGGGCCAAAGAGTGGCTTTCCATTGGAGAAGATCAAATTAGAGGCTCATGAAAACTTAGGAACTGAAGGAAGAAGGAAATTGGCGAGCCCACAGGGAAGACCGTAAGTAGACTGGCCTTACTCAAGTAGAGATCAAGATGGAAATTTAAAGATGACACTGTGAGCAAAGAAAACTAGCTTGTGGAAGGTATAGCAAAAGAACAAGAATACCAGCACCTTTTATGGCACGACTAGAGCACCTGACCCCAAGGGCTCTGTTCACGTAGATGACAGCCCAGCGAGCCCCACACACCATGCATCATGGTGTATGTGTACAATAGGCTGAGTGTAGACCTTGTAACCGCTCCAGATCTCACCAGTGATCTTGCACAAGACCAGCAAGAGGGAATCCTCCCTACCGATGCCTTCCTTACATTCCCGGACATCTGATGAGAACAACCCAGTTGCAGATTTGAAAGTATTGTTTTTGTCATATTCTTACTGAAGGCAGCTAGACCTGCAAGATGTTTCCTGCAGTTTTGTTAAATACTTTGAGTTGAGGTGGAACTAAGTACATCCATAATACATAGTACACACACACACACACACACACATGCTCACACACACTGGAGAGGGTGGAGTAGAAAGCACCCACCCAAGTACGCAGCCTGGCTAGTGGACTCAGCCAGCCCTTCCCTGCGCAGGTCCTTCCCTGCATCCCCAGGCGTGGAGCAGTGGGCGGGGGAGCTCTCTAGCATGAAGTTCTTGCTCCTGGACGTGCTGATGATTCGCGGTGGCAGCAGCACATTAATGACCGTCTGCAGCAGCAGCTGTACCTCGGGCTGCTCCAGCCACGGGCTATCTGAAGGTTGGAGTTAAGAAGAGGAAGGGGAAAGAAAAACAGTCACAAGGTAGGCTTTTTCATAGCAACGAAAAGTGCAGCTCTTTCCAATTCCAAACCAGGACCCCCCTGCAATTCAGGTGTTTCCCACCCAACACAGCAACCACCCCCCACCAGCAGACACAATGTTCCTGGCACTGAGTAATCCTATTTACCAAAAGCTTAAGGTCTTAGCCAGATGCCTGCTTACCATTCAATCTCCTTTTCACAAATATTCATAAACCACTGTCCTTGCATTTGAGATAAACTTTTCCTAAAAGAAACCCCCCTCTCCTAAGAAGAAAGAGTAACATAAAGAGATCAAAACTGAAAGACCATGGCAGGGTTTCTGCTAAACTCAGTGGCAGCACTACACACTCCGTCCACCTGTCAATTCTCATCATATCGCACTTCAACTAATCCCAATTTCTTAAATGATTTTAAAAGGCCGTGTCTTCTAAGGAGAGCAGAGAAACTTGTCCCAAGGCAGCTAAACTGGAAAGAAAGAAAAACTCTTATTTTCTAAGGTAACCCTATAAACCATTTAGAACGACTTCGAGTGGTAGCTTTCCTGGGAGAAGGAAAGAGGAACAGTAGCCAGATATGTAAGAAAACACAACAACAGTGATATGGTTCTTTTAGTTAAATTAATCAGACCTTTGCTTCCAGATCCTACTGTGAGCACAAATGGGATGAGCAGATTTAAAAGCATCCCCTCCCTTCGCTCTTGATTGGTGAATGGAGAGATCACATGGCTTAAAGGAAAATCTTCTTTTAAAGCCTGTACAGCAATAATAGAGAGAAAGATTAATTGGCCATCACACCCACTTAGTTGATCTTTACACAGCAATGACCGAGATGGTGACTCCCTGCTGACCGCTCCTGTAAACTGAGTTCGATTGTCTGTGCAGCATACGGTGGGAATCCAAGCAAAAGTGATACTTTACCATTTGCTGGACATAATTGAGAGCTATGTGCCTAAAAACACAGTGACATCTTGAATATTAAATGAATTATAATACATATGGTCAGATGTAAAACAATCTTATTTCCCACTTCCATGTGTTCCACCAATTCCACCATGAATATTTTAGAGACAAGTATTCTTGTTCCATTTGCAAGTTATTTAAAAGTCCTCTGACCCCTTCCTAAGGCCTTCTTGAAGCCAGGAAGCAATAAGCAATAAAGAAGAGGTTATTAAAATATATCACTTTGGAGATGTCATTCTTTCTCTTCAGCATGGTAACCATACTTCTTAATGCATTCTCTTTATGGTCTACTTGTTCTTTGGAGGATGACTATCAAGCCCGATTGTCAGACAATGGGTAGATGGTTAATCAGTTACATGTACTTTTCATGTATCACAGAGCTTTTCAATCATTTAATGTTTTTAAAATTGGGTAATAGAGAAATAGGCAAGAGTATTGGAAATGTGCATATTTTTGCCTTGAAAATTATTATTTTAATTTTAAGAAATAGAGTGGAAGAAAAAAAATTTTTTTTTCAGAAATCACCCCTGATACTCAACACACAATCATTAAAGAAAATTAAGATATTCAAATTCTGGTAATGGCATGTGAAAGAATTTTATGTGGTAATTCTTTCTGAAAATAATTTAAAACCAGACTTTGAATATTACTGCCTCTTTTAATTAACAATTGTGAGCTGATTATCTGTAAACCATTATTTTGCACACTTTAAATGACTGAAGGGCTTACTGAGGTCATGGCAGAACTCAATGACTCTGCTATTTTTGAGATCTCAAGAAGAATTACAGAAGTACAACTTAGGGCCGCGCTCAGGGCTGAAGCTCCAAACCGATCAAAGTTCGGAGATGTTCCCAGTTTTGTTTCACAGATTTTGCCCAGCCTTTGCAGAAGGAAAGAGAACACCATGATCTGGCGTCTCAACCAGCAACTCTTAACGAGCGTGACAAACAGGTAAGACAGTCACACCTGTATCTGCAATGCTACAAGCCGGACAACAGCTGTGCTGAAGGGCAGAGGTGGTGAGAGATAAGGGCTGAGATGAAGAAGGGGTAATCCATCAGCAACACTGGAAGGTCCTACCACTCCCATCACCTGAAATACAAACAGAGCACATGACCAGCCTTGACCACTGCAACGTCATGCAACTGTAGTAAGGAGTCTCATTCCATAGTAATAATGATGGTAATGATAGGAATAATAAGTTGAAGGTTGGGCATGTTACTTTCAGTCTTCTCTATCTTGTTGCCTTCTTCTGAAGGCAAGTAATGTCTGGAGTCAGATCAATCATTGGAGTCGATTATTCACACAAGGTTTTGTAGAATGCTGTTTATAGATAGCTATGTAAAGAATGAGAGATGAACCAAAAAGCTGTTCTAGTCAGGAGCCTGGACACTGACTTGTGGGTCGAGAGGAGCACGGTCAACACTCTTGGATGGAGCAAATACTGACAACAGTGACAATGGCAGCAGCTCTATGTGCGCGAGGCAGTCCGACTACAGAGTCGTTGTTCAACTAGTCAAGCAGCGGTTCCTACTCGATGAAATGCTCTAACATGGTTTCCATACATTGTACAAAACCTTGTCAGGACCAGACTCTAGATATTACATCAGTGATTAAAAATAGTTTCTCTTTACATAAACCCTCGAATGACAGTGTCATTTTGCACTGCAACATAAAAAGTAACACCCTCTGTATTTTAAGGTCCCCACCCAAGACTTTCTCAACCTCTTGCCAATCGTGCAGCCTCCACCACCCCACTCTCCAACTGGCAGCCCTCAACTCTCAGCGCAACTTCAAGAGGCGAAATGTCAAAGTAGCGCGTGGGAAGTAGCACGCCAAAATCCCATCTGGGAGGGACGGACCCCTGCGTCTCCCCACGCACCACCTTGAAATGCCCCTCACTAGTTTCAGAGTCACCTGAGCCACCTGTTTTCATGGGGAGGGGCACAAAGTGGTTGACCTGTAAATCTTCAAAGCAGAGAAATCAATAGCAGAGTTAAACGGTGCCAAGTATCGCAAGACGGCCCCGCGGCTACTCACCAGATTGACACAGACATTGATCAGTGACCTAAGGTGAGGCAGGAAGGATATGATTGGCTGCCTCTGAAGTGTCAAACAAACCCCTTCAATCAAATTGCTGGCAGGCTCCCACTCAACCTGTCGCCTGGAATACAACATAGGAGCCGTTAAAATTTTACGGTGCAATACTTGGCACTTTTCTGAGGCAAACCCAAGGTGTATTTCTCAAGGTTTCTGCTGCCTTTAGGAGCATTGCATGGATGATCTTTTATACATTTATACTAGGTGAAAATAAACCAGATTGCAAATCCTTTTTAAAATCTTAAACCGTGTACCAGTTTTTTGGATTGGAATTGTGTAGGATAAGTTAAACTGCATTATTTTAACCAACATGAGTGTATTTCTCTAAGTATAGTTACATTGAAATAAATTTGTAAAAAGCAATATATAAATATAAATATGTATACCATTAGCAGTGCAGCTCCCTTCTAGAGGGTCTGTAACAAGTGAATGAGACAATGATTCTGACACCATCTGGGGCAGGACACGTGTCTGAGACACGTGGTGGAGTTTACCCATGTTGTTCCCAAAGCACAGAGCACACAGGGAGGGGAGGAAGATACTGAGAACACAGCGGGGCACCCCTGCCCCACCGACTAATGAGACAAAATCTACTGAAGAAAAAAAAAAGATGATGAATGGGTTGAATTTTAAGTTCCCTGATTTCAGCTTTGAGAGAGGGTCCGAAGGCTGTCGTTTTAGGGACTCACTTGGGGGCAGTTACTTCCGGCCTCCTGCTGTATTTCTGAAATCTACTTTGCAGACTACACTTGAGTCTATCAGCTTTGATACTACATTACTGCTAATTGGATTTACAGGGCTTCATTCCTGTCAAAGAGGTTACATTAGAAGGGAACCATTTGTCTATTTAAAAAGCATTCTTTGTTGGTCTCCTAAGAAATCATGTTTTGCAATACTTCCTCGGCAGTCTGAATGGTGAAACACATAACCCAGTTGGATGAACATGGCATTTTTCCGTAATAAAAATCAACCCAGTTTCTGTTAGTCTCAGTACAGAAAGATTCATTCCCAGGACTCCTAAATAAACAAGTTGGGCTTTGATAGTATCAGTATTACTTCAATATATTTTCTTGGAAATATTTTCTAAGGTTACATTTTCCTAGCAGAATGGAATCTCTGCAACGACATCATGAAAATGTCATTCGTAAATGACATATTCACATCCCTGATGTCAAAGTACCTAAGAATTTTACACATCACCCACAGCCAATGTGTCTGCCTTAGGTGACTGAGGTCACCTAAAGGAGTTAAATCCAAGCCAGCTTCATTTACATCACCTCTCCCAAGAGAATTTTCTACAATTGGCCACGTCTGTGCATGGGTCCTGAAGTATACTTTCTGGAAGCGTCATGCCACTTACAGTGGGTTTAATCATATGACAGACACGTGGGCCAGTTTACAGAGGGACACTCAACATCCTTAGATATCAAATTACTTAAGTAGAAGAATTTATTTTGAAGTCCACTTATAAGACAGCTATAAATCTTTGCTCAATCATTTTCCAAAAGACACAGATATTCCACAGGGACCACTAAAGACACAGTGATTTAGAAACAGGCATTCCTATGCCACTGAAATCTTAATGTCTAGACATTCATTACCACCAAATAAAAGAATATTTAAAAAGCCATCAATTATTAGCAAGAAATCATCTTTTTCTTTTTCTTGGAAATTGCCTAATGTGAAGCACAAATGTGAAAAAGAACATTGGCTGATACCTAAAAGCACCCTGACAAACTGAACACTAAGTGCTGTAGATTGCTGGGCAAGATTTGCACTGAATTTTGCTTTAGTTTAAAAGGACAGAGAATGGTCAAATGAAGCCAAGTTGAAACTTCCAAATTAGTGGGGTTATCAGCATTTATTAATTGAACTATCTGCTCACTGTGACTATGATCACCAAATTGAGCCCTGTCGCCAGGTAGACTGGCTCAGAGGAATTCCTTTATCTTATTGGAAGGGCACCAGTGAATATTTCTTTGGCCATTGAACAGAAGTCCAGTGGGAAATGTGCTGTTCAGAACTGCACTGAAAGGGGAAAGGTAGGTATTGGTTAACAGTCCTCTAAACTTTTTAGCTGATTTTGGCTGATTATTATAGAACTTGTCATTTTTCTAAGTTGGTACCTTAAATATGTGAACTAATCGTTAACTACAGTACTTGGAGTTGCAAATTAATGTTTCTGGCTGCTTTAGCTGGTGGTTTATAGAGCATCCCCTGGCTTATTTCAAGAGGGAGCGGAGGGTACCGACTGACATACACGGGATGAGGAACCACTGGTGAGAGCTAAGAATGAATAGATTTTTAAAGATGAAAGCACTTTAAAAAGATAAAAGCTATTTCCTCAGAATGGGCCCTCCAGTTGGGTACACTAGTCTTGATGAACTGTCCACAGACATCGCAAGAGAACTTTGGTCATCCCTCAACTCCAGACGTCCCCTCTACGGTAGGAGGTGACAGCTTCTGACTCTGAGGCTTATCGCTCAGTGGCTGCCCTGCGGCCTCCTTACCTCAGCGTGGGCATCTTGTGGATCTTGTTGAACATCCGGTCCAGCCTCTTCAGGATGAGGATGAGGGCCGGCCTCACCGCCTCGGCCGCCCAGTCAGTGATGGGCAGCATCTCCATGATGTAGCGCCGTAGCCCGCGGCTCTCCATCGTCTGGGTGTCATAGGGCGCCAGCTTCAGCAGGGAGTGTGCGATCTCCGCCAGCCTGAAAGGATTGTTTTGAAAAGAATATGCTGAACAGGTCACAATGGAAATGGTCCCACACAGCATCACGCTAATACCTTTCTTCCTGCTGCTTCTCAAGAGACTAGGGAGGGTCTGCACATGCGCAATGACACCATCAAGGGATGCTGCAGAGGGTAAATGAAAAGTCAAAGGAGGACAGGAACTGCCATAGGCAGTCAGGCTTCCCCCAAGGCTGACGAAGATTCCCAGGCACTGCATCCACATAGTGGTTTCTGCTAAGTGTAACAGTCCATAAATAGTCTTCAAAAGCAGATACGGACTACCAATTTGCAAAGAACTAAAAGAGAGCAACATACATTAACCTTTTTTTTTTTTTTTGAGACAGAGTCACACCAGAGAGTGCACGCTGGCCTCAAACTTATAGCTATCCTCTTGCCTCAGCCTCCTGAGTGCTGGGATTACAGGCATGCGCCACCATGCCCAGTCATGCACAACTTTAAAGTCAATTTAAGTTAATTTTGTATAAAAGAAACAGTGTTACAATTTTATAGTTTCATAATGTTAATACAAGGAGTACATACAGAAAGTTTGGAAAATGTATGCCCATTGATGGAATTATCTTCACCTGTTGTACAATTTAAGCCTGGTTTTCCTAAGACTTTCATTCTAAAATAACATACATGACACTCCTGTCACAAGAGAAGTATCGATTTTAAGTTTTAAAATTATGTGAAAACAATTTTTTAAACTAATGATATATGTTAAGGTCCTGTCACTCACTAGTGACTTGAATTAATATATATCTAGCCAGGAAGGTAGGGGATCTTATGAAAGTAGAGTACAGATGAGGGAAATTCAAATAGAGAAGAGGATGAAGCAGCCTAATGTGGCCTGAAGTACACTTGGGAATGACATTATCAGCAGACATGTAGGATTTTCAGGACTGTTATTAAGAGAGGGGAGGAGATCTGAGACACACTATTCTATAGTAAGTTTTTCCTAATTTTTTGAAGCACGTTTGCCTTGGGAAATCTCTGCAGATACCCTCTTAGAGCTGTGGAATCTCAGCACTGAAGAAGACTTTAATAGTCATTTAGGCAAGGAGGTTTCACATGTTGGGCATTTGAATTGTGCTTCTTAAAAACAAAACACAAAACAGACAAAACAGTTTTAAAGACAAATTGAAAAATGGTTTCCCAGGCCTCGCTTAATACATAGTAGTTTCTATATATTTTTAACTTTTAATTTGGAAAATTATGAACGTCTACACATGTAGAGAGGAGAGTATATAGAAAGTCCTTCAAACTACTCATCACCACATTCAGCGATGGCCACTTACATCCCTACATTTTTCCCCTGGAGTGTGGACTATTTTGAAATAATTTTAAGCATCATCTCATTTATCTGTACATATATCAATATGACTCTAAAATTAAAAGGCAAAGGGGAAAAGATATTATAATACAACTGTGGTATCCAATAAATTTAAAATAGTTCCTTTTCTTCATTATTATTATTTTTTTGGTACTGGGGATCAAACTCACGACCTTGTACTTACCAAACAGGCAGTTATGTCACTGAGCTAAACCCTTGGCCAATAGTTTCTTTTTAAAGAAAAAAAAATCAAGTCAATTTTTAATATTTCTTCATTCATATTTTTAAAAAATGGGGGGGAAAATAAGGCCCATACATTTCAATTGATGGTTGGCACCGATTGAATTTTGCTTTTTTTTTTTCCCTATCTTGGAATTTATTTGTTGAAATAATTAGTGGCAGCAATACTGATCTTGCTGACTGAATCTCCAGGTGTTATTTCATCTATCCTATTGTATTCACGTCAGGGGGTAGTTAATTTCAGGGGCTGGATCTATAGACTCGGTTTTGATCTTTTGATTAAGAATTCCTGGCAGGGCGCACACAGTCAGAGGCCCACAGTCCCTAGCTGTCACTCTGTCTATGTTGTTAGTCGCCCGAGTGATCCCTGCACAGATCTACAAAGTACCAGCATGATCCTGGGACCTTCCTTTTCTTACATATTAGCTACTTCATTTTAATAAAGAGAAATGCTGATTACTCTAGGAGAACAGAAAAGGCAGGACAAATGCCTGGCAGGATCTGCAGTGAAGAGCTCTCTGGCATTCTGCTTCAGCAGTCACACGGAAGCCACTGTGTCTCTGATACTCGGATGATTTACAAGGGCCTCACTGATTAGCTTTGTGACAGCAGAATCTACAACTGTGCAAGGCTCTGGAGCAGCCCTTACATCAGGTCCCTAAATTTCCTGCATTGTCTTCCTGGGAGACTTAACTCTGGAGGCATAAATCCAACTCTTCTTCCTCCTGTCCCCGCTTCAGAACTGAGAAATAGTTCCTGTCTCTTCATCCGCACTCTCTCCCCCCAGATTGAACATGTTCACTGTCCTGAAAATGGGGAATTCAGTTACTCCAAAGACATCATTTTAAACAGCCTATATGCTCTTTTTAAAAAAATCTATTTCCCTTGGGTGTGTCATGCAGCAAATAATGCTTTCTCAATTTGTTTGTGGCAGATAAGAATGTATCTAAAGGCACTTATTTCTTCCCACTTCTTATTTCAGAGGTTGTATGGGGCAATGATCAATCTGTGTATTTGATGCATGAGAACAATATCTACGGCTGCACTGAAGCGCCATTTTACTGAAGACTATAAATGATTTTATATTTCTTTAATTCTTGGCCATATGACACAGTGAATTTGCTTTGAGCCTAAAACAGAATTCCCCTGTAGTATTACCTTTGTGGTATGAACACATGAATAATCTCTCTGTGAGAAAAGTTAACATGGTTCTTTCTTAATGAGAACACAAGAAAATTTCTTTGGGAGGGAGAGGTTGGGAGAGGAAGAGAACTGCAGATTCTGCTGCTTTGGCAACTCAGGATTGAGCAAATGAGGCAATAAAATCCTTTAGGACAGAGATTCTATCTCCTTGAGAGTATTTTTTGCCAAAATATGGTAATCACCCATATATTCTGCAAATGCAGGAGAACAGACTGTCTTAACACTTCTTCTCAGCTTTTTGGTTTGATCCAAATTCTTTGTACAAATACCCCCTGCATCCTCACATCACCCCACTTATCTCTTTTAAATCAACTCTTTCTCTTTAGATAGTACCCATTCTTATGCTTTTAAGTATTACCCACAATGCCAAATTTTAAGCATTCAGTTTGACATGCACACACACACTCACATTTTTAAATTTCTATTAAATTATTTTTTCTATTAAATTAACTTTTAATTTCTATTAAAAAACTTAATTATAAGCTTTGGTTGCTACAGGGTCACAGCATTTAGATCTGTCACCTCTCAGCCACATAGACTGCCACCGGATGGCCACCAACCACACAGACCTGTCATTTGAAAATTCATTCTGTGACATTGCCTGCTAGAGGGCATTTAAGTTTTTCCTGTGAACTAAGACTTTTGTCCACCTATTTATTGGTCCAGATGTTCTGGAATGAGTTTCCCGCACTGCATTATGGTTCTTACTCCAACTTTCTCTGGTGACACAGCCAGACACATGAACCAGACATTCATCTACCACAAGGCTGTTGTTGAGGACACCACATACTTTCTTTTTAACAAACACAACCAGGAGATAATTCTTGTTCTTTGTTACTTTTAAAAGCACTACTTCACCAGAAAACAGTTTCTTAAAATTTTATTGACACTACAAATTTGTAACTGCTTGATAATCTCAAAGTTATATTTATGGTCTACGAATAATGCCTAATGTGATCTCATATAATTTCTTATGCTCAGCCTATTACAAACATAATTCTTTTCCACACTGATTTGACTTCTGCATTTGGGAACTCTATCACTTTGTGTCTTACAATTGTCCAAGTTACCTTAAACCTTTATAAAACGATAAATATATAACTATACATGTGAGTAGCAATTATAGCATTGTAGTACTGCCATTTTCTCATGGCTAGCTTTGTATTGGACTGTGGTAATTTTGAAGACCAGAACTGTATTTTCACAATGTCTAGTGTAGTCTTGGGGTCACTTTTATTAGCAGTAGTATCCATCATGTGCTAGGCGCGTGTTGGCCTCTAGAGGGCGCGCTAGTCCCCTCTGACGTCAGCAGCCCCTCCATCCAAATTCCAAGTGTAGTCAGACACTTCATATAACACTTAGTCCTTTCTTTCTTTCTCTTTCTCTCTCTCCCTCTAACACACAGGTTTTATGAATCTTTTCCCCTTTCTCTTACAAACAGCTGTCGGTAGCAGTTTTCTGACTCTGACAGTGTGCTGTTACTCAGTTCACAGAACCCCTCAGGTCAGCCAGGCTTGATTAGTGAGCGAAACCTAGTGGAGCCCAGTTGCTCTAGCACTAGGATCCTTCTACTCCAAACTTGCCTGCCCCTTCTCAGAAGTGTTCTGCCCAGGGGCTGAACCTCTCCATGTGAGACAAGCGCTTCCCTTGGACTGCACAGTTGGATACATGAGCAGAAGCGAAGCTCTGGAATTCTCTTGGTGGACATGGCTGTGCACGGCTCTGCAGGTCTCTGTGTGCACAGCTGTGCAAAGCTCTAAGTTCTCTCAGTGTGCACAGCTGTGCAGCCACAACTCGGCAGAAAAAAGTCTGCAGGGAAAGCACCTGTACTCACATAGATTTCTACCTCTCATTTTTTCTTTCTACCTTTTTTTTCCCCCAAAAGACCATCTTAAAAAAGTCCCTAATCAGGAAATAGCTGTGCTTTGCTGCATCACAATTTCTGAATGATTAGATCGTAACTCTACCTTTAATTTTGTAGGTACATTAAATTTTCCAAGTAAAGCTTTCACTACCTGTGAAATTTTTCTTTCAAGGATTTTTTAATAACCCTTTATGAACAGCTACAAATCTGAATGAATGAAAAAATAAAAACACAACCTTTATAAGAAAGTAACAAGCAAGAAGGCATCTCCACAGGTTGAGGGAAACATCAAGCACACATAACTAAGTCTGGGACCTATCTTTGGAGGACCAGCAATAAAATTTTAAAATAATTCCAGGCCTGATCCAGTTCAGGATTTTTACCAGACATTTCTTTTCAAAAGTTGAAGCCTATGTCATGCACAATAATTACAAAAGGGATTTCAGACCCAACCTAAGTACCATGCCTAAGAATTAAAACCACTCACTTTGCTGCAGGGTATTACTGTATCCGCAGACACTCCAGGGCCAGAGCAAGTCCTTAGCACAGAGCAGTACTGTATTTTTCTTATTAAATGATTGAACTTTACAGGATTCTTGTGAAAAATTAAAATCAGAGCAAATCATAGCAGAAGACTACTTTAGTCCAAATTTAGGTGATGGAAATTTTTATTCATTCTCTTGCATTGAAGAGCAAATATAGGGACTGTGATTGTCTGTCTCAAGAACATTGCCCTTTGTCCACCCTGAGATCCTTTCAGACAGACTTACTGGACAGTTCACCAGGGGTTTCTCTATGATATGCATTCAAATCGCAGGAAACGTTTCATTTCAGATATCTTAACATGAATCCTATAGCATAAAAATTCCCACAGCCCAACCCTGTCCCCTCAGACTCAGGGCCCCAGCCATATCTACTCTTAGTGCAGGGAAAGTGTGGCTGGTACCTCATGTGGGATTTGACATCCAGCAGCTCCAGAGCAGTGACCCGTGGCTCCCCAGCCAGGTTTTGCAAGATCTTCAGCCTTGGTCCGCAGTGCTTATAGAACTCAGTGCAGATATTCAAGAGGGATTCCCTGGGTCTCCTGAACTCTTCCCGAGCGATACGCTCATCCAGTTCCTCTCGGGGAAGTCCTTGCCCTTCCTCCAGTAAGTGAAGGTTTTCCCTGGGAAATTAGAAAAGATCGAACCAGGGGTCTGGAAAGGTGGGCATGTGTCAAGAATGAGAAGAGTGTGAAGGAAATCATAAGATTGCTACTGAGGTAAGGAGGTGGTAGGTTTGGGCCAGGTGAACCTCATGGGAAGGATCAAGTTTACCAGGAGAGACTGTTGCCCTGAATTTTAGTGATTTTCCACGAGCCGCTTCCTGAGGATTTACATGGAAACAGCAGGTCATGATCCCTTGACTACATCTAACAGAACTCTGTCTACCCAGATCCCCGGTCACAAATGGCGTGGAATTCGAGCAGGTCTTTCTGTACCTGATAAAGTGCAGTTTGGCTCCTTGCTCCTGGTACCTAGGAGTCAGAAAACACAGCTTGTGTCAACACCAGTGCAACCCAGCCGCCCTTGGCTGAGGCTTCCTTTATAATTTTCCTAGGAAAAGCTCTTGCTGATATATTTTAATCAGCTCGCAAGCATATACATATTAATCTCAACAAATGAAATCTGTGTCTTTCATTTGGCTGCCATGTACAAAGCAATTATAGTCGCTATGAAAGCTGCTCCATTACTGTATACTTTAAGAAAAATGCATAAGAACTCACAGAATATAGCCAAAGGAGAGACATTTTTGACAACTTTGAATTCTAAGGCACAGCTTTAACACTATGTGCCCTGGTTTAAGGGATCAGAGAAGGAGGGGTGGCTGACCCCTGTTGTTTTGCAGCCTCACCTACTGCTTTGTGATTCACTGATAGTTTGGCAGGAGAAGACTTTTTTTTGTATTCACCTAGTGGATGAACCTAACCCAATATGCATGGACAAGAGATGTAAGTGATAGCATTTTCTCATAAGGTAAGAAGCGAATGCCTGAGTTAATGATCACACTGCGTAATTTATAATTGGGCTTGAATTTATTTTTGCCTTATTTTTAATATGCATATGTGTGCTAAGCTGCGAAGTTTGCATAAATAATAATACACACTTAAAAATATGCTTCAGAGAGAATAGAAATGTTTTTTAGCTTTTCTTACAAGTTCCTTGTTAATGACTCCATACTAGGAAAAGAGAAATTTCTCTTAAGTTGATTGTGGGTTTGTGCCCACAATCAGGGGGAAGAGAATGTCACTGTTGTATTTTGGAATATTTTGAAGCTCACACAAATAGAATGAAGCAGGTAAAGCATTAAGTAGTACAGGTGATGTCTGAGTTACATCAAAACAAGGGAAGGAGAATCAAGTGAGCAGTTATCAAACCCTATTTGAGGACAAAAGTCAAAATTTGGGTAAAATCTGTAGAAAATCTGCCCCGGGGATGAGAAAACATTATTACTAGAGGCAAAGGAAACAACACTGGAAAAGTTTGCAGAGATCACTTAGCAGGGCGATGCAAACAAGCCAACACGACACCAGCTCCGAATGTGGTTTGGGTTTCTCTTTGACAATTTTAAAAGCAGCCTTGATTGTCTCATAACTCTAAAGTCACCTGTATTTCTTTTCACAGAAGACTTTCCACTTAATATTGACTATTTTTGGGACTCCTTTCATTCCCAACAACTGGAATTCAGGTTATAGGAAACTGAAAGATCATAAGAAGGAAAGCGTGCATTACCTGGTGTTCACGCCAGAGGACATGGTGTGGTTGGCCGTGGTGGTCCCCTTGTGACCCTGGTCACACCTGCTCATCTGCGGGGCTGTCATGGGCCTGTAACAATAACAATAATTTCCAGAACAAAGCAACAGTGACCAGCTGGAGGTGGTAGTGCATGCCAATAATCTCAATACTAAAAGGTTGAGGCAGGAGGATCAAGCCAATCCTCGGCTACATAGTAAGTTCAAGTCCAGCCCAAACTATGTAGCAAGACCCTGTCTCAAAAACCAAACCAAACCAAACCAAACAAAAAAATGACAACAGACATGGAAACCATCATGAAAGTTTTATGTTATGTTATGTTTATGTTAGCTTTTGTTGTAGTTTTAGACTCTTAAAAAGGCCAGGCTAGCTAGGGTTGGGCTTTCCTGTCATATATTTTCTGTCTGTTTGGAGAGGTACATTAAAGGCCAGGTTAATTCCTTTAGGTCTGTGAGTCTATCATTATTTAATCATTAAAGACCGCTTCGTGGTTCTGAGTAATAAACTACACTCATCAAATAAGACTCGTGACCAAGTGCCCAAGACTGCTGACTGAGAGTTCAGTGCTCATTCTGCAGGCCGGGCACTCAGCCAATCTGGCCAGGTATGAAAAGCACAGGTTTCTACATATCTCTGTGGCCACTGACACCAAAATCAATCACTCTTACTCTTCTGAGAAACCGTCAAAGAATGAAAAAATTCTCACAGCGAAAGTTACAACTAAGGCCACCCATGAAATCTGTACCTACATTATGGCAGTAATTTAGATGCTTTGGGACAGGTTCCAATCATCTCATTCGATATCTGCAGCATTTATATAAAATATTTAAAGTTTCCCTCTGTGTTGGTATCTAAGACACAGATGGGATAGTGTAGTTTTTTTAAAGGAATTTTTAATGTTTGCTTCTATATCGCTTATGTTCTGTGTGCTAAGTACACCTAGAAATGAAGGAAAGTTCTAATAACCACACCAGGTTCTTCTCTTCCTGCATGGCACCCTGAATTTAAAGATAGTTTCCAAGACTGGCTGTCAGGTGTTACCGCACTGATTACGTCACATTTCAAGCAAATCATGACAAAATGGAGGGGAGGTTACTTGGGCAGCCTTTGAAAGCAGGCAGTCTCTCTGGTTGGGGCAGAGATCAGAAGTGTGAGAAGGTTTCAAAGTGCCACTGTTGGCTGAAGACCGAGGGCCATGCACAGGAGCACATGGGCCTTCTCAGTGTAGAAGCAGCCCTGGCTGAGGGCCTACAAGGACATGGGATTTCAGGCCAGAGCTGTGTGAAGCTGAGTTTACCCCAAAACCTAAATGAGCTTGGAATTAAATTCTTCCCCTGTCCAGTACACAGGGTAAGAGCTCTGAATGACCAGTGCTTTGATTTCTACCTTACGAAACCTGAGAGCAGAACTCAGCCGCCCCTGCCTGTGGCTCACAAAACCCTGAGATAATAAATGAGTTGCACTTTAAGTCTTAAACTTTATAGTAATGTGTTACACAACAATAGACGAGCAACACACTCACATTTGCCTATGTAATGCCTACAGGACTTCTGAATTTCTCTTTTCATAAGATAAAGACCTTAGGAATTGGGAAGTGAATGGGGATTCTTGTCTCTTTTTTGTGAAAACAATGAAATCTATTTTGTTTGGACTGTTACCAACCAGTGAGTCTTTTATTCCACAAAAAGAATACTAACTGCACTGAGATAGAGAAGGCCACAGAATTTCCACTGCCAGAGTCTCACCCACAACTCTTCGTGGTATTTTGGGTAAATCAATTTTGGATAAATTAATTGACTTAGCCTCATAGAAGGGAACAGAAAAGAGGAATGGGTCAACATTATGTACTATAAGGAGAAATAACTAACATGGTACTTCAGAAAAACAGACACCTTTGCTATAGTTGCAGGAAGGGCCTAGTACCAGCATACAGATGGAAGCATGTAGTGTGTAAATCACCGCTTATCTTTACAATGTTCTCCTCCCAGAACTTTAATGAAATCATCAGCAAAGCACTGGGACTGTTTCTCATTGGAAGAGGTAATTTTTTGCGACTTCCTGTTTTACTTTCCCCATTTACTCATTTTAGGTGCATACAAACATTCAAAGATGATTATCTGCTTGCAGAGGATGGTGTGTGGCTCAGGGCTAGGAAGGAGGCATACACTGCAGTTCATGAACAGTGATCTCACTCGCTCTCATTGCCTGGGGCATGCTCAAAAGTTCTTCTGTGGATTCAGGGAGTTCCCTGACTAAACTAACACAGCAACATGGGGCTGGGGAAATCGTGTCTCTTGTGGGGGATGAGGAAGGTAAATCATAAGCAGAATTTTGGTCTAAGAATATGGTACTTTAGGCTAGACAGATGGTACAGCAGAATGTAATGAAGGAGGAAAAACAAAACAAAAAAAAGCAAACCCAGGAAGAGGACATCCCCAGTCCCATCTGGTGAAGAATACATCCTTGTAGATCACTTAGAAGGAAAGAAAATCACTGGCTGAGTGTCCTGCACTCTCTCCATCTTTGATTACATCCAGAGACTGCCACCTGCTCCATCCTTACCACTTGGCAGCTCGGTTCTTCGTATTAGTACACCCAAGAACAGCACAATTGGGCTATGTTCACATTTGACCTCTTGTGCCAATCTACGTTTCCATTCCCAAAGTACCCAACCCTCTCAGCATTATTTAGGCCTGGTCCACAAAAACCATGTTAATCCTGTTATTAGAATTGCAGTGTGCAGTTTATATTTGTTACACAGTTTCTAAAATTATAGTATAAAGTCATACCTTCATTAAAATAAAGTAATACAGTTTAGTTGGATTTGCAGAAATTTAATGTCTCATTAAATCATAAGCTAATAAAAAGGTTGCTCACATTTTCACATTCTCTCTTTTACAAGACTTGTCAATGGCGTAAAATTGCCACCAAGCTCCGCCAGCTATATGCAATTGTATTTAGCAATCATAGTAGGGATATTATTATTACTACACTATTAATACTACCACTATTCTAAACACTGAGTACTGTTTATTCAGGAACTGTTAACTATTTGAAGTTAGGACATCAGGTTTTAACAGATACCCGTAAAATAGTAAGATAGGAAATCTATAAATAACAGATAGGCTTTTAGAGATTTTAAGCTATAACATACTTGTCTTCATCTTTTCAATGGACACCTGTGGTTCAAGGCTGTGATATTTCTGTGGTGGGATTACCTGGTGAGTACCTCCACACTGTATAAAAGGGCTTGCAGGGATGTGGCCAGAGCAGCCATGGCAGCAATCTCCTCCCGGGCAGCAGGTACAGTCTCTACCTGTGATGTCTGCCTTTTTAGCTTTTGTAGGTAACATGGAACTAAAGCTTCCAAGACCATCAGCATCTGAAGACTACAAACCAGAGAAAGAACACCAAGTCACACATTGCACTCTCCTTTTGTGGGCAATATTTAAGAGCACAAAGAAAGCCCCTAAAGTGCCAGGCATGGTGGTGCACACCTGAAATCCCAGCACTTGGAAGGCTAAGCAGAAGGATCACCTTGAGTTTGAGGCCAGCCTGGGCTACACAGTGAGTCCATGGTCAGCCTGAACTACAGGACATAGTAAGATCCTGTCTGAAAAAGCAGAACAGAAAAAAGAAAGCCTCTCCAACGATGAGGAGCTCTAAGTCTCCTTCCCTTCCCACCCAAGTCTGCTGGAAATGTTGGTCACAGTTAACTAATTAACCACCTGCTAATGGGTAGTGAGTTCTGCCTTAAAGAAATATGTGATCTAGTTGGGGGAATTGGCCATTGAAATAAGTGGCTGAACAACTGAGCTACACAGGACATTGAAAGAAACAGGTTTCAGAATCCTCAACAAGGCTTTTCTGTTCAAGAATTTGCTGAGTGTGATTTTGTGGCTGAAACAATTCCAAGACAACAAAAGGCCCTTTTGAAGGAGGTGGGTTTCTAAAAGCTTAAGCGATCTTGCAGTGAGAGACTGGAAACTATCACTGTGATGCGGGCTGGTGATGCCTGTTTACTGGCAGACCCTGCTCATTCACAGCACCCATACTCGGCGTAGTGCTGAGGTGACATTTGAGAATGTCATCTCAAAGCGGAGATGGAACATTCATTCAACTGTAAAATTATGACTCTAAACTTTTTACATCACTATTATACCTAAGTAAAATATACTTATTGATGATCTGGGCTAGTGAAAGATGGAAGAGTAAGGAGGAGAGAAGAAGTAAAAAAGATCAAGATGTGATAACTATCTGTCTATCTATGCACCAATTTCCTCATGACGAACGTATTTATTCTGTATCTCAAACATCCACTGAAAAAAAAGGATAATTTAAGCACAATGACAGTATGACAAGAATGAAAGTCCTGTAAAAATATCCCAGGCCACAACTATTTAAAACATTGTGACTCTACTTAGGAATCATGAAGTCCTCCTATTTAACCTGAGAGGAATGAGAATTAAGGAGGATCAATTTAAAATTAAAAAAAATCATGTAATAATATTGGACATTGGTTTTCTACATACAATGATAGGGAATTTGATGGTGAACTCCAATTTCTTTCCATTTCGCTATGTTTGATTTTTAACTCAAAAGACGTGTCGCATTGGGAATTTGGTAATATGAAGATTTTTTAAAGTCTCTGTTGCTGGCATTTGAATATTAGAGAATGTTACACATTTCATTATTGCAGTGCTTTAATTTTGTAACTTAATCGAGTGCAGAATCACTGATGCATCCTATTAACAATGTACCTGGACACACTGGGAACAAAAAACAGAACAGGAAATACATTTCTACATTAAGTTATAGATTTGGAATTAACTTAACGGAGGGCTGGTCCATTCTGGAAGCTTTTAGAGCTGACATGTTGGAGGAGAAGCAGGAAAGTGGGAGATGAACCACACTGGGAAGAGATTTCAGGTTTGCCCTTCGAAGGGTCACAGTCACACCAGTGGTTGATTGCAGGTACTGTATGATGTTTAACCTCCATCACTGAAGAGAATGAAAAGCTGGGGAGGGCGGGGAAGCATTCCTACTCTCCATATTTCCTCCCATCAAGAGAGTTCAATTAATGTAAATCTTGGGCCCTGGTGGCCTTTCATTCATTGTGTTCTAGGGGAGAGGAAACAATTTACCCAAGCGGCAACTGTGTAAAGGTATGCTGAGCATAATTAGCTCTGCTCAGTCTTTCTTCCAGGGGAGCTGGCCAACAAAGCGGGACTTTTAAATGACAGATGAGACTTATATACAAGGCCAGACGCCACACTGAGGAATTGGGACGATTCACTTTCCATGTGAATCCTTTGGCTTCCTTGTACTTGGCAAAAGGAAAGACAAGACTTATATTCTTGTCCTTTGTGACAGGTGCTCTTACTGCTTCTTGAAACGGGTTTTCACAAGTGGTGTGAATATCTGTAAAATGGGGTTTGCTACTCATCTGTATTACATGAGAGGAAAACATTCTCTGACAAGAGTAAAAATGTTATCCTCCACACAATTCCAAATGAACGGCTTGCCAATTAATGAAGATTTACGATACTTTCCAAATCTTCTGCTATGACACATTTCCTGAATTTAGTTTTTAAAGCCTGTTTGCCAGCATGGTGCCAACTGATACAACCTTCATATTCACGCAACTTTATTTCCTTTGCCGTCTCACAAAGCACGGACTACAGGACTCAGTTACCTTCTAAATGACTCAGGCGCGTACGCCACCACCGTAACACAGAGCTTCATGGCTTCGCTGATGGAGAATGTCAAGTCTTCACTCCCATAGCAGAAATCTGAAAGGACAGAGAGTCGGTGTACACAAAAAGAATGGGTCGTTCTGGGGACAGAGATGAATTTATCACTCCTCACAATGCCTTTCCATTTATATTTCATAGCCTTTTTTATCAGATTTTATTTTCAAACTGTGAAAACTATTAATTTCTTCTTCTGGAGGAAATGGCATTCTTTTTTTCCCCCCTTGAGGCAAGATCTCACTATGTAGTCCAGGCTGGCCTCAAATTTATGGGGGATGACATTCTGTTTTCTACTTTTTAGTAGCTGGATGAAAAATAAAAATGCCTTGTTGAGATGGTTTTAATAATTTATAGAGAAGGCATTGGAATAATCTAAGAGCTAAAACACGATGTTTCATCTTAGGATGATGTCTACTTCTACACACTTCATGACAATCAAAGGCCATTTGGGAGAGCTGTTCACTTAAAATTATTCAAGACAACCAGACCTTCTAACGCTTGACAGAGCAGTGAGAGGGTAGGGGTCTATTGGATATCATTTTAGTATGATTTTCATGGCAGAGAATTTCTTCCTCTAGAGGATCCACAGGAAATTTAAGAAAAAATAGAAGACTTTAAAAATCTACTCAATAGGGGCTGGGGATTTAGCTCAGCAGCATAAGCACCTGCCTTGCAAGCAGGCAGTCGTGAGTTCAATCCCCGGTACCAATAAAAATGAAAAAGACACACACAAAAAAATCTACTCAATAAATGTGTAGCACTTTCTAGATACTCCATCTATCTGTGTATCTGTCTACCTATATATCTATCATCTATCCAGCCATCATCTATCTGTCACAAGAAACTTTTGCATTTACCTAATGACTTAAGAGGCTTCTCGGCTTTGACCAACTCCAGGATGTCTAATATGTCAGCGGTCTCTCCCTCCAGGGATTGCAGCAAATCAAACAGGCACTGAGCTGACACACCTTTGTTGGGGCTATTATTGGCAGCATCCTGTACAAAGAAAAATGACTTTAGTTTACTGACTCTCACCTTGGTACTAATACCACTGACTGATCAAACTTCATAAACACAATCGCTAACAACAATTGCTGCACCTATCTGGAATTCAACTTATATATTTCTGCATCCAGCAGTACTGGTACCTGATTTCAGGGTGGTGCACCTGAATTTCAGGGGGATCTATTAAGTACAAAAGAGATATGTGGGAAACTCATTATAGAACAGTAATAGATGAACTGCTAGAAAGTTTCATGATAATGGCTCTATTGGCATAAAGTAGTACAATTATGGAAATTTTCACAATACATGGTTGAACACTTGAAACGGATGCTTCTTTTAACTAAAGACTTCTTTTAACTAAAGACTATGAATTTCACAGGTCTTGATCAAAAATATATCTCCCAAACAGAAATACAGTACTCGCTATTTTGAATCTATTTGAAATACTTTTGATCTATTCATAAAAACAACAAATCCATATTAAGTTCCTATGTGCCAGGGACCATGGGCACTGAAGTTATAGCAAACTAAAAATCAAACATACATCCACAGGACACCACACAAAAATACCTAACAAGCAAATGCAGAAACCTTAAATTCGGCTGATGACTGTTGCAGACACATGTTAATGAAACAAACACAAGCATAGCACACGGTATGGTGGTAAATGCTCTGAAGAAAAACAAAAGTAAAGCAGGGTAGGTGGTAGAGAATGACAGACAGAAACGATAATTGGGGAACCTTCCTCTCATCATTACCTACTTTCCAAATCTTGCAAGAATGGAGCATAAAAATAGAGCTGGTTTATTTACACACAGGTGAGATGAGATGAGATGGGATGGGGATTAAAGAGAAATGTTGAAGGGAAACGATTTTCTTATTAAAAGAGAAGTAATTTATGGTATTCGTGTCTTATTGTTTGGAGGAAGGGAGCGGAAACATTGAGTACCTAAGCTGAGAATGGCCAGGCCACATACTAAAGGCAGTTTGCACCTGCAGAGCCAACCAGGAAAGCAGCCTACTGTTCTAAAAGCCAGCCCAGGAAGCCAGCCAGCCCAGGAAGCCAGCCTGATCTCCCAGACAGATAGTAGATCAGACTGCTCACTCTAGTAGAAACCAAGCACTAACCCTGCAGTGATAGCCTAACATGGCTGGGCTTTGACCCAAACTGACAGCTTCCCTAACTTTTGTGTCTTCTTTCAACCAATGATAGCCAAATATCTGCCTCTATCCAATCGCGTAAGATGTTCTGCTTCATGTTAGCTCACCGACAACTTCCTAGGCCCACAGCCTTCACTCAGGCTTACCTGAAGCATCCTTCCCTTCCTCCAGAAAGTTTTTCTACTCCTCTGCTGTGTTTGAGGTCTCTGCCAAATGCACCTGGCTCCCTTGGTCTATTAAACTCTGAATAAGTAACCTTTTCTGTTTGTGTTGGTTGATCCTCATGTATCTCCACAGTGCTTACTTACTGGAAACTCCAGGAGAGGGGCCACACTAGCAAACAGCTGCAGCACAAAGGGCTTTCGGTGCAGGATGTAGAACTGGTGGCAGGCGAACTCGATGGCTTGACGTAACTGAGGATTGCTTTCATAGTCTGAGTACACCTGTGGGGAAACGCGTGCTGAGCAAGTGCCTCGAGATGCATGGAATGATGCTTGCTTCTAACACTTCCCATAGCTTGGGAAACAGAAAAATGGCTCATTTCGTAAGCAGGTGGCAGGGAGTATAAAATGGTATAACCTTTCTAGGAAGAAATTTGTTAATCTACACAGAAATTCTGAAAATCTAAACAGACTTTTCCCTAGGAAATTTACAACTGAGAATTTATCTCAAAAGAAGATAAACATGCAAAGATGTTTATCTAAGCAGGTCTCATCTAAGATTGTACATGATAGTCAAAAACTTGAAATGACTCAAATTATTCATTTAGGGTCATTTGTTGAGTGAATTGTGGTCCATGAAAACAAAGGAATAACATGCATTAACTGCTTTTCCATGCTGTAAAGATAATTGTAACTATACTCACGATGTTCTTTTTTATATGAAGATGTAACTTATAAGCATGAACAGTTGGCATGAGCTTTTGTTTAAAAAAGTGTGTGTGTAAACATGCATGCACGTGAGTGTATGTACATGCATGATGGAGAGAGTATCAGGATTTTTGAGAAGTGTAAGCAACGGTTTTTCTGAGAAGGAGGACTTAGGAAATTGGTATTTTCTGTTTAAACTTTATCTTCAAATTTTTATAAAAAGCACACTTGCTTTTGGTAATCAGCAAGACAGTTACAAAAATAGAGAAAACTGCCAATGTTTAAAGTCTTGTCATAGGACACGTAAATTTCTTACCCCATTCGCTGAACAAATTCAACTTTGCATGAACATGTTATTTTTTATAACTTTTTCTAAAACTTCCATAAAAACAGAGAACTAGGGTTAGCCCATGAACCTGCTTGAATTTTACTTAGTTTTCCAAACACAGCCAGGGATACATCAGGCAGGAGTAAGCAGAAACTCATCCTGCTAAATTCACTTCCTCCAAATCCATCTAATCAACTTCCGGGGCAGCAGATAGCTCTGTTCAGACGGAGGTCAGAGAACCTCTCAGGAGAAACAGCACCTAAACCGATGCCATGGAGCCAACCCAACACAGGGATTCTGTAGCACCGAGAGCAGCAGCACTATCTGGAGGTCTTGCCCTGATTCAGGAACCCTGAGGGGGCCTGGTCCCATGCATTTCTAGCTAACAACACCCAGGTGCTGCTGAGAGCACATGGACAGTCACTGGCCTGGAAGAAACAGCAAAGCACATCACACCCGAGAGGCTCAGGATGGGAGCGGATGCACCAGCTTCCACCTAGGCACCTGCAGCATGGTGGGGAGAATCCACTGGTAGCCGCTGAGAGAGAAGAGGTGATTGAAGTGCACAGCGGTGTTGATGACGGTGGCCGCATACTGCCGGAGCAGGGCGCTGTCCTCGGGGTGCAGGATCAGAGCCCCATTGAACACGTTGAGGAAGAGCATGATTTCGTCTCCCCAGGGGAACTCGCTCGGCATGCCGAGGAACATCTCCTCTAGGAGCTGGATCCACAGGCTTTTCTGCAGGGTGTCTAGGCCAAACAGCTCCTTCCCAGCTGTGAGAAGCAGAAACAGCAGGGACAGAGTTAGCCCACCCACGCCAGTGTCATCTGCGTGAGCACATGGCCGAGGCTCTGCTGTGTCCCATGTGTGCCAGCTCCGGGCCGGCCAAGGAGGAGCTCTGTTGCGGAAAGGCGTCCAGGCCCCGAGTGGCCGGCATCAGCACAGCACCTCCTGGTTGTCAGAGCACTTCGTCAGCACCTCTGAGTTTGTTCTGCGGGAAGGCAGGGCCAGGGTGTGCAGTGCTCTGCCTCTAACTAATGTAGCAAGGCACAGCAATACTGATTTAGCCACATTAATAATAGTCCTGGTGTGGGGTTTCCAAAGTGGGTCTCCTTCTGTTCCCATCTGTCTCTCAATTCAGTATAATTTAGAGTAACATATATAGACTTCGAATGTAGAGTTCAGTGAGTTTGTAAAATACCCAACCTCGTAACCAACAGCTCATCAATATAGCAACAATTTTCATCAGCTTCGAAAGTTCGCTGGTGCCTTTTGCTGGAAGTTCATTTCCTCCAATCCAGATGTGACCGCTATTCTTACTTCCATAGCCAGATCAGCTTTTGCCTCCTTTTAAACTCTTATTTTTCAGAGTCAGCCTCTCCTCTCCTAACACCCTGCATACTTTGCTTCATCTGGTTTTTAGTTTTGAGCCCCTTCTCCAAGCTCAGAGCTGACGATGGGGGTGTGCGTGTCACCTGGGAACCTGTTACCAAGGTCAGGCGTGTCACCTGGGAACCTGTTATCAAGGTCAGGCGTGTCACCTGGGAACCTGTTACCAAGGTCAGGCGTGTCACCTGGGAACCTGTTACCAAGGTCAGGCAGGGCCCCCTCCTGGAACTCTGAAGCAGAGGCTGGCACTCAGCAATTTGGGCTTTAATGAGTTCTTTGGGGGATCTGAGGATCCCTTGCTTCCGGAACTCTCTGCCTGGAAGGCTGCTCTACAGGCAAGAACCCGCAAAGGCTGAGGTACCTTGAGGGTCACTGAAGAGTGAGAACTCCGCGTCTATGGCACTGCGCGGGAAGGAGGGCAGCCGCAGGAGGTCCTCCTGCAGCATGGAGACGTGGGACTGTTTGTGGGCCGTGGGGATCTTCTGGGTCAGGGAGATGAGGAACAGCACCCGGCCTACTTCCTCCAGCTTCCGAGTGAACACCTAACAGAAAACAAGAGCAGGAACAGGAGCTCCAGCATCAGGGCCGGGGAAGCAGAGTGACACACCGGGATGACATACCAGGCAGCAAGAGGGGAAAGTGTATTGAGAGGGAGGTGGGTCTTTTCTTTACCACATGGAAAGAGTAAACAAGATTTAATGGACACGCTCTCTGCTTCTGTCTACGCTACAGAAGGAAGAATGTCTCCTGGACTCTGGAGGCTGGAGGGACACAAGGCAGGCGCGGCCAGCTACATTCAGTATCACAGGGGTCCAATTGGTTTGGCTGTCAGAACACAGAAGACTTTCCTGACAGCCAGCCAGCAAGCTAGTTCTGACTGCACCTGGTGAATCTGGGTTTGTCCCTTGAAAGATTAAAGTGGATTCTGGGGGGAAAAGCATTATATTGAGACAAAAGTAGATAGGCCTGTAATTGGTGCCCTTTGTACCTGAGTTAGATGGCTTCCATAGGACTGGTCCCTCCTCTTAGTTCAACTTCTCTTGATGACCAGGGGCAGGGGATGGGACTAGGAAATTCAGGAGAGATGAGCAACTGGAGAGGGGAATTCTGAGCCAGAAGCGTATTATCATCTCCCAGGGAAACTTAAAAGTATGAAGGTTCTACTTTGGGGCTCACATACAGCAAGCATCACATTTTAGGACACTCTTGAAATATGTTCTTAAGCATGGTAAATATCCACACACAGGAGAAGTGCCATTACTGATCATGCTTCTGTCTTCCCGTTAAAATTAGACTAGTGAAATTGTTTATATTTAGTATTTTTCAGTTTTGTCTAATACTCCCGCAGCTTGCTACGAATTAGTGTTTCTCATAAGGCAATATAAGTAGTGAATGGTGGTTAGTATTAAAAATTACTTCAGTGGTCAATTCTATGCCATTATCATTCATCTCATGTAGACATTTTTAATACTTTGATGCCAAGTTAGCATTTTTGATATTTGCAGAAAAATCAAGAAGATCAAGTATCACAAAATTCTTGTTCAAACAATCTTATTAAAAAATAAAGGTAATGCATGGGCAAAACTAACATTGAATCAACTTTACAATTGTATACTAAAGCTATATTTTGCGTGTAGACTAGTGACTTTTCTTAGGCTCAAAGTCTGATTCGAGAGTGGACATTTGAATACCCTTCTGATCTTCAATCCTAAACCTTCATACGACAGCCTGATTGTGTCTTTTAAGAAAAATTACTACAGTCAGATCCTTGACAGGGATAAGCCTCTGGTCATTAGCGGAGCTGGGATGGAATCCAACCTCTGGTCCCTAGTTCAGTGCTTTTTCAGGGACATCAATGGCTTTTACTTTTTCTTTTCAGAGGGCAGAGACCTCTGGGACAACCATCTATCTGATAGCTGCAATCTGTAGACTTCCAATCCTGTTTTACAAAAATGTGAAATGAATATCTATATCTTGAAATTAGGGAGTAAATAGACATTTTTATTGTTTAAATGCAAAGATTTATCATAGTATTTTCCAAGTGATGTTTTTCTTAGTGCTTGTACCTCATGATTCAATTTATGTATAAAACAAACATTATTTTCAGCAAAAAATCTATTGAGCAAGGCCTTTCATTTACTCTCTCCAGAGAGACTCATAATGGAATCACACAGTCTCAGGGCTGGTGACACATTTATGGACTGTCTGTCTCCACGACATGAAGTAGAATAAAAGCGAGTGGTCGGACACCTGTTTCTGAATGAGCTCCTGCCCCTTCTCCGGGTGCATGTGTACCAGGTTCAGCTGTGGGGACACGGACCTCCGGAAGGGGTAAATATCTCGAACATAGGTCTGTGATGGATTACATAAAGAGACAAAAAAAGTTTAAATAGTTAATTTTATTCTCATTTCTTCTTCACTCAAAGGTCAGCCAAAAAAATTATTTTCTAATGGTTTGATTCTTGATTACTTTTATGCTCCTCAATTCTATAAAAATTCAGAGATAGTGAACATCTACCTTGGGAAAGCTTTAGTCCATGCAGAGGGGAGTGTGTCCCATCATGCATCCCTGTACGGGTGTCAGGAGCCATGGAGCCAAAGACAGGGCAACAAACAATGTTTGAGCAGAAGGAGGTCTTGTAAAGTGCTGCCGGGGGTCATCCTGAGGCTGCCCTTTGCTTAGTAAATGAAGTAACCATGGTCATATGTAACACGGTAGAAAAAAGAATCACAGCAGCATTGCAATTCCAACTCTTTACATAACGGGCAACCTAATTTTTTGCTTTGATGTAATCATGATGAATAACTGGTTGGCTTTATTTGCTTTTCCCTTAACACAGATATTATTAACTTTCTGGGCAGACACACCAAAGGGCCAAAAGGTGGCGTAATTGTAGTTCAAAGTCATGCAGACCCCACTCATCATGCCCACCCCTACTTCATTCTCACCTTATTGTAGTGGATAAGGTTCCATCGTTTATCCATGAGGAAGTAATGGGTTGACTGGGATTCTGGGATGTTGAAAAACTCTAGGCACTCCTACAATGAGAATATTAATAAGTGTTTTTCAAGAACATATTGTTTGAGGGAGGGTGAGGAAGGAAGATTATAAGCTCAAGGTCAGTCTGGGAGACTTAGCAAGACCTTGTCTCAAAATAAAAATTTAAGAAAGCAGGTTGGAGATATGGTTTTATGCAAAGCCTTGAGTTTAATCCCCAGTACCACAAACAAACACAAACCCATATTCACCAGGTAGTAAGCTGGAAGATACAAATATTGAAACAATAATTTCTTATTAAGAAATTTATATGTATTTGCATTTTATATATTTTATGTAAGTCCATATACATGAGAATACACATTCAGGAAGTTACCAAGAATGAGGCACAAAGGCTGATAATATAATATAAGCTATTCATTCTCATAGTACTTAAAGATACACAATTATAATTTGGACTGAGTCATAGTCTATGGAGATGCAGTGGCACCTACTGGTCTTCTGTGTTTAGTAATAGCATCAATGAAAATCCAAACTACAGTATGTCGAGAACTTGTTGGATGCTGTATTCTAGGGCCAGTGATTTGCATGTAGATAACTTGTATAGCGTGAACTAGTATCTCAGTACTGCAGGGGGAAAAAACAGAAAGAGAGGTCCTGTGAGTCATTAGGTCACACTGGCTGTCGTGGAACCAGGCTTGGATGGTGCTGTGTCTTTCATTTGTCCTGTCCTTTGGTGTGAGGAGCGCAATCGAGTGGTTGTTGAAATTGCCTCACTGGCTTAGACACTCTTTTGAGGTGTCTGTGTGTAGCCTGTACGAGTAGGATGATTGCATTTCTTTGGAGGGGAATCATTGCCGTAATTATCAGAAAACACTTTCTTACTTGATTTATTCTAAGGCAATGATGGCAAACGTTTTAGAGCTTTCAATTGTACAAACAGCCTGCTACAGTATGTGCACTGAGTTCTCCGTCACCTCTCTAAGGTATGTATTTCCTGCTTTGCCAATAACACCTGCCAATGACAAGTCAAGGCTATACAGAGTCAAGTAGTTGTCACAAAAAGGGTTTCTGGCATGGATCACCAGCTGACACCTAGCGTTTATTCCAGTGCCGTCGGTGGGAAAATGCTGGGAACCCCAGAACCATTGTGATGATCCGAAAAAAGCCCATGAGCTGAAATTCAAAGTATTCCAGGGGAATCAAGAACAACATTAGAGGGTTCTGCTGCTACCTGTAGCCAAGACAGAACCTCCCTAATTACGCCTACTTTAATGAAAGGCTAAAAATACCAGTGAAAGTGGGAACAATCATTTCAGGATGTAATTCATTTAAGGATGTAATAGTGCTGCAAATTCTCAAGGAGTAAAGAATGACACACATCCCACTGGAGACAGAAAAATGTCATTTAACCTAAAATGGTTATTCACAGAGGTAGCCAGAGGAACTGTGCAGAAAAAAATCATTTCTGTCAAAAATCACTCCTACCTTCAAGAGAGCTTCAAACTGAGTATCTTCGTGGACTGGTAGCTGAGTTGGGATGTCACACTCGTTCTGTCCATGAACAACCAAGGTTTTGGTGCCTACCGAAAGGGAAAATCATAACACATGGATCCCACTATAAGAAAATTTGTATCTAAAACATAAACTATTAAAATAATATCAATAAGATGATATTGCTACTAAACACTTAATGTGAGATATGCATTGAACTTTAATAGTTAAAGATATGTTTTAAATATTTTGCACTAAATAATTTTAGCTACCATTCTATTTATGGAGTTTCCAATGCTGTTATCTACTTTTTACATGCATAAATTGTATTTAACTCTCAGAGCAAACCTATGACATGAATATAATCTTCACCTTACAAATGAGGAAACAGAGAAATTGAGTAACTTATCCAAAGACATACATTTACTGTACTTAGTGGAAGAGTCCAAATTCACACAAACACTGCAAGAAATAATACATCCTAGTCTGTTAAATGAGATAACCAGGTGATGCCAGTTGAGATATATAGAGAGAGATTAACAAAACCAAAACAGGCACCAGAAAAGTTGCTTAAGTATAATTTTCTGTATTCTATTTATTTCCCTTGAATCCTTATTTTCAAACCTTTGTGAATATTCTGGCCACCTTGATTTTTTTTAATGAGTTGTTTTTAAGTATATGTGTGACAATATGAATTTCTTTGCTATAATAATACCTGGCCAATATTTTGGATAATCTACACAGCACATAGATACACAACTCATATATGGATTGTTTATCGTGAATCAGGTTTGCCAGCAAGCATTTTATAGACTTAACCTCCTTTATTCATTGTGACAGTGAAGTATGAATCATATTCATATTTTATACACGAGAACAGAAAAATGATCTTTATCTCAGTGAGCCTCAGGAATATGACTAATAAAAGGCAGCGCTGATTTTAACACAGGTTTCTTTGTTGCCAGATCTGTGTCTTGGTCTTTGTATGATTTTGCCTTTCTCTTTATTTCAACAGATGTATAATCATCTATTCTCATAGAAAGCAACCAAAGCTAAAAGATTGGTTAAAATATTCATCTCAAAGACAAACAGGCTACGCAAAATATAGATGGAGAGTACCAAGGGTTTGGAGCACATGTAGTGTTCTTTTGTGATTCTGCCTCTTCCTGCTTCTCTCTTCCAATTTTTCATAAAGCTGCCTCTCACTGAGTTCACAGAGGAGTGGGGCCGGTGTCACACAAACAATATGGCTCTCCCTGCGGTGCCAAAATTCACTCAAAAGTGCTTTCCGTTTAGCTGGCGCTCTATGACAGACTTAAATAAACCTTTAACCTTGGCAGCCGTTCAAAGACCGAGTCACACGGGCCTCGGTTCTGCCGTCTCTTTTCATCTGGCAAATGCTGATGTTTAAAGGCTCTGTTATGGTTTTTTTTTTTCGAATTGTATTAAACAAAAACTCTTTGGTGCATTCAATACCTGGGGTGAGAACTCTGGAAGTTTTCTCAGGAATGAAAGCAGCTCGTGGGTTTTCCAAGGGCTATTTAAAATTTTATTTTTTTAAGTTATGTCACCGGAAGGCGACAGGGGCTGGATTACCCGGCATGGAAGCAGTCACCAGCAGCTTCACCTCGCATTGCTCCTTCTTCATGGTCTGCTTGAGGTCCTTGAAGAAGAGGCCCTCCACGTACCCCACCACCTCCCACAGGAAGGTCAGCGTGGCCGAGATGGCGTCCATGCCCCACTCGCAGGGCGTCCGCACGAAGTACATGATCAGGCCCACCTGGAAGGCAGAACAGCAGCGGTCACAGGGCCGCAGTCCCGCGGGCTCGCAAACTCCATCTCTCACCTTTGCTCCTTCCTCGCACACATCTGCAGTAGGCGAGGTTCACACGCACCCCCAGCAGGAGGTCCGCGTACACAGCACAGCTGATCCTTCTTATCTCCCTTCCCTCCTGCCCGCCTGCCTCCTCCATCTCTAGATCCCGTTCCCCCTTTTCACTATTACTGTTACTATTTAGTTCATGTTTGGGGTGTACCGCATTTACGTTCACTGTGGGTATCTGGTATCTGTACAAGACACACCTGAGATCCTTTTATTCCCCCTTTTCTTTCCCCTTCCCCTTCACTCTGCTTTTAAATTAAACCTTGCTGCTCTTTAGTATTCACTGCTCAAATGCTTCTCTAAGACTCTCAAGGAACAGTGGCCAGGAAGGAGTGTAACTCAGATGCAGACCAAGCAACCGTCCGTCCATCCATCCACACATCCATCCATCCGTCCAGCCACCCATCCATCCACACATCCATCCATCCATCCATCCATCCACCCATCCATCCACACATCCATCCATCCATTCGTCCAGCCACCCATCCATCCACACATCCATCCATCCATCCATCCATCCATCCATCCATCCATCCATCAACACATGTCAATTCTGTTAATATACTGTGTATCACAATGTTAAAAGAATGGCCAAAATATTACTCAGACTACGAGTCATAAACAAAAAAGAATTTTCTCTCCCAAGGAAGAAACAAACATATGAAAGACCAAAACTTTTTCAGTGAATGAAAGAAACTAGTAGTGTAAATGAAACAAATTGGCATTTATCTGAAAATATTTTGAAACAACAGATAATTTGGGGAGTTATTTGAACTTCTTCCTGCTTCCTATTTACCTATCTTCTATTTTACTCCTATATATATGTATTTACTTCAATATATATAATATATTTAAATATATAATATATGTAATATAATATATATGAACAAGTATATATAGAAATATATACATATATGTGGAAATACGTACTTATATAATAATATATACTTATTTCCATATATAATATGGAAATTTACTCCCATATATACTTACTTCTATATATAATATATAAATAGATATTTCCATATATGTAATATATATAAATAAAATACATATTTTATTCCCATATATACTTACTTCCATATATAAATAAATAAATATACAAATATATACTTATTCCATATATATATAAAATAAATGTATAAAATATATAAATATATATTTAATCCTACATATAAATATATATATCTACATGCAATAGTTAAGCTTGTGTGTCTGATGTATTTCACTTAACACTGCGGAGGAAGGTCACGTTTCCAGATATCACCTCATTTGGGAGCTCCAAAGCTAATACCTGTATCGGATGTTTCCCCAAACACCACTTGTAGTAAGTGGTGTAATATATCTAATAACCTCCCTAAGAATGCTCTACTTGGAATACATTAAACATTGTATATGCAGAAATATGTTGAGGACTGATATTGTAGTAGCGAATGAAATAACTTCTGATTTCCATGATTACCTTACTTAATAATGTACAAGAAAATCATAAAGAAAGAATGCAAACTTTTTTTCTGTAGGTTTCCACCTTTTTTTCTTGACAGTTTTGGTAGTCCTGGAAAGCTCTGTAGTTACACCGAAAGGCCCAGTGTTGTTAAGCTAATCTGCTCTGATGGTTTTAAATGGGGAAATACCCTCCAGAACCAACCTCACCTGGAGCAGAAACCTACAAAAGGCAGAAGAGGTGGGAAGCCTGAGGAGTTTAAAGTGCCTCCATCAGTCCAAAATGCAGCTTCCCTAAACTAAGACACACTGAGGCTCTTTCTGAATGGCTGCGGGTGCTGCCAGGTGACAGACTCCTAGGACAGTGGGGTGGGCCTTGCTTATCACAGCAGGACAGTGGTGACTGAGACCGCAGATTAACTCCAGGAGCCCTGGTGCGTGTGTATAAACTGAGGATTTCAAGATTTATTTCCTTTAAATTATCTGGACATCAAACTTCTTTAAAAGCCTTTTCACACCACAGAGGTGCGCGCATCTCCTCCAGCTCCGAAGCTCCAGCACCAGGCCAAATCTGACAGTGGCTTTAAATGTCCTGACGGAGCCTAGGACTGAAGGGCCCACATTCTCAGTATTCCAGAACCAGCCAGAGCCTCAGGTCACAGCAGCCCAGGCTTCCTTCTGCTTTTGACAGCCAAGTATCAAGCAACCTAAAGAGCTCTGTCTCATTAATGGGCAAACAGGAAACACAGCATAGACCATAAAGAAAAGCCTTCTCCTCAATCTATGCAGTCTAAGAAAAGAAGTCCGTGGGAAGCAGGAGGATTCCTAAAGGCTACAGGCTTACATCCAAGAGAAACTGAACACAGCCTAGAAGTACTGTTTATATTTTTGTGTTAGTCTCAACTTAAAAGTGGATTGGACACTTATTTATATTTTTGTCCCTTTCCAGCCAGCAAGCGGGCACTCTGAAGTGAGACCAAATTAGCCCCACACAAGAGAAAGGAATTACAAATGTTCTCTGCCCCGCAGAGCTGTAATGTGAGTTAAATTTATCACCGGGCTGTGGATGTAAATGCACAGGGATAACTATTTCCCTGATGCTAGTGAGGGAGAAAGAAGGAAAGACCTCCCCAGAGAGACATGAGTTTCCTATCTGTCTGCCTCAATTACGGTGCGGTTTCAAAGGATAATTGTCATGCCTCAATCTCCAAACTGCATTTTCATTTGCAGAGTAAGGAGTAGAATGGGGAGAAATCAGTAAAGATTCTGGAGGGGTAAGGAAGGAGTTATCAGAACAGGCTAAAGCATAGATAGTTGGCAGGGAAAAATACATACGCAGATTCTATCGAGGGAAATGTTGGCGTGTGTGTGCTTTAAGCAGCACAAAAGGAAAAGGAGAAAATGACAAAAAATGACCTGAACCACTATAAGGAAGTTGCATTATGTGGTGGGAAGACCAAGGAAATAGGCATCTACTAAGACTCCATCGTACGACAAAGATTGTGGCAGGAAGGGACTCACACACACACACACACACACACACACTCACACGCACACACACACGCACACTGAAAGTGGTGATGCTAGCTGATCATCACCCACTTCAGTCATACAACCCACGGAGATTTATTGAAAAAATATCTTGAGACATTTTCCCTGCATGCCTACTTCTCTTCTCATTGGAAATGAATGCTTATAATCTTCTGGGTGCTGGAACTCACCAAGTAATTGAACAGGATGTGAGATGTCTGAGCAGGAAAATCACCAATATTTAAGAGGAGTTTTCGCAGCATGTACATTAACTCATCCTGAAAGAAGAGCAGAATTTTTAGCGACTCATTCATTCACCAGGCTGTAGAATATACAATTAATTTCTGAAACACTAGGGAGATCTTTTTTCTATTGCACAACAGTTAATTTCAATTATGTTCAATATTTCAATGTGGTATCATTTTCCCAATACAGTTATACTTACAGTATATATGACATTAAATATTGAAATTGTCTGGAGCACCTCTCTCCTAAGAGAGGTGCAACATACCAAGATAACTAAGCAGTAGTCAGACAATTATTTTCGAAATTATTTTTGAATTATTATTTTCGAAATAATAATAAAAAAGACAAATTTAGCCCTTCTTGCTAGGTCACAGGCAAACCACTGGAAAGCTGCATATTTAGTCTATCTGCCAAGGCCTTCCAGGAGTGATGGCAATGGAACAAAAGTCTCTGCTGAGACACTGTTAAGTGCACCACATTTATCAAACATCATAATTCTGTTTCCTAGATTTTGAGTCAAGGAGCTAAAGTGAAGCCAAGAGAAGATAAATCCGTAAGTCTGTAACTACCCTTAGCTTTCAGACCATAAGCCTAGTTTTTAAGCAAATATAACCATGACATAGGGATGAACTAGTAATTTTTAATCATCAGGGCATTTTTTGTTTTCAAAAAACTGCTTTAATTAGAGACAGTCTTACTCTAGGGTGGTCAGGAGCACCAGCTCCTTGCTTGGTGGAGGATGTGAACACCGATCACAACTTACAAACTACTTATGATGACATCAGAGACACCGACGCTGCATGCAAAGAACTATAAATCCCTTCTTCGTTCCTTTTTAAAAAAAATAGTGTTCATTTTTATAGCTATACTTTAAAGGAAGAGGGATTTACTTGTCTATTGCTGATGGTCAGTTTTTCCAGAAAATGTCGAAGCACTGTTGAAGGATCTTCAATTAGACAATTCCATAAGACCTGCTGGGCCACAGCACTCACTTGGGAAGAGAAAAGAAATTCAGTATTTGTCTTTCAAAGGAGAGAAGTCTATTATTCAATTTATAATTCTTAATTTCTCTCTCTCTCTCTCTCTCTCTTTCTCTCTTGCCTTGAAAAGCTTCTCTGAATTCCTTTTCAATTGAAAGGTAACTGTTTTTTGTTTTTGCTATCTCTAAACATTTGACATGTAAGGCAAAGGAAATCAAAACTAGAAAATGGTTTTTGGTATTAGCATTGCTTTAGGAAAGACTATGTACATACTTAGTTGCTTTTGTTATGGAAACCACCCTAATATTAGCAGAAGTAAGTTTTTATTAAGCTAAATGCATATTCCATAGCTTATTGTACAGGTAAATTCCTAAAGTAATTATTTTGTTTTTGAAAATATATTTTGGTTAAAAAGGCATTATGGGTTACCTATTACTGTTTGCATGGATGCTTACAGTATTTCCTTCAGCAAAATAAAGTAGCTGAGCCAGTATTAATTAGGTTTCCATTTCTAAGAGGAACTCTCATGAATAAATCATCCTAATAAAAGACCAAGTGCTACTTTGGAGAAGGAGGTCAGATGAAATTTGCTAGAAATGCCCAGACTAAATAAGCAGTTGAGCAGAAGGAACAGTAAAGCAGGAGTTTAGAATTGACCATGAATTTATCATTCAACCTATATTTTGAATAAATGACTTGGCTGTGAACCATACAACAAAAACTAGACGCTGTATAATCAAAACTATGAACAAGAAATACATAATATAATCTCTAGCTTTCATAAATACAAATAGGCTTGAATTTTTCTTCTTAAGTTCAAATTGGTTAAAAATGTCTTTACAAAATTTTAAAAATATTCTTAGCTGCAGTAAGGGAGTTAAATACTGGAAACACAGAAACATAGAGAATAAGAAGGGAAAAAGAGAACTATTAATGTATTCTAAGCATAAAAACAGTAACAGTAACAATATGTCCTCTCCTACATACAACATACATTTAAATACTACATAGAAAATATTGTTTCATATTCAGCTTTTACTTTGCAATATGAAAAACACATTTTGCACTAATATTTTAGAATGTGATTTCTAATGTGTACAGAAGGCCATTATGTGATGCTAACAAGATTAATTGCCTGTGGCTTGGCATTAAAATTTTTCTAAATATTTGTTATTTTGTACCATGTCATTTATATAGCCTTCATTATTTTTTTAGGAAATTGCTAGAAAACAATTCTGTGTTTAATCCATACTATAAAACTGTCTTCTGTAACATTTATACCAAATTTCATGTTTCACCAACTATGGGTATTTTCTTTGCCAATTCTGTAACTGAAATATAAGTTTTCATTTTCATTTTAAACAATAATTTTGTGTACAGGTGTTGCTGGTCAGTAGATATGTTTATAGCTTTTGCCCATTTTTCTGTTGAGATTTTTAAAAAAATCATTATTTAGTTTTAACATTAAGAATATTAGCGTTTGGTCTGTTACAAATAAAACAGCTTGTCTCCTAGTTTTTCATTTCATTTTGCAGTTACTCTCTTTAGTGTTTCTGGGAAGTTAATCAAATAGGAAAAATAGCTTTAGTTGTATCAGGTTAATAGCTAAGGTTTTTAGGTGGTCAAAACAACTGATTTCCACACTATCAAGTAAGGGTGTTTTGCTTTGGTCTCATAAACGATGTTTCTGGACACAGTTGCCTATTTTAAATGCAATGTTTTGGTCATAAAAGTAGAGGGAGAAGGAGGTAGAGAAAGTGACAGTGTTTGAACGGTGTACTGCAAATGTATAAGCATAACGTGTGGATTATGCGGTCCAGAACAGCAACAACAATTATCGCAGCCATTATGCGATGGAGAACATGCTGCTCTCCATGCATGAAGCAATCAGTGCTCGGCCTCGCGGAAGCCTCACCTGCGACTCCATCCTCACGCACCTCCCCGTCCTCCATCAGGTGCACGATGGGCAGCACGGCCGCGCAGATGCAGGCTGGGAACACTGCCTGCGGGGGCTGCGGCATGTGGTGGTTGGGCGTGTGCTCGGTGGTGTGCTCCTCGTCTGCAGGGGAACAACATCAGAGCCTCTGCTTAGTGATGCGATTCCAACACAGCCAGGGTGTGCAGCTCTGGCTTTACCTACTCAGTGGTGCAGTCCTTACAACCCACAGAAAACGCTAGAAGTCTCTAAAAGGCAAGTTGCTGTACAAGGCTTCTCTGTGTTAAAACAAAACCAGCCCACTTCCTAACTACTATAGGTCTTACTTCTGAAGAGAAACTTAAGACATTCTGGAGCAGGCGGATCAACTCATAACACAAAAATCACAGAAAATAAAATTCCAAGCAGTAACTGAGACAGTTTTCACAGGTGGAACTGTTACAAGCATGTATGTGAGAGATGGTGACATGGGGCAGGAGAAAGCACCCACACACACGTTTAAGGTACGAATGGCTCGACCCATTCATTTTAATGCTCTCTTCTTCACTGACATGTACATTTGATAATAAATTCACAACTTCAGACCACAGCAGCAGACCCTGAGGAGGAAAAAGGGTGTCTAAACTGCAGAGCTGCTGTTTATATTATTATATATAATATATAATTAAAAGTATTATATAATTAAAGGTATTATATTAAAATATTAATTAAAAGTATTAGAGTTAATAGTATTATGTAATTAAAACTATTCACTTTTCACTAAAAAAAATTCTGAGACATGCAAAGAACCAAGAAAATACAATCATATATAGGAAGAAAAGCAGTCTGTGCAACTGTCCCCAAGGAAGCTTAGATGTGTTTATTACTGGATAGAGATTTTAATCAGCTGTTATGTTTATTTTCTACTTTGACGTTTAAAATATACCTATTATAAAACAGATAGAAGGAAACTGGAAATATTTAATGTTTTAAAATGGCAGGCATTAATCTTACCTTATCCATAATTACAGTTAATGTAAATGAACTAAATATTTTAATAAAAAGTTAGTTGTGATTTAATAAAAAGAATTAGTGTTATGATTAACATGACAAGTATATGTTACATGTAAGGACTATAATTTAGTTTCAAAAATACAAATCAAAGGAAGAAGGATGGGAAAGGACACATAGACCACATAGACCACATAGACAGTAGTCAGAAAAGCCCTGGCTTGCCTATACTACTAAACAAAGTGCACTTTAATAGAAGAACTTCTGGTAGAGGCAAAGGCCATGTAATAATGATAAAAGGGTCAATGTGTCAGGAATACAACAGTTATGCACCTAATAATAGAGCCCTGAAACATATGAAGCAAAAACAGACATAAAGGGAGAAATGAGTAATTCAGTAGTACCCACAGGAGTTCCTAAAGTTTCGTTTTCAGTAATGAATAGAACGAAGCAGAATTTAGCAAGATTAGATGACCTGACTACAGTTATAAACCAAGTAGACCTCAGGCATATCTGGAGAGAAAGTATTTTTCTGCAACATCAACTGTAACATATGAACATGATGATCCTTGAAAATGCTATACTAAGTGAAAGAATTCAGTCACAAAAGGTCACATATTATATTATTCTATTTACGTGAAGTACACAGAATAGGCAGAGCCGTAGAAAAAGGCAGTAAATTTGCTCTGGCCAGGAGATGGGAAATTGTGAAGAATGAATTTTTTGGAGGATAACGAAAAAATAAAATTACAGTGATTCTTCAAGAGGACAAATCTTATGGCATGTGAATTATATCACAATAAAAAGATTATATAAACATAGAAGTCCCTCATACTTTTGTGATTAATTAGCATCACTCATTTATTTCAAAGAGCCCAGAGCTGTGGAGGGAAAGGTTGAGAACCACAGTTCTATTTTCTCTGTTTCTTTATATCTTTTTGTTGACTTTATAAATCGCAGTGAAATTTGTATAATCATGAAGCGATGAGTCTTGGCCAGTCGTCCAGTAATACCAAAGCGTATTTCTCAGATTCTTGGAACTAAAACACCACGTTGGTCAGTCTGGCTCCCACCTCCCAGCACACCTAGAATCAAACTTCACGTCAGGACCGGCATGAGGTTCGGTCTTCGGCTGGCTGTTAAATGATTCTAAGGCATCCTAGGACCATGCATGTATCAGAATTATCCAACAAAAAGTGTAAAATATCAATGCACATTCCCAGAGTCAGAGCTTCCAATTTGGTTTTGGGTATAGCCTCGATAGCTTCCCTTAATTTTAATTTTTATTGCTACCTATGGGCGGTACACAATGATAACGTTCACCATAGGGAGCGGGTACACATACATAGCACACCTTAATTCTTTTCATGTACTCTTCCCCTCCTCTCCTTCCCTGGATATTTTTAAAGAAAAGCTTCCTGTTCGATTGCAATGTTCAGCCAAGGTGAAAAACCATCGATCTCAAGAATAATGTCTTCTGTACCCTCAACAATATTATTGTACAAAATTTAATTAAAATCGGACCGACTATAAAAAGTGACAGTTTGGGGATAGCATCAACAATTTTTAAAAATTTTTTGTATTTTCGTATTTTTTAAACTTTAAGTCATCAAACAAGTTATGGCATTTAATAAAGACTGTGTAATGGCATGCTGATGTGAGCCCTGAGGACCAAAGGACGCATCTGCAGCAGGCTCGCACGCACCTTCGGCGCTGACCGCAGAGCGCACTGACCAGACCGAGCCCCGGCGGAAGGAGTAGTTCCTGTGGGAAGTGCTGGAGGTGCAGGACGGACTCACGGACAGCCGGCGGGACGCCAGGTTGGTGACTTCTTCTACTGGCAAGCAAAATGAAGAGTGTGACCTTTGGCTGTTTTTTCTTTTTTTAAACATAAATTTATTCTCATCACAAGTGTACACTCTACTCCGAACATTAGGCTTATGTAATTTAGAGTGTAGTTAGCAATGGAAAAATCAAAAACCTCCTCCAGAAACAACAAATCCCTCCCAAAACTTTCTGCAAAAATAAAGCAGAGAATCACAGAGTGTAGAATGGCTCCTAAGTCATTCCGTTATGACAACCTGTCTTGAAAACAGTTCATTGATTGACCCCGTTTTCAAGGAAGCCAGATGGGTTGCAATGACTGGCACATGCATTCTGGATTCAGCTCTTTCCCGAATCACAGCCAGCGCCTGGGCCATCAGCAGCCAGGGTCACTCAGTGTGGCTAAGGAATCCGGAAATAGCCAGTCCGAACTTGTGGAAACATCCTGCCTCTTTCACTAATGTTAGGAAATGAGAGCAAGATGGAGGGGACGCATCACCCTGTGTCACCCCCCCAGAGCAGCAGGGTCTGCTTCCCTGCGATGCAGCCCCAGGAAAGCCAAAGAGCACAGGGCACCTTCTTCCTCTGGCTCCGAGCTGGGCGTGCAGGTGGGCTCGTAGCAAGCCTCCTGGGTGATAGGGATGGCCGTGATGAGGCTGGCTTCTCGGCCAAGGCGCTTCTTCTCCTCCTCCTGCTGCAGGTTCTTTAAGATGTGTTCCGCCCTCTGATGGGAACGGGACACAGCCCGGGCTGAAAAGGATTTCTGAGGAGACACAAAGGCAAGTTTATGTAGCTGTGACTCCTGGGAGGTGAGAGGCAGAGAGAGAGAAGAGAGAGAGAGAGAGAGAGAGAGAGAGAGAGAGAGAGAGCTGACAAACTACACAAATGTGGTTATTCATCTTTAGGAAATGCCAGGGCATCTGTGATCTGGTTTTATGGAGATTTGTTTATTTTCCCACCATGTTTCTAGTTTATGTATAACAGCACTCTCTAGTCAGAATTTTTTGAGAATATCTATAACTTCTGGAAACAATTCTGTACAATTCTGTTTCACTCTTAGGATTGGGGAGAAGTATCAATGACTCATCCTTTAAACAGTAAGATCAAATAAAGTTTGGTACAAAACTTTTTGAACTGGTTTTAAATGGCAGGACATTTATTATATAGGGTGAATAAATCAGAACAACAGGTCCACGGAAGAGGGGAGGGCAGAGAGGTATGTCTCATATAAACCAGTCGTATCTGTGATTTATCTCATTTACTACACTGTGAACACAAAGATGAACAGTGGCACACTTAATATTTGTAAAAGCAAAGTTACTGAGTGGAAATCAGGAGGTTTGATAGAGTTACTAACGTTGAATATAAAATTTGATTCTATGTTAATCAGCAGCAAAGGCATAAGGAAAAAATATTAGGGCTCATCCGTTCTTCAGCACCAGACAACAAAACAGGAGAAAAATGCAGTCTGCGACATGGTTATCCTATCCATGTCTCCCTTCCTTAATCAAGGTGCCCACACTGAGACAAATTCTTAGTGGTTTGGGGGATGCAGTCAGTGGTCTCAGAGTGGGAAACTGATCCCTGGAACTCTTCACTCCCACCTGAAGTAATGTCTCTGTAACAGCAATTTCACCTTCTCTGCTGCCCTATAGTCCCAAGGCTCTTGAGACGGAGAGAAGGTATTCGTTACTCTGCTAAAGGGCCGCACTCTTAGAAGCCCACTTTGCAGGCAGTAAGACAAAAGGCTGCTATGATAACACAACAGCAAGGAAGAGCACTTAATAGGCCACTCAGCAATGCGTTTTCAAAACCAGTTTCAAAAACTGGCTGCTGACGTGGGATAAGGTAAGAATTGAAGAATGACAAAGAAAATGTGTTCCAAATATAGTACTGTGGAGCTTAGTTTAAAATCTGTTGTGAAGGTGGGATAGAGTTCATTGACTGAAACAGGAACCTATACTGGAGAAGCATCCCAGATCTCCATGCTCATAGTTCAGAGGCTGGAATTACTGCATATAAAGGAGTAGAAACAGGTGTGCCTTTCTCTTTGGTACAGGGTCACAGATTTGAAGATCCCACGTGTGTAAGAATTAAAACAAAATAAGCAATAGAGTTCAGACAAACAATTCTGCACTGCAGAATAGCAGATGAACTTGGAAAATATAACATTGAGCAAAAATGAGACATGCAAGTTTAAATGCCATGTGGTGTCTCTCATTTGAGTAAGGAAAAGTACAAACACAGGACACAACAAAGGATGGATAGAAAGAGATGAGGGGATGCATGCCTTGCAAAGGGAAGGCATCCAAGGGCGGGGTGGTGAGAGGACCGTGGGAGGGGAAGGTAAAGCACATAGAACAAAGATGTGCCATGTACCGGAAAGAACGCCATGTGCACATTAATAATATCAGGAAGAGTGAAAATGGGGGGGAGGGGGAGGGAGGGCGGAAAGAGGAGAAACCAAAATAAATCCAGGCTGTATTATGTACAGCTTATGATGTACCCCTCAAGGTCACTGTAAGCTGTACGCACTGCAAACCTGTTAATATAGAAAAGCAGTGGCTGAAAAGAAAGTTCTTCAGAGAAAACTGCACACACCCAGAAAAGTTATGCATAATACGTTTTTCAAAGGAGTCTGACTTTAAAATATTTTGCTATTCAAAGTGTCAGTTAAGGAAACAAACATGTATTCATTAAAATAGGAAAGAAGTTTTTGTATAGGGTGAAACATATAAGGTAAAACTGTATCTTCTTGGGTGTGTTATGAGGTGTATTAAAACCTTTAATACTTGTATACCAATGGATGCTCAAGATAAAAATAATGGTAGATATATCTAGAGAGGTGTTCTTTTTCTACTTTTGCTTTATTTCCCACATTTTACATTATTCAAAATTTAGAAAATGCTATTCTATGAGTTATAAGCTATATTTTTGCAAATTGAGTTTCTCAAAAGATGCATAGTTTTGGTTGTTGTTTGCAGGTAGATTATGGTCTAAACTTAGCTGATAAAGAGTTACATCACAAATACCAGTGATGCAAGATCTGAGGTCTTGGTGGTAGTGATACTGATGACCAACAAAAGGAGGAACGCTACAAACCAAGACATCCATTCTCTTCTTTCTTCTGTTTGTAACCTCAGATAGTTTACATATTGTGGAGTAAGGGAATATGCTTATTTTATAATAAGTAGTAGCAAAGGTAGACTTCCCACCCTTTGGCTGGGAAATCAATGCTTAATGTTTCAATAGTTTTGTTTAAAAATTTTTCTATTATTAAGTTTATTAGTACACATATGCAATGTATAATGGTTACATTTTTCACGGAGAGTTAATACTCATACCACATCTTGATTCCCGTTTTCATCCCCTCTCTCTTCCCTCCCTCTCTGGTCCCCCCTCCCCTCGGTCCCCTTCCTCCCTCTTTTTGTATGTTTGCAATGCGTAACATTTACATTCCTTGCACGGAGCTGACATACGTACACGACACATCTTAATTCCTCCTTTCATCCCTTCCCACCCCTCCCTTCTCCCACCTCTGGGCCTTTCCCTCTGAGAACATTCTCCCTCCCCACTTCCTATTATCTATCATTTACTTAGCTCTTTATTTTTACTCTGAGCTTCTCCTATAAGAGAAACCATGTGCGATGTAAGCCTGATTTATTTCACTTAACATTCTGATCTCAAGATACCTTCATTTTTCCCTATAAATGGCTCAAGTTTATCTTTCTTTACGGCACGCTAGCACTCTATGGTGTGTAACCGTCACATTTTCTTATAAGGTGGCTGCTGCTTTGATTATAAAACCAAACTTGGAAGACTCCAACTACACACTATCAGATGTCAGTGCTTTCTATTCCTAGGAGTACATCCCCCTGTGGCCGGTTTTCTGCACTGTTCCTCTGTTGCTACCATAAGAGAGAACCCTTTGTCTCGTACGTGTAGTTTCATCTGGGGTGCACTCACTGCCCGCGTCGGGACAGGTGGGCACCCGCGAGCCTGGTACTCACAGACTGGTCCTCGCTGATGGGGTCCTGGACGCTCCCACTGCACTGTGGAACCCACGGGGGGTCGAACATGGGGACGGATGGCATCCCGAGTACTGGCGAGGGCAGAGTGAAGTTGATGCTGGGCGGCGGGATCTGCCCGTGGACAGCAGAGGAACCCAGTGTGAGGAGGACGCAGTAAAGACTGCAGTGCGTGTAATTACCACACGATCTGCCTCAGGCAGCTTTAAAAGTCTACGCAACTGTACGTGAAATAAACAAGCATCACGACATAGGTTCATTTCTCAGGGTTTCCTGCTATGGGGCACAGGATGACTGTGGGCCTCAGGTTGCACCTCGGTAAGATGAGTGACTTCCACCATCCTAATCACCCCATCTTCCCCAAAACATCTATATGGGTGTATCCAGCAAATCACCTGGAATATATAACCTAGTTGTTTATGTCCTTACCTCTGGAATTGGTGCTAAGCTGTTCAGGCTTACGGAAAATCAGTTTCTTACTTTAACATGCTTTTACATTTCAACGTTTTCAGCAAGAAGAATTTGTCCACGCATGACTTAAGTGGGCATGAATGATTAGAGAGAGACACTAAGCATTGCTGAGGCTACGCACCGGGGCTCTGAGGGTGGGTTTGAGAAACTAATTCCCACATATGGCTCTCACCTTAAAAATCTGCTGCGCGCCCTCCTCCATCCGGGGCCACACCTGGTAGCGGAACCTCCAGAGCGTGTGGAACTTGAGCACAGCGTTCAGCCTCTGCACGGTCTCGGGGTGGTGGAACTCTGACATCAGCATGTCCGACACGGCCTCAGGGACCTTCACAGCGCACAGCAGGAACATGGCAGCTAAAGACAGGCAGTGGCAACAGTGCTTTGTAAGACTCTCCATGGTTTCTGAGGTGAGGGACAAAGGGGACCTGCTCCTGGCTCCTGCAAATGCCCCTGAGCTAGCAGAACCACTTCACCAGCTCTCCCCAAAGCCCGCTTGCCTCAGCCCTTGGAGACCAAACGTCACTCTTAGTTCCCCATATCCGTCAACAGCTAGGGCAAAGGCAACAGCATGGCAGTAACTCATGCTAAGCAAAGCTCACTTTGGCTCACAGTGGGAAGGAAATTTCAGGGTAAAAAAGCAGATAAAAACACAGTAATATGCTTTTTAGGAAATGGCTAGAATTTTCTGACATTAGCTAGGCATTAAAAGCAAAGCCATGTCATAGATTCTGTTAGAAATGTCTATACTTCCGAAAGATAGAAGAAACTGAGAAGCAATAAGAGATTTCCTGTGTCATGATACTTTTTCTTTTTTTGTTGTTTGTTCAATAGGATAAAGGGCAGGTAGGGGCTGGAGATTTAGCTCAGCGGCACAAGCGCCTGCCTTGCAAGCAGGCAGTCATGAGTTGGGCAGGTGCCATGGTAAATTATAAAGCTAATCAACAATGAAACAGAAACACACTCTAAAGCATAGATAGATGAATCGGAGAAATCGTAGCAATCAAAAAACTCATTTTCTTCCCGTAAAAACATGCTCAGGCAGCTGCATTAGAAGAACTGGGGTTGATCAAGAAGCCCAGAATAAAGCCTTTCCAATTAATAAGTGAAAACTTTATAAGGCTTCAAGGCCACATAATGGGGAATCATGATTTTGCCATATTTGACTTTATTCTCCGCCCCCCAAAAAAGTAATAAGAACTAAGGAGTAATAAAACCCAAAATGTGTAAATTTTGTTGTAAAAAAGAGAGGGGAAAAAAAAAGAGCTCTAACGGATATAACAGCAAGTATGTTTAGGGGTGTTAAATAGCTGACTATATTAATGTTTTTGGATCATTGAACACAGCTGTTTGCAGTCTCTCTGTTTGAATGTCCACTTTGTATTCTTTGATACTGTGATTTGAGCAACTATTTCTAAGATGATAATATGTAATCTATTAACAGGTGATTTCTTACTTTTTTTTTTTTTTGTAGTTCTGTATTACGTGTACCCTTACACCGCTTTGTTTTGTGTTTTTCTCTTTTTCCTTTTAAATAAAATTAAAAAAAAAAAAGAACTGGGGTTGAGTCCTGGCTCTAGAGCTTCTCTATTCTGTGATCTCGGGTAAGCTTCATAACATCTCTTAGCTTCCCTTTCTTCACTCATAAACTGTCAATGAAATGACGATCACGACGATGATGCTGACACCTGACTGAGGTTGATGTTACAATAAAACAATATCAGCGAGCACCATGCAATAAGGGAAGGGAAGAGCGCAACACAGCTCTAGGGCCTGATCTGTCCCCGGCAGTGTGGGATGAAGGGATGGGTGTCCACAGAGGCACTCACAGCTCTGGGCTTGATTTTCTGTGCAAATCTGGGTAAGTCTCTCCCTCTGACTCTTCATCTATAAAACGTTTACCAACAAGATAGTGTATGGTCCTATTATAAATGTTGTTATGATCATTAGCTTTTGATAATCCTTTTTTAGTCTACCAGCTGAATACATCACGACCTTTCTTCATCACTTTCCATTAAAATGTACTGGCCCCTGCTTAAACTTTTTAAGACAATGCTCATTCTTTAAAACACTGCAGGGCTTGGCTTTCATCTCTGTATAAAAATACTTTTCTTGTAATATTCGCCAATCAGCAGATGCAACAGTACTTTACAATCCTTGTTTTCCTTTACTACCCTGGTAAGAACCTGTCTGAAGAGTTATTCTCTTTTATCTCTATGGCTTGAGACTATAAGGTTTCTACAGCTCGGATCAGTTTTTCTGGTTTTTTTCCAGCCAGTCTCTTTCTCTGGTCCTCTGAAGGTCGAGCAGGCCAAGCGCTCAGGGTCATCCTTCTGCTCTTAGTTCTCTACTGATTCTGCCTAGAGACCCCACCTGCTCACACAGCCAGCTGCCACATACACCAGTGTGTTCCCAGACTGCACCTCTCTCTTTGGTCTTTCTTACTAGCTTTAGCGTCATAAGTTACCCCACTTATCACCTCAGGCTTTCCAAATGAGCCCAGTGCATTTCCAAACCCATGTAAATATGCCCAAATCATTTGCCCTGTTTTGCCAATTTCCAGCTGTTCTCAAAGTCCAGTGTGCTGTGGGCATTTTCCATGGAAGTTGATCCATGACTGTCCCATTACTTGAGCTCCTGCAGCTGCCTCGGAGAAGCACATGGTAGAGAAGCAAACATCTGAGCTTTCACTGAACAAACACATTTTTTAACAAAGTTATTTGTTGCAGTAGGGTAAAAAACAGCAAAAGGCTAAAATCAACTTACATTTCAATTTACAAGTCCTGGGTAAATAAACTATGGTATTTTCATTCATCTAGCAGGATACTTTGTAGCCATTTAAGAGTCAAGTAAAACTATAAGCTGATGTTAAAAATTGGTCTCCAATAAATAAAAATGCAAAAAGAAAAGGTCCTTATAGTATGTTTCATTTGTGTGGAAACAGAAACTTGCAACATGTACATACTAATACATTGACATATACTGATAGGCATTTAAATTGTGAAATGCATATATTAAAATTCAAATGGAACAAAATGGTTTGAGTCTCTCAAGACCAGTCATTTCCTTCTCCAGGAATTTTTGTTTCTCAGGAATCCTTGTAGGTCTAGGGTACACCATACATATACACATATACATATATGTGTATATACACATATGCATACATATGCAAATTTGCATGGCTATGGAAATGCCCATGTACCTATATACACGAATAAGAATTCCATTATGTATATATGTTAATGAGAGCGGTTTATGATAAATACAAGAATTAACAGAAGAAGAAGTCTATCTTTGTGAGAATGTAGGTCCCTGGGAACATCATTCTGAATGATTTGGTAACACTCTGCTATGGTTGAATATTAATCATCCTTAAAAGGCCTGTGTGCTCAAGGCTTGTCCCCCACAGTGTGCTGCCAGGAGTCTGTGGGTCTTAAGGAAATGAGGCTTAGTGAGAAGAAATGGGGTCAGTGGGCATGTGAGCCCAGAGGGAATAGTGGAACCCTGGTCTCTTTATTTTTCTTCTGCTTCCTGGTCAGCAAGTGGGCAGTCCTGCTACGTCACCACTCCCCACCAAGCCTGTCTGGCACCCCCAGCAAATGCCTAGAAGCAGGGGGTCTGCTCGATCATGAGATCATCAGCCAGAACCTCTAAAATCATGAGCCGAAATTTCCTTCTTCTCCTCATAAGTTGACTGTCTCAGGAACTCTGTCACAGTGATAGAAAGCTAACCAACACATATAACGAGAGGTCTGCTTTTGTGCAAACCACACAATGAAATGGGAAGGAAGCGATCAAAACTGCAGTGCACAACTCTACCTGACATCTAACAACAGCTGTCAACCTGACTTAGGAAAAAAACCCTCTGTCTCCCATTTCGACATTTGGATCAGCATTGGCAGGGGCCGCAGGAGCCAGGCCCCAATGGTCTTTCTTTACCTGCTGCCCCTGCCATATGCTCATCCGCGCTGAGCAGCAGCTCCCAGGCAGCTGGCTGGATGTCCCCGTACATCTCCTCTGTCAGGATTGGTGCTGCCTTAATCAGCAGAGACAAGGGAGCAGGGGATAGGCTCATCACCTGGGGGAAAATGGAAAACATGTCTTCAAATCCTTTACAACACTGATCGCTGCCTTCTTAAAACTTACAAGCAACTTCCCTTCTCTCTACTTTCCTTAGATGACCTTATGCATTATATTTTGTTAGGTAGAATAAATTGGAAGTAAAATTGCTAATTGTATAATTTTTTTTTTATCATAAAGTGCCTTTGCGATCACCCAAGGAATGAAATTCAAAGTAAGTATAAGTCTACAAGAAAAGAAAGATACTAAAAGTCTATCAGGACTTTTTCAAGCCTTCTTTTTTCCTTCCTTTTAGTATATTTCCACTGAAAGCTGCAAGTAGTCTCTAATTTATGAGGCAGTTCCCTTAGAAAATTAGTTTTCTAAGCCAGTATGAACTTGGGTGGCATTTCCATTTGAAACATTATATGTGATAATTATGATCCAATATCCACCCACAAAATCCTATTTAATCCATTATTTCAGATACTTATGGTGATCATTTAGATGGTAAATGTAGGTGCTGGGCAAGTCATTTTAAGTGCTTTCCAGAAACACATGAAAGCTTGCCGACTCCCACCTCAAAAGCGAAAGTTATTACAATTTAGAACTTAGGCTGTAATTGCAATATACAATGTGTCCAGCACTGAATATGTAAGTACTTGAACCATTTTATTTAACCTACCCATAAATTCTTGAAGATAAGTCGGTGCTAGAAGCCCCATTTTATAGATGAGGAGACTAAGATAAAGAGACAGTAAATAAATTGCCCTAATCCCAGTGCAGTGGCTGTGGGATACAAATCCAGACGAATTCCAAATCCACATGAGCTGCTGCCCACACTGGCAGGCAGGCAGCTCCCCTGGACGGGTGGAGGTGGAGAAGTCCTGCCCCGGCCCGCAGCCATCTGTGGAAGCTGCCTACCTAGCAAGAAGGACATGCAGCCTCGCACACCTGGTACAACTCCTGCTCACCAATGAAAGGACTGGGCCAACACCGTGCCAATTTGTATCACCTGTCCCAAACAAACAGGCTACCTGGAGCCTCCTCGTGACAATGCCGTACGAATACCTTAGAACCAGGTGCCAATACCTGAAGCCTGATGTACTTCAGCATCCCAGAGTCCTTCTTCCCTTCCAGGTTGGCGTCTGAAACTCGCTTCTTCAGGGAAGGGGTCCTCAGGCACGACTTGTCTGAGCACTAGAAAGGGAATGAAGCATCCGGTGAAGGCATCGTGTTTTCTCATAAACCAACGGGGCTCTATTTCTCTCCCATTCTCCAAATAACCACCGTCCATGGGAAGAATGATTGAAGGGATTTTCATATTTTCTGAAATTTAGAGAAGCAGTTTATTTTGTGATGAATGTGAACTCAGAGATCACTGGTAACAAACCGTTCATTTACATGTGAGGAAATCCCAAGAGGCGAAGTAACTCAACCAAGTCACAAAGGTGGCTATTCGTAAAATGAGGAAAAGCCAAGAAGCTGGTTTGCATTTCAGGGTTAATTATACGCCATCAGGCAGTTAAAAATACAAAAGTTTAAAAACAGTAAGTCAGACAAAATGCATTCTCTCAAAGGGTCTCTGGGTCCAGGATAAACCCAACTCAACTCCCTCAGGAGGCAGAAACAGTTCTTCCCTCCGACCCCTGGGGAACACGGAGCACCCAGGAGCAGTGTCACCCCTCCCAGCTCCTGTTTATTCATCCTGAGTTCTGAGTCTTCCTAGTTTTGCACTCCAGGATGTTCAAAGAGCGAATCTTTCTCCTTCACAGAAGAAAGCTCATCTGTTTTTTTTTTCAGTGTCATGTCAATGAAACACTTTTTCTTTTATGCCAAGAGAAAGAAAAACTAGACTCAAGAATACCAGACAAAGCATCACAGTGTTATAGATGGAGATATTTTGAAGTAAAAGGCAAATCTAAAAGTACATGAATGTTGCAAGAAATTTTTTCGAAACTCTGGTGAAAAGATTCAAAACAATGAACCTGTTATGTGTGGCTGGTGTGGTACCAATTTTTTCAATAAGTCTAATGGGAGACAAGAACTCTTGCTGTGTTTCCTGAAGAAAAAAAAGTGGAGATGCATAGCTGGGAATACATACCATTTGAGGGCAGAAATAGTGCATCGTACTTTTTTCTTGTGACTTGAAAAGCAGCATACAGAAAAACGGTTCTAAAACCATATATAGCAATAGTTTTTCCTGTTATTGTGGGAGTATATCTGAGGTTCCTCAGAATAAAGATATTTATAATTTAGTATCTCTCTGCTTTTATTCTTTCTACCTATTAAAACAACACATGTATATTACAGAACATTTGGTAAAGACAGGAAGACTGTAAAGAATATAAAAATTCCAGTAATGTCCAATTCAATGATAGTCATTATTTGGCTCCTCTTGGCCTATTATTCTCTGTATGCATATTAGCAAAACTGTGATAGTGCTATGTATATGAAATGCAGTCTTAAATAATTCATTATGATTTTATAAGTATTCTTCAGGTCATTACAATTATTTTAAAATACAATTTTCAAATTTTATAATATATTTTACCCTTTATCCTCTGGCTTAACATTTTGTCTTTTTCAGGGATACTTGTAAACATTTTTTTTAATTAAATTGTAAAAATGAGTAACCAGACAAATACAGGAAAACACTCTGCATAGTGGAAAAAGGATGCACATTTATTTTATCTCTTGATATGCTGGGCAATGAGCTTGTGTTTAATCTGCTTCCTGGTGTAAGTCAAACTTCCCACGTATCAAACATTTAATATGGCAGCATGGTTCCTTAGAAAGCATGGTGTGCTTTGGTAACCCTATAACCATTAGGGTACTTGTTCCAGTGGGAATGCAAGGGAATTGGAAGAGTCTTCACAGCACAGTGATAGGGTAGTAGCTATTTTCAAATCATAGTAAGACTTGGAAGGTAGCTGGGAGAGATGGGTTCACCGTGATGAGGACTTCAGTAGGTGAGTGGAGGAATTAAGTATTTCTACGGGCATGACCTCTAGGTCAGACTAAAAGCTGTGAATAGGTGCTTTGTTCTGTGGTAACAATGTAGTACTCTCATAGAAGGACAGAGAAACAGGATGGAGGACCCTAGTCCTGATGGGATCTATAGTTTCTTAAAGTGAAATAGATTTCACTACCCTGTAAGATGTATATGAATGGGTGAAATTACAAGTTAAGGATAAATCGGCAGAAAAAGAATAAGATAAGGCAATTTATCACTAAAAGAGGCCAAGATTAATTGTTGAGACAGTTCTACTAGAGTTAATGATCCGTGGAAGATTGTACAGAGCCCCAAGATGTGTCAGGAGTACTGGGGGATGCTTACAGTTGTATGTCTCAGCAAAATCCATCTTAGTTAACTCAGTGGCTTCTCATTTGGACCACCATTTATTACATTTGCAATGCAAAATCCTTGGCTGACTGGGTAAGGATTTCTCATCCACTCTAAACGAGGAGGAGTGGCTCCTGTCAAAAGCCTGTCCTAGTGTGTGGAGGGGCTCAGAGTCTCAATCCTTTAGTGATGGCTGCTGAGGACAAGAAGCAAATGCCACCTTGAAATTTTCAGTCCGAGAGTAATAAAGCTCTCTGTCAGAGAGCAGAGATGGGTGAGTCCACTAAGAACCAGGAGGAATCAGACATGACAAACGCTGTCGTCCCGTCCTGAGACGGAAAACGGTTCTGGCTGTCAAGCCCCTAAAGCTCGGAGATGTTTCCCTTTCTATCCTTGGTTTCATAAAATTTTGCTGCATCCTTTGGGAAAAAAAACCTAATTATCTGGACAAGTTTGAATGAGTCTCTACTCTTTGAAGTAAGAAAATATTGACTATTGAAGAGTAATAATTATTCAAAAATTTTTCCTTATTCTTTTAATAAGTTGAGAATATTTATTGAGTTAACCACAAGCCAGGAACTGGGCCAACCTCTGGAAATAGACCGAGCAGGAAACTATCTAAGATGCTGGCCTCTGCGGAGAGTACATCCTGCAGAGACAGATAACAAACGGGAAAACAAATGAAAAGCCAAGGGAGGTCAAAAAGGAGATACAGCCTGTGAGGGATGAATCACTGTAGAAATAATAAGATTTTTAAAAGTTGGCAAAGTTGAAATCATCTTACTTTGCCTTTGAGAAAAGGATTTTACTATGAACATCTTGCTGACAGCGGGCAACATTTCCCAAAAGGTGACCCACAGCCTTCAAACTTTGCAACTATCTGACATAGAATTTATGCATGCTATGTCCAGGGCTCACTCTGGCTTATAAAATCAAGGACCAGGTCTTGGCACTACGATAGTGTTGCCTGCAGTTTTAGGGGGAAAAACACTGTTCCTATAGGAAATTATTCAACCCGTCGCTGTTTGCAATGGCTTCATAATATGTGAGGTGCCCTGTCTTTTTGTGGCTATGTATAATCATTTACCCTTCTCTTCTTTTTGTCTGAAGGGAAAACACTGTTTCGACTCTCTAATAGCAAGTACTAATGTAACATTCACTATATTTAGAACATAATTTTGAACAAAATGCAAAAATACAGACAGAATTCTTTGGTGACAGTAATATATACATAGAGGGTCACAGTTTAAGTACGTTATGAAACCCTCAGGTAGGAAGTACATTAAAATAAACCAAAAGAACGGACAACAAGTTCCTGAATATTGAAGTGTAGATCAGCAGATCCATCAGGGTTCAATGGGTTATGAGATGTACTGGCAGCCATAAATATATTCTGCCATTAAAACTGATTAAAGAAAACACAAGAATGAAATAGCAGTGGCTCAGGGCTGATGCTATTCAGACCACTGCTTTTCCTCGCAACTTACTGCTTTTTGTTTTTATTTTGGCTCTGGAAATGTGGGCACTGTTCATTTATGTGACAGACTCAGAACAGGCTAAGGGAAAACCTCGGGGGTGGGGAGATTTGAGCAGGAAGCTAGCTCAAATCTCACATTTCTTTGGGAAAGAAATGTGTATCACAGAAGACTCAGCAGATCCTTTCAGCTTTGCATGCAAATGGCTAAAGGTTGTGAGGTTAGAAGAGTCTTATCCTGCTTTCCTTTCCTTTGGTAGACATAAGCCACAGCAGGACGGCAGAAGCCTTTTACCACTTTATGCCAGTGTCTTGGCTGAGGCAGGAGCAAGGGCATGGGTGAACCATCCTAGAACGAAATCCCACCTACTCAGTATCAGTGGGCCCCCTGCTGGAGTGTCAGGATGACTAGTGCTCCGAGACAGTATCACTAAGCAAATACATAAGATGTTTGCAGCTGATTAAGTGGCAGAGTACGTAAGGCTCTACTCAGAGGCTCAGAAGTTCAGCCTTCTCCTGGCCCTGGTGGTGTATCTTTATTAGCCTATGCAGCCTCACGATGTGTCACCATCCTCAGGGGTCCAGCCACCATCCTCTGTGCTCCTCTTCTCTCTGGTTGGAGAATCTTTTTTTTTTTGGTCCCGGGGATCGAACTCATGACCTCATGCTTGCTAGTGAGATGCATAAGCTGCTGAGCTAAATCTCCAGCTGGTTGGAAAGTTTTGTAATGAATTAACATCCAGGCTTCCTTCAGGTGAAGACTACCTTATTGGACAGGCTGTCTTTTATTTCCTTTACCAAACTCAAAACCTCACCAATAACCATTCTTACTGGAGCACGCCTCTCGACTGCCCTTATTGCTGTTGTGATTTTGTATCCACTGGGAAAGCTGTTAACACAGGTTTCTCAGGTGAGACCTTATACATTACATACAGGCAGGGACTGTATCTCTTTTGTCCATTATTATCACAGAACAAAGTATGGGCTCAGCCTAGTTCCTTAAAAATGTGTTGAACAGGTGACAAGATAAATAGAAAAATAATATGAGAAAATGAATGACGAATGGGAAAATCACAAGTTACTGTTGTACTTTAGACAAAGGAAGAAAGAAAAATAACATTTATCATCCCCCTGAAATATATCCTGTACTCATCACTAGGGAGATCGGAAATTGTTTTAGGGAGATGATGGGCTTTGAGTTGGATCTGAAAGGATATTTGTGTTTGGTTATATACCAACTGGAGATGAAAGCATAGTTTAAGCAAAAGTATAGCAGTAAGTATTTTGATTGTATACAAAGAATATGAACATTAATTTAGATGTGCGTATTTTTGCAATTACCAACATATATAATTTTCCTTAAAGTTACTGATTTTCTTTGAATGTAGTGTTCTTTGTTTGAAATATTATATAAATACATAGAAATGCATGCACGAAAACCTATATACATATATTTTATGTCATTCATCAGTAGTGCATGCACTTTATTGAAACTTATATCAACGTATTCCCTATTTTCATAATCTCAGAATTTGTATAGTTTTGATATTGAGACGTACCACAGTATAATTTAAAAGCTCTGATTTTGATACTTCTTTTCTAAGTTAAAGTCTAGCTGACTGTGTTATAGATGTGATCTATGGACAATCTCATTTTTCTGAGCATTTGAGGTTTTCACCTGGAAAATGAAGACAAAAACATCTCTTGCACAAAGCTTGTTAAAAATTAAAAAAGCATTTGTCCACCTGGGAATATAGCTCAGAGGTCAAGTGCTTGCCTAGCATGCACAAAGCCTTGAGTTCCATTCCCAACACTGCAAATACAAGCAAGCAAACAAACCAAGAGCATTCTGTCAGTGATACATACATATCGCATGCCCTTATTGCATGTTTAGAAAAAATATTAGAAGACCATATCCCAGAAGCTAGCGTGAGAGACATAACTTATTCTGTAGGATCTCTCATGTTAGCTAACATCTCTGCAATGAATATGCATTGTTTTCATAATAAAAAGTTGTAATTTTGAAAAGTCCCTTTGTGACTGCTGTAGCACAAGACCTGGTTATGTAACCCAGCTGCACTTCTGTTTCCTTCCCTCGTATTCCCTAGCTGTTTGATGGATGCCTCATTGCCTATTCTTAGTCCAAGCCTTCTGGGTGAACTCCTTAGCAGAAACTTCCTTTGCTCCTACTTACTTTTTACAGAATATCTGGCCAAATATTGTGCCAACAGCAGGTGCATAATGAATACTTGTGGAAGTGAATAGGTGTTACCCGAAAATCTCTTTGCAAAAAACTATTTGGGAACAGCAGCTGTGGGGGTAACTCATGGCAGTCATGCATCTCGGTTCTCGTGTCTGCTCAGGGGCAGGTGGGAAGTCAGAGCTTTCATCGCAGGAACCCAGAAGCCCTGGTTACTGTCTGTACCTTCTGCCAGTTCAGCTGCCCAGGGTAGCCATCAGCAAAGCCAGCTGCACCTGTGGTTTACAATGACTCCAAAGTCTCACCCTACAGTTCCGGAGCCCAGAACCCTAAACAGGATCCACAGGGCTCTGCTCCTCCTGCAGGCTCTGGGAGCCACTCCATGTCCCTGTCTTTACCAGTTTCTAGGAGCAGCCACTGTTCTTTGCCTCATGACGTGCACTGCCCTGACCTCTGCTTCTGTCGCCTCATCTCTCTCCACCTGACTCCCTGCTCCATTTATAAAAACCCTTGCAATTTCATTAATCCCCTTCACAGAAATAAGACAAAACCTGGAGAAGAACACCACGTTTGCTCATGAAAATGAAGATGGACGCTTTGTGCTATCCTCTGTGAGCCTCAGAACTGCCCACACCTGGAGCTCAGTCTGCACCGCTACAGCTGCCTGACAATCTTCACTTGCAGAGAACGTGGCCCAGGACAGGTGCCTCCTCCTGGACACATAGCTTGCAGCGGTTCTCTCACCTCTTTCTGTTTCTTGCCCCGCAGAGCCACGCTGCTCAAGCTGCTGCTCTCCCTCAAGGAGTCCACACTGTCTCCGTAGAGCAGCTTGATGGCCCTGACCAGCCGGGCGCAGGAGCGGCTGTGGTGCAGGCAGCAGTGGGGATGACAGTAGTCCACGTGCGTGCAGATGAAGCTCTGCTGATTGCACAGCAGGATCATGACCTGGAAAACACACACCGGAAACTCAACTGGGCAGCTGGGTGCACACCTACGGACACTCACGTGGGACAGGAGGAGGAGAATCAGAATGTTGACTTCCCTGATGGCTTTGAAACCCCCAAGAATTCAGCAATTTCCACAGGAGAAAAAGAGTTATAACTGGAGTTGTCCGGTTGGCCTTTGATCTTCCTCTGTAGGTACTTGGTACAAGGATCTTTTGAAAATGTCAAGAGGTTAACAGACTTTCAAAAACTCCAAACAACTATCTTGGAGTATATGATTTCAAATACTTTCAAATGGAGATTTGCAACCCCGCCCCTCTGCCCACAGTTCTTATATTAGAATAGGAGTCAGACAGAAAGATGCACAGATGATCCTTGCCTTAAACTCCAGCCCACTCTTTGTGGAGCTTGAAATCATTCCTGCATCTCCTGCTCTGCCTGCAAAGCTTGAACTGGAACCGGAACCCCCTGCAGAGCCCCAATTCTATTCCTTACTGACAGACTTTTGGCCCTCTAGTGCTTTGGTCATTTCTGCTCTTGTAATTTAATGCAGCTCAAATCCTCACATATCCTAGAATTCCCCATTACTACTCCAGAGAGGAATTTCATTGATTTAAAAGATACAGTTATTTTAAAATAAATAAAGGACTTTATGCCTGTAACTTCCCTCCTTGTTACACAGGGGACAGAACCCAGGTCTTTGCAAATGTTAGGCAAATGCTCAATCACTGAGGCCTTTCCCACACCTTGGGCCCATAACTTTTAAGTAGCCTCCCTAAAAAGGCAGTATTGCATTTGCAGCTGTCGGATGACTCAAATACGCAGAGTCGGCTTCTGAATGCTTCATTCATGAAACTAGTGTGTCATATTGACACCTACCCTGAGAAGGATTGTGTGGCAAGCTGGGTACAGAATGTGAAACCAGTCTACATGCACAGGGCTAATCGAGTCCACCCAGCAGGGCTACCCTGCATTTCTTTAGGGACAAAGAGACATGCTTATTCTGGGAAAAAAAAGATAAATAACAATAACTCCATACGCCTGTCAAATTCAGGTAACAACATCTCATGCTCTTCAAAGCTTTCAACTATTACATATCAAAATATTCAGTTTTCTCAAGAGTCCCTGTATATCCCTGATATCTTTCTTTATCCTAGCATGAGGCAGACTGCATGTGGGAGCTATGGGAATTCTCTTTGTACTCTCAAATCTGGATAATCCAGAAAAACACTAAGGAAATGAACCAAAAAGGCAAAATGATGATAGCCATGTAACAGCCCAAGGAAATTTAGAGCCTGACTGGATTGAGGTAGTGTGGTTTTTTTGCTGTCTGACAGTGGATAGGATTAGTGCTTTCCAGAGGGAAATGAAATCGTGTGAAACCTCTGTAATTTTGAAACTAATAAATTTCATGTTTCAGAACAGTTTTAGATACACAGAAAAGTAGAGCAGAAGGTGTAGAAACCTCCTGTATACACCAGATGCGCACACAAGTACAATGTCTACTATTAACATCTTGCATCACAGCACACATTCATTATAATCACTGAATTTATACTGACATATCATCCGCTATGGTCCGACCTTCATGTGAGGATACCCTCTTGATGTACATCTTTTGGATTTTCACAGGTATGCAGTGCCATATCTCTACCACTGTGCTTCTAAAGTTTTCATCTACTACATCTAGTGGTCAATCAAATTACTGGGAATCTTAAGGAAAAGGACCAAGAGGAGTAACAGGAGATTCTTCTTTGTCTACCCTCCCTTGCTTACTGTTCCTGCCCCTTTTTGAAGCAGTTCTAGAGGTTTCCATGAGAGCATCTTTACAAGGTATGTTAAAAATATGGCAAATGCTGCTGCCAAGTGCCATCCAAAGAAAATGCGGCCTTCTTAAAAATGACATTGTATTCATCTACTTTATTCATCCATCGCATGGTGACACTGTGTTACTTCGGGCTCTTTCCAAAACCAAAGTGGCTAGGAAAAGTGACCTTTCTGAGTCAATTCAGGACACTGAGGCAGCTCGGCAGTGTGACCACACATAACTGAGAATTGTTCAGAAAGGAACAGTAAAAGGGGGTTCATAGCAATATATCTTTTACAATAATATTTTTTAAAAAAATTAAACAGTCACCGCATTGTTTGATCATATCATATAGTTTTAAATTAGTAAACTAGCAAAGTAATTGATATTAATTCTATAAGTGGCCATGCCAACAATTTAAGGAGAAAGAAAATAAATTAAATTAGAAGAAAGGTATAAAAATAATAACAGAAATTAGCGAAACCAAAAAAATTAAACATTCGCAAAAGGACAAAACTAATGTTCTCTGAAAAGATGAGAGAGAGAGAGAGAGAGAGAGAGAGAGAAAACAAGCTACCAATATCAGTAATGATAAAGACATATCACCATAATGTCTATGGAATTTTAAATGACTTTGAAGGAAACAACTTTCCTTTTTGTAAATAATTTTGTTTCCTTAACAAGACTATTCTTGTTAAGAAAAAAAAAATAGGTCAAAGTATCAATTTATCTGAATTGCTTCCACAAGAAAGAATATTTGATGGGTCTTAACTGTGTGTTACATAAATCAAATTTGTAATGTAAAACTGTCTTTCAAAGAACTTTTAGGCCTAAAAATTTATACTACTGATTTCTTCAAAATTTTAAATAAAAATATTGCCTTTACACAAACCCTCAAAAAGCGTTCATGTGCAGAACATCACACAGAAAATTAAATGGCATTTCTGAAGAGTATCTGAGTCCTAAATAAACATAAGGACATAAATTAATGGAGTAATAGGCATGCTAGGCATTAGAAGGCTTAGAATCATAAATATTTCAATTCTTCAATTTTAACCAACCCCTGTATGCAATGAAAGTTTCTAATGTGGAACTGACATCAATAGAAGTAAATCTAGCCAAGAAGAGGACAGACTATTCTTGAACTGAACAAAGAGAGAGGAAAATGTTCACAGGAGCAAAAGAACAGACAAGTACACGATGCCGGTTATATACATTTTAAAGCCAGGCAGAACTAATCCGTGGGGTCAGGGGTGAGTATGGTTACTGTGAGGAGAGGGGCTTTGGAGCTCTGGTGATGCTCTTCCAGACCGGGGAAGTGATGCTGAGTGTGGAGGCTCAGCGCTGCACTCTGGGTGGGTACCACGCTAGCCCTTACCTAACCCCAGCACAAGCCAGATGGAAATCAGAACGTGCAGTGTCTGCCTCTGTCTGTGACAGGAAGTGGTGTTGGGGTCTTGGCAATTGCACACCTGAGATCACGCTTTCTTACTTTTCTCTTCCTCACCATGCCCAGCTCACATCTTGAGCTTCGGCCTGTGCCCACCATTCCCTTGGGTTCTCTCTTGCCTGTCTCCTCTGGATATTCCTTTGAGATGGGACCTTGTCGTCTTTGACTCTCCTTGTCCTGGTTTGTGACAGGATCTGTTACAGCTTCAAGGCTGACACCATGACCTTGGTCTCACCTTCATGGTAACCTGTATGAAGCTGATCACGATGCCTGGCATGTATCACTCAGCCTATCTCGATCACCAACCTGGCCTGGTCCCTTGACTTACAATGACCCACAACTGAACCATAGCAAGAGATCTCCGGTTTTGGTATAATATTTTGTTCTCCCTTTTGGATCTTCCCCAATGCTGCAAGAAACTGACCTCAGACTCCTACTTACGTGAAGCCACGACATGCTCCTATGGTAATTCTCCTCTGTGCCGGCGTTGCTCATTCCTTCAGGCTCAATGCTAGGCTCGCTCGCACTCCAAGGACTCCCTTCTTCAAAAGAAAACACCGAGAAAAGTTTCAGTGGTCCGTCTCCCTCTCGAGCACGTCAGTTGGTAAAGTGGTCCATGCTTTTGAATCCTAGGGCAGACTACCACGGCCCAATGGGTTACAGGGCATAGGACTTGGTTGGAGAAATAAGGAATAGGAGCTGTTCGCACTGCCACCAGCTGAACTGACAATTTCAAAGACATTGACAATCTCTGCTATGGTAGCTTCTACTCTGAGAGATGGGAGCAGAGAAAAAGGCGCAGCAAAGCAAAGTCCTTGAATTGCTGAGATGTTACAGGTGAATGTGCCCAAGACTGACCAGACCTTACAGGTGTAGCTAAGCAGAGACACTAACTGACCTGCAGTGGCCTCAGAGTTACAGCTCTACCAGGGCTGTGACCGCAGCTAGTGTTTGTCTCTAGCCGCTAGGTTCGCTCTCAGACTAGTGAAAGACAGCAGCTGTCAACTGTGGACAGCCCATCTGGCCTCTGTCTGGGGAAGTATCAGGGAAGCATCTGTAGGGGCTCACTGCTTAGTATGTCACCCACAGAGCTAAAACTTTTTATGAGTTTTAAAAAAATGATAAAGCATTATCTCTTGCTTGACTACTCTGAATCAACTGCTGAGGGCAAACCGATCAATTCAAATAAATAATTGCAAGAATTTCCCCTAAATGAACTAGTATAGTAATAATGTTACAGCTTCAGCCCTGTAATAATAGAAGTTGCAGTGATTTTTTTCTATTGTCTCCTTTAAAAAAAAGATGGATCTTAAGTAATGCATAAATTAGCTATTTTCAAAGGCGAGGGTGGGTGGATGTAGAAACACTTCCTATTTTAAATCTTCTTTGATTAGAATATATTCAGCTTCTGTTTAACCAGATTTGTCAATCATTTATCCGCGTTTTATTGCGGACTTGCATCTAGAGACTAAATGCCAGAGGATAAGTTGTGTCTTCATCTTAATCTTTTCCTTGCCTCTTAAGATGCTAAGTAGGGCCCACATTTTTGACTAACACATTTTAGGATCTAGAGTCCCTTTAGGTCCTACAGAGATTCCTGTTTTGGTTGCATGTATAGCTCATTCTCACGTATTTAGCATGGTCTACAGTTATCTCTGAATTTATCTTTAGAGCTTCCCTGCAAGTTAGCAAGGAATAAATAGAATTATTCATATTTGGAGAACACACATTCTTGAGAAATTAAAGGACTTGCTTAATCCTCTATTTTCAGCCCTAGAGAATCTTTCCTCACTGATAACTGGATTTTTAAAAAGTCTTTTTAAGTAGAGACCTTAAAATAGAGAGGGCCGTTAGACATCTGTCCCTATGAAAATTTCACCTGACTTTGAAGGCTCTGATGGGAAGCACGGCTACACAAACACTTCCATTTCTAAAACTGACCTTGTCATCAAAAACAAGTTCTCTCTCTCACTTTGCTCTCTATCTTTGCTGCTCAAAGGGCAGCTCTTGAAGCACCAGCGGCAGCAGCAGCAGCTTCCCCAGGAAGCTTGTGAAAATGTAGCCTTTCTCTCCCACACTGATCCACAGAGCCAGAATGTGCACTTCTAACAAGAGCTCTGAACAGTATGCGTGTGGGCATGCATTCATGTGTGCGTGCGTGCATGTGTGTGTGTGTGTTTGTGTTTGTGTGTTTGTGTGTGTGTGAAGCAGCCTGCTGAGGGCAGGGGGTTTTCAGGCAGAATGAACCGTGCTCCTCTGGCTCTGCTCCGTCTGTGTATAAGTAAGGAAAAGGGCTTCAGCCGTCTCCGGATCTCGGTCCCGGCTTCCTACCCCCCACGTCCCTGCACACCCCGCTCCTCTGTGTTACCTAGATCAGTGACAGTGTCCCTGCTCTGGGACAGCTGCAGCTCCTCAGCCTCAGACTCTGAGTCCTGCCGTGATAGCTTGCTGCTCTTTAAGCTGCCGACCCGGCGGATGCTGGACAAGGAACCCCCCTTCTTCACCTGGAAACTGCGGGTTCCTTTAATCTGGAGCAGGCGAGTACCTCCTATCCTGATCTTCCTGCTGGGAACTGTATTAAAAGAATAAAATAGGGCTTTTCCCCCCTTAGGTTTCCCCAGCCAGTGTTATTTCCAAGCTCTCCCCAGCCTGGCCCTGATTCTCCTCCTCTCTGTCATCCTGGAAGAGCAGGCTTTCTGCCCAGGGGGCGCCCCACCGTGGCCCCATCACCAGGCTGGGGCAGGCAGGCGGAAGACTGGGACCACCCGGAAGGGCTGGTGCAGCATCTTTCTTGGACACAGTGCTCACTGGGGCTGGGAACAACCTGCCTTCTTTCTTTCTGGCCCAGGGTTCACAAGCATGAGCGTGCCTCGCAGCAGCACCAGCAGCTAGAACTGTTAGTATAAGTAGATCACGTGATATGGATTCCCAAGCACCACAAACCATTGGTCTTTAGTTTTCTTTGCAAATGGCATTTGCAGGATTCTGTGAGCTGTTCTGGAAAGCTTTTCCTTTTGTGATACTTAATTAGCAAATAAAAAAGGGGAAGGGCTTCTCTGGCCAGCAGTCAGCAGTGCTCCACCCCTCAGCCAAGGGCCTAAGGGATCTGTTTTCAGTGGGGTGCTTGGGGAGAGCATGCATGCGCAGCGGTTCCTTCTCAGGGCACTTAGTGACTGCATAGATAGCATCCTTGGCTCAGTGAAAAGGCTGAGACGTCGGTCCAAGTGTCGCGACATCCTGAGCCCACCTCACAGTGTATGTGTCCCAAGAATGTCATGCATGAGTCACCTTTGTCATCTGGAAGAAAGTCATCATTGGGGGAATGAAAGGGGAAAAGAAATATGTTTAAAGTTCAAATTTATTTTTTAAAATTAGAAGTATTCTTATTTTCCATATATATTTATATATTTTTTTCTCTTTTACTTTTTTTTGAAGATTTGATGCTGTTGATACTGACTTTATAGCAGCAGGATGAAGAAAGTGTTAAAGGCTTAAAATCCACTATTAGGACAGTGTCAGTTTTATAAGTTTTCTCTTTAAAAATGTAAGCAGGATTTTTTCCTAATTATTTAAGGTACAGCTGCTGATAATTTTTTGAAGTCCCAATCCGGAAGTTTGCATTAGGAGAGTTAATATGTGGCTATAATAAAATTTGCATAACTCTTTATTCATTAAAAATATAATTTCCATGTCATATCAATGTCATATAAAGAATTTCTGAATAATTCCCAGTATGAATGTTGAATCTCTAGTTTACTCCTGTGATTGAGAAACACTAAAATTATCACCTCAGTTGATAAAGGCCTCACAGAATCCCCTGAATAAATTTGGATAGAATTTCACATCTGGAAGAAATTTTTTGCAGCAGAGTTAGATTAAAATCTACAAAAACTACAGACTATAACACTGCACATTAACTGTAGTTAATTATAATTAGAGCACAAAACTCATCCAATTGTATTTCTCAATATTATTTTCAGGTATAACTGAGACTGTGACTCATCTGAAATAGGTTTGAAATGGAATACAACTGTCATCTTTAATGGTTACTAAAGTAATTTCATGTCAAAGTAGTTTGAGAAATAGGGAAAGAGACTGAAGTCATCATTCTTAGACTTTTGCAGAGGTGCCTACTAACATTCTTTGCTTGAGCTTTTGACATTTTCTACCCTCCAGATGCAGCAAAGTAATCCCAAGTTAATGTGATCTGGAAAAGATTTAATGCTGAGAATTTGTTCTGGCAGCAAAGATAAATGGAGATACTTGGTAGGTCGAAAAATTCGGGTTCCTAATTGTGACCCTGGTCATTTACAAGGGACCCAGCGGTTAGAATGCAGAGCTGGCTTTGTAGATGAAAAGAGAGAACCGAAACTGCACAACACTGAATCAGCCTTCATCTCCATGGCAACGTGAGAGCTTATGAAAGCGAGATAAATTTATCTAAATCGGGTAACACAGCTCTTTCTTCCTATTCTCTTACCCCATGCAGCATCCGTTAGCAAGTCCCACTGCCTCTGTGCTTTAGCAGATCGCGGGAGTTCAAAGCCCCTGTCACCTCCTCCCTGGACTAAAGCAACTGTCTGCAGCTGCTGCTCCTTTCCCCTAGGCCACGGATCCAGGCGTATTTAAATCCATAAATCACAACCCACACCTCATCCCACTCTAGCGCTCTAGCCTTCAGCAACTCTGACACACTGAGAGCGGAATTAAACTGATGACCGTATCTGCCAGACCCTGCCGACGCCTCGCCTCGCTTCCTGGCCCAGCTCCTATCTCTCTTTTCCCTTCTAGGGCCACCAGGCTGGGCTTTTGCCCTTCTTCAAAGGCTTCGAGTTCATTCTCGCTGCAGAATCCTTGTTCCTCTGCTCTGTGCAGCGCTGGCTCCTTTGTAGAAGGGAGTATCCAGGCTGACGTCAGTTATGATCATCTTTTCTGACCACATCCCCTCCTGATCCTGGTTGTTTTTTCATATTACTTACTGCCACTGGAAAGTCTGGTATTTTGCAATAGTCACTGTCCTGGGAATATGCGCAAATATCAGTTTAACTATTCATATAGGTAGGAATAGATGCGGGAAATTTTTCTTGCTCATTGCTGTCTTCTGAGAATGGGTAACAGTTGCGGTGCATGCTGGGTACTCAGGAGATGGATGGTGAACAATGAAGCTAGTCTTGGTGCTTGTATTTTGGGATGCTGGTTTTAGTTTGTCTTTGGAACTTGGGTGAACTGATTCAATGAACTCTGCTTGAAGGTTTTATTTTGAGTGCTAAGGATTAAATCACATTAGTTTTTCTTGGGAGAATTTAAGTCGTACTAAGAATGTTTTATTTTGCAAGTTGACATTTTTAACTCTTATAAAAACAGATGGTATGAAAACGTTTAAAAAGTTTTAATAGCTGTAGTTAGTGGGGTTCCTATTACCACCATTTTTGTATTGGCTTTGCAGCTGATTTCCGCTTATCAAAGTGGACATTTTGGAATCTTTGGGAAGATTTTTGCAAACTGATTAAGGACATTTTATGGATCTGTTCTCGTTTCATTTGTAGTTTCAGTTTTGTGTTTTTCACTTATTAAATCACTTTTATATATCAACATAGCCCTTTGGTGAGGAGAAAAAGTGCTAAGCATAGGGAAATTCCAACATTAAAGCGAGGCTGCGTAAATCACAATTATGAAATTAAAATTTCTTAAAATTTAATTGCACATTTTAAATTTTACAAATGATGTGGAACTTACTTTGCTCAAGTTTAATCATGTAGGTATTTGGAATTCTCATTTAACTACTTTAATAATTAATAACTTTGGGCAAAAATTGCCTTCTAAATCAAACTATCTTTGAGCTATGTTTAAAAGATAGAAATAGTTAATGAAAAATTGCTGACTTGATACTTGTCATACTCAGAAATTCCTCCAGAATTTACTTATCCTTCCAACAACCTGGCTTCTTTTCCCTCTAACTTCAGTGGAATGTGATATAATGATTAATTGCATTTTGAAAATGTCGTGACAATATTCTTGTCCTCACAGAATGAAACTTTCCTCGCTGTGTATCTATCCCTTACAAGATTTTATGTAGTCTGTGTTTTCTCTGAGAAGAGCTGTTAGTTCTTTAAACATTAACTGTCGTTGTCTACAGGATACTAGAAGATATTTCAATATACAAACTCAGCTTTGACAAATATGAAAATGTTATTCTAATTGAAATTCTTCATAGAAGCACTGCAATGCAATGAAATTTAGAAAACAGCAAAATCAGATAGTGAAACTCAAGCTTAGAGAAGCTTTTATAAATTTAAATATTGCAATCATCATAGGATTGTGTGGGTTATCTAATATATATGTTCATGAGGTATAAAAATATGAATGAAAACAATTATCATGTGCCTACTATTTGCTAGTTACTGTTTATACTTTTCTTGCATTGTCTTACTTAAAGCTTTTAGCATCACAGTGCAGAAGGTGTTAATAACCCAATTTTATTTATTTACATCCCTGGTCTGTTTCACTTTTTATTGTGAGAGAGGGTCTTGCTAAGTCTCTAAGTTGCCCAGGCTGGGCTCGAATTTACAATCTTCCTGCTTAGGCCTCCATGGGCACTGGGGTCACACGCAGGCACCCTTGCTGTATTGTAACATATTTGAACTGGGGATTTGTCCTACACCGGACATAAGGTCACTAGTGTCAGGCAGCAGGTGTGGTACACTAGGCACTGCTTATGTCTATGTGAACATGCAATGCATTAGCAGCAAAACCAGCAGAATGACTGCCAGCGTCTTTCAGCTCTAGGGAATGAAGGAGTGGAGAGGGTTGGCAGGGTGAGTGAGAAGGGAGGTCTGATGTGCCCAGTGACACAGTGAGAAGCAGACCAGCGCACACCCCTGAGAACTGGCTTAAGTAAACAGCACACAGGCCTTTACTTCGCCTATGCCTCCATTTCAGAATATCACTAACATTCCTATACCACATTATCCTACAGGAAAACATGAACAGTGACAATTCTGCGTTCAAAGCAATGAGTGAATTTGAACTCTGAATTGAAGGTAGTTTAGAAAAGCTTAACCTGTGTATTTCAGATATACTTTACCCTATTGACTGCACAAGAATGATTAATAATAATTTTCGTAGAATTAAATCTGGAAATCCTTTCTCAGTAAGAATAAGATGCAATCAAAGTGATAAATTGTTGCACAGAAAGTGAAGTGACAGTGTTTTTCCATTCTTGCCGACAAAAAATAATGGCTCATTTTTAAAGCTGATACCATCTCAGGCTCAATGGGAGAGTTGCTGAGCTGGAACAAAGTCCCAGGTTTCTAACTAGTACAATGTCCCCCCTCAGAGATGCTACAGAGTCACTGCTGTAGGGAACCAACAATTTGGGTTTTTTGTTTGTTTTTGTTTTGGTACCAGGAATCAAACTCACAACCTTGCACTTGCCAGGCAGGTACTGTGCCATTAAGCTAACCCCCAGCCCCTGGAACCAACAATTTGGACACGTGATATTGTAGTTTAGGCCCCGTAGACCAAATATCCTAGGAGAAACCTTGAAATAATCCTTGTGGTCGCATACCTTTCTTCTCCTCCGCACCCGCATCTGATTTGAGGGTGTGGCTGCTGCTATGGAGGGAATCTTTGGAGTCTTCATTCTCATCTAGGACCCCGGCAAAGCTGATCTTCCTTTCATATCTGTGTCGGTCGAGCTCAGGATCCAGCCGGAGTCTGCAGCTCTCCAAGTCCTGAAAGGCCAGTGAGGAGCCTCTGAACCCTGCCATCGCTCAGATTGTGTGGGTCACACACGACCACACTGACACAGCCAAATGCCTTTATCTGTCACCAACTTGAGACCGTGGCAATGAGAAGCTATTCTTGAATTAGAAAGTAAATAAAAGTCTTCCCCAACTCTTAGTTTTTCTTTGCTACTTTGATGCTTTGTGTTTCAAAAGCACAGACCTTGTCTAAATCTAGAACTAGCTCCATGTCTACAGCTGAGCTTGTATCTTTGGTATTTATCTGTTTAGTAAAACAATCAGGCACTGGGTACAGATGTGTCAGCTATAGTGGGATAAACAAGGAATGATACTTTTCCTAAATCCCAAAGTGCGAGTTAAGAAATCATCAATGGAAAATTCCAAGACTAAGATACAGAGTTTGCAAATCAGATTCGATCCAACTGTGCGCCGTTATAAATAACTGATTCTAGGGCTGTCTGCTAAATCAAAACTAATAAATGGGATCGTGTTCAGGTTTAATCTTGACAAGTAATATTAGTTGGTAAATAATATGGAAAGACAGTTCAGGGTGAAGAAACCTCACGCGTGAAGGTCAGGGGCTCAGAACAGGACCATATGGTAGAATTTCTTACTCTCCACTTGGAAGACCTAGAGATGCTACCCCCATCTGCTGACAAGAGACGACACCTTACTCCAGGCTTTGGGTAGGTAATTACTGAGCAGCAATCTGGCCTCCGACGCCAAAGTTGAAAATTTGACCTGCTCTTCAGGACTACTGATTTTTTCATTCAAAAGACTTGTGTTTAATTATTGATCTACAAAGCTTTTACAGGATTTGCAAAATTTAAAAAGTCATCAAAATGCTAGCCATTTTATACTGTTTTCTAATTATGTTAGACCTCTGAATTAAATACACATGGAAAATATTTTTTAAAATTCAGTTTGCACCAAAACGAAAATCTTAGATTTTTCAGTGCCATATATAAAATTAGATTTCATCCTTTACATGTTATTTCTTCTTTCCTTTTGGATTCAGACCATAAATTGTACTCAGGTCCTCAGAAAACTACATTGTGTCCTCAAAAATAAAGGAGATATATTTATTTAACATTTCCAAAAACACTTCTAAGAAGGAAATTCTCTCTAAAGAAAAATATCTACTTTCCATTATAATATAATATAATAATTAGGGAAATTTCTCACTTGGACAAAAAGTAAAACTGTATCAGTTCTGATTTTTAGGAGCAGTTAGCTTTTCTAATTTCCTTTATCTGCATGTTGAAGCCCTGCCTAATATTTCAAAGTAATATTTAAACATGATCTCTTTTTCTAATCTTTCCAACCCTCCTTTGGCCAGGGGTGGCTCTCTATTACTTTCTTGGGCCACCTTCACAGTTTGCTTCTGGAAATAGTTATTGGGTGCTCATTTTCCTGTTGCAATAAATTCTTTACATTCTCCTCACTGTACCTGGCAACCTTCACACACCGTGTTCACGGTCTACTCCCAGCAAATATTTAATGTAAAGATAAATGTTTGGCCTTCATATATATGAAGAGTATTTTGTTTAGATTTTTTTTAACTTTAAGACATTTGAAACCCAGAAGTATATATTTATAACTTGATTTGTTAAATCCCAAATAGCACAGTTGGTACAGCTTCTAGCAAGATCTTGCATTGAGGCATCCACGGTGCTGCTTGCTCTAATGAATGAATGTGAATCCAGAGGAAGCACTTTGCTGCCTTTAAAACAAAAACTACTTTGGGCTCATTTATACATTTGCTGACAATTACTTATTTTAATATCTTCATTATTGCTTTCTGTGTTTCTTGGTCATCAGCTGTTGATTTTACTAACTCAGGCAACATTTTAATAGACTATTACCTTTGTAAAACAACATTATCTATTTTAAAAAATATTTCCTTATTCTTCTCAAGTCTAGAAGACAACTTTTAAAGAAAAATTTCATTATCATACTCTCATGTTACAAATCTTGTAAAAATTCTTTTCCCTTTTTTTGATACAGTTTTGTATAGTTTATTTTTAGACATGTAAAAATGCTACCAAAAAACACACTAAGTTATATTTAGAGATATACTTGAAAAAAATTGTTAGTAAAAATATCTTTTTAATAATGTTTTTATGACACAACTTTGTCCTTTTTTTTTCCTACCTCAGTTCCTCACTTATCTAGTGGATTTCTGTGTTGCCCTGACTTTCTAAGACGTAACTATGGTAAAACAAATAACTTTTTGCTTTAATGATTGTACTTAAAGTTCTGCTTTCTCTTTTTTTTTTTTTTTTTTTTTGTCTTTTTCGTTTTTATCGGTACCTGGGGATCGAACTCACGACTGCCTGCTTGCAAGGCAGGCGCTTATATCGCTGAGCTAAATCCCCAGCCCCAAGTTCTGCTTTCTCAACTGAATTTTGAATATAACTAGGTTTTTTTTTTCCCCATTAAGGACTTCACCTGGAAATCTCCCATTTTGGAAATGGCCTTATGACATTCTATTGGAAAGATTATTTCTTGGTAGAGAGTTTGTGTCCTGCCAGGTGTGGTGGTGCATGCCTGTAATCTCAGCACTCAGAAGGCTGAGTTAGGAGGATTACTGTGAGTTCAAAACCAGCCTGCGCTACAAAATGAGCTCAAGGCCGGCCTGAATTGCTTAGAGAGACCTTGTCTCAGAAAGACAAAAAACTTTTGAACAACAACAAAAACCCCAGAAAGTTTGTGTCCTGATTCTCATCCCAAAATTTCAGATCCTAGAATATTTCTAGCTTTTCTAATGGATTGTTATAGCATCTTATATTATTCTGTACATTAAGGTAGGTTTTTTTTTTTTATTATACTAAAATGTTACTGGAGTAATAAAACACTTCAAAGATGTATAAGTGACATTGAAGTAAGCGTTTCTTTTTTTTTAAATGAGACTACTTGTTTTGGCTATATTTATGCTTTATCAGTAGACTCACAGTTTAGGATTTGTCAAAAATATATTCAGTTCTTAGAAAAAGTGTTTTGCAGGGGCTGTGAGGAGGGCAAAGCATGACTAAATAACAGTCATGAAATTTCAGCAGTCAAGCAAGATAAATATGTGCTTGGGAGCTCTGCGGTGAACACTGTATTTACAGTCAACAATTATGTACTATTCACTTAAAATTTGTTCAGAGGATTCATTTTGTGTCATGTGTTCTTACCATAATTAAAAATATATTTAAGCATTTCTGTGTTAATAAAGAAGTTCTATGATACAGTAAATTATAATGTTGCTTTACTGTATTACCAACAATAGTTAACTTAAAATAAAAAAACCTAGTTTTGCCTTTATTGTATAAAGGCCACATGCCAGCACAATATGTAAATATACACTTAACAGTGAGAGTATTAGTTTAAAGAATAAAAGATTTATTGGACCTAGTTAAAGGTAACGGAGAAGTAAAACTTTTTCTCTCATTGACTAGATGATTACAAGTCTTGTTTTCCTATAACTTTGGCATTTCCTATAATCTATCATTTGGCTATACAATTATTTAAAAAAATAAAATCTGACACAATATAAAGGATATTTAATTTTGGGGGGTTTTTTTGGTGAGAGGTGGCTGGGGATAGAACTTAGGACCTTGTGCATGCCAGGCAGGTGTTGGGTCACTGAGCTACATCCCTAGCCCAACATTATAGCTTTAGGGAGTTAAAAGGGAAAACAAGGGACTGGGAATTTAGCACAGCGGCATAAGCGCCTGCCTTGCAAGCAGGCAGTTGTGAGTTCAATCCCCGGTACAGATAAAAAGGAAAAAGACAAGAAAAAAAAAAAAAAAAGGGAAGACAAAAATAACTGTAACTTTCTTATTAAACATAGATCAAAATAGTGAATGGTAAAAATCTGAAAATTTCAAAGGTGGTGTACACTGTGTTTGAATGGAATCTTCAGTATAATTAAAAAACATTTACAAGAAATATACTGACAGATACCCACAGGTAAGATGATACATTGTATTTACTTTTAGTACATACTTGAGGAGCCCTTGTTTGACTTTCCATAGTAGTCTCAATGCAATAGTGGAAATGGAAATTTAGAAAATCAAAGGCTGTAGTTAAAATGAAGTTACCTGAAGGGTAGAAACAATACCCTCTCCCAATACCCAAATCATACAGTGTCATAGCTCAAACGTGGGTATGCACTTGGAAATGTGCATTTTGCCCAGAGATTCTTCTGACTTGAAGATACCCGTTTTATGTTTTTTTGGGGGGATGGGGTGGGGTGGGCTTTCTAGATCATTGGAAGACTTAAGGTAGAGATACCACCCTGGGGTCACAAAGCACTGATTCTTTTTTTTTTTTTTTTTTTTTGTCTTTTTCCTTTTTATCGGTGCCAGGGATCGAACTCACGACTGCCTGCCTACAAGGCAGGCGCTTATGCCACTGAGCTAAATCCCCAGCCCCAAAGCACTGATTCTTGATCTACCTCTGAGCCCAACTCAGGACTAGGATACTGCCTTGCTCATGCCAAATTTGGTCTAAAAGGCATGAGAGACGGCGGATACTAAAATTTGCTTGAGAGGAAGCACAGATTGCTAGCATTCATAGTTTTTCTGGGTGAGTAATACAGTCCTTGTGTAAAAGGGGGCAAAGGGAAAGACTGCCTGGCTTGCCCACTGGATGTCACCTGTGATGCAGGAGTGGCCCATTAGTGAATGAGGAGACAAGAAGGGTCAGCTCTGAGGTGGGCCTGGGACCACAGATGCTGTGAAGACTCCTGGGTCTTATGCATTGGGTGTGTGCACAGCTACACACATTAGGTTCTGATGGCCCGTGGTGCAGAAATGCATGTTTGTATATGGTTGTGTGTCTCTGCATGGGGTCATGTTTTCTGCTCATCTGCAATCTCTAACAACAAACACGACACACATAACAGTATGCACTGTTAGACACTGGACACTGAAGTCTTTCCACCTGTAACATCTGAGAAAACTCACTGGAGCACATTTCTGTATTAATTTATGCACAGTGAGCACAAAAATATCTGCCTGTCATTTCTGGGAAATGTTTGGCCATCAGACCCCTCACGGTTGGCAGCATAAGGGACTTTACAAGCCTTCAGGTGTCCTCAGTGTAACTAGTGGTGATCAAACATTGCAGCTGGAGGTGCATTTGAAGTCAATCTTGGAGATATTTTATAGTGCAAAGAGCATTTCTTTGTACATCTAAAAGCACCTGGGTTGAGCTTTTGAGCTACAGGATACACTGGGCCACTGCGTGTTTAAGGAAGTGGGGTACACTGGAAAACTAGGTACAGGCTCTCCTGAGCAACCTGAACATTACCGTGTGTGGAAAACTCACCACAAGAGGCTCAGTGCGGGGTCGGGGCAGGCACGAAAAGGTCTCTCTGAGGAAGGTGGTGATCTCCAGGAGCAGCTGGCACGCTGCCATCTTCAGGGCAAAGGGGCAGCCACATTTAGAGGGGTTCACAGTACCTAAGGAGTGAAAGAGTCTTTCATAAGAGGGATCAAGGGCAAACAGAGAGAAGCACGGTTTGATGGATCGAGCGACACACATGCAAAATCTATTGCATTTGAGAACATTTCCAAAGCGAGCTCAGTTCAGCTACTCCTTTTAGCATAATCTATGCTATTCACCTCTATGTTTCCTCCACTTTGTATTTCAGTGGTTTAACATTAAAATATCAGATAATCAGGACTAATTTTTTTTTTTTATTATCAGTACTGGGGATCGAACTCATGATTGCCTGCTTGCAAGGCAGGTGCTTATGCCGCTAAGCTAAATCCCCAGCCCCTTATTAGGACTAATTTATTTTCCTTCTAGCATCATAAAGTAACAAAATATAGCTCCAACTAAGTTAGGAAACCTTTTTTAATGACAACAGAAAAAAAAGCAGTTTTGCGTTCAATTGGACATAGACTAGGTATATGGCAATGAACTAGACTTGAAACAACTAAAATCTTTTCCTCAATGTTATGACAGATGCTTAGCTTGATGTTTTAAGGGCAGTGACATTGCTTTAGCTCTAGTCTAGTCTAGTGCAACACCAGCAAGAGAATACGTTCTTACCTGGTCAACTACATCACAGTTTACAGTTTACAGTTTACAAAGCTAGCCTGTCACAGGAAAATGCAGTTGCTTATGGATTATGGAAATGTTCTTTTTAGGTCCAAAGAACACCGGTCTTTAATTAGTAAGAGGCTGTATCCACCAAAAGCCAACTAATGAGTTTTGTACTAAAAAATAAACAATGTCCAAAGTGACAGTATGGAGGTATCAAAAATTCCCAGAATTATTTCTCGAATATGTGTCATAAATATGTCATAACAAGTCATGCAGATACTTAGTATACAGCAAAGAAGACCAAAGCCATCTATTGTTTTGCCTTTCAAAAAAGAAAACGGTTATTTTGAATGAATCAAGTCACTGAGTAATCACAATATTGTTAGAGGGTCAATATTACAAAAACATTCCTAAAATGTGTCCTAGCTTGTAAGCTTTCTTAACTGAATAGAATACATACTTCACGAGGTCTGTTGACACAAGGAAGAAATTATGGACTTCTGAAAATACCTGAATTATTGTTTCCTCCATTACAATATTTTGTCTCCAAAGTTAATAAGTGGCTGGAAACCCTGCCTCTCATTAGGAAAGGATAAAACAGGCTATACTAGAATTTCCAAACTTAAATGTGCTTGTGCTGTATTTAGCTTTTAAATATAAGGGTAAATTATGTGTTACTTGACACTTAAATATACTTGTCAGTTTTACATTCAGCAGGTGATATATAGTTCCACATTCCCTAGGTGCAACAATGTTTGAAAATAATTATATATTCTGTATAAATTCCTGCATACGTCCTTTTACTCCTACGGTTATGTCACCCAGACTCTAATTACTCTTTTAGCCAATGAACTTGGTCTTAGTTTGGACTCTGTCATGATTATTTCTGAAATGTTCTCTTACAGTGAACCAGGATGGAGGCTGTCAGGACCTCGGCAATGAGCTGATCCTCCAGGTTTAACACAGTACTTCTGTGGCCTAGGGGAACATGGAGTTTACTTTGGCCTAGGAAGATGAATCTATTTAATGTTGCTTCAGCTCCCCTCTATATTGAAGGGCCCTGAAAGATCCAGCACAGCTTGGTGAAGCCTTCTGGCTAGATGGGTTTTATGTCAGCCAGCCCTTCACTAGTTTTGGTGATTGTTGGATGGGTCACAAGTCTAGAAAGCTATAGATTAAATCCAATTCTCAGTCATTTTAAGACAGTGTTGATTATGTTTGGGATTGACTTTCATTATTAGGCCAAAACAGTTATGTGACAATTTGGTATTTTGCAAACAGCTATGTCAATAAGGTATTTTTTTTTCTGATTTGATAAGGTTTCAGAAGGCAAGGAAAAAAAATAGTAGGGGGATATGAAAAAAAATCCTTGGTGTCAAAGTGGAAAAGAAGACAAAAGGGTTTTCTCTGATTACTGTTTAGTCCTGCCCAATCTGTATTCTAGCTACCCTTCTACTTTTCATGGATGTGAGGATGCAGGAGATTTAACACCAACTAACTAAGAGCAACCCTTAAAATCAAACCAAGGAACATGAATATTGAACTACCAGAGAGGGTTAAAAGGAAGGGGTGTCTCTACCGTCATTGTTATGATTTGTGTCTGGAGGTCCCCCAAAAACCTCCTGTGGTCATGGGAGGTGGGCTTTTCAGAGGTGGCTGAAGCTAGAGTTTGTGACTGGTTCATTGTCTAGAGCTGGGAATGGCAGTGTGAGTGCTGTACCTGCCCCTGCCCCGGGAGAGAGGGAAAAACGGCTCCCTCCTCCCTTCCGCCCCCTTCTGCTCTTGTTGCTTTTGCTGATGAACTGTTGCCCCTGTGCCATGCCTCCCTGCCTTGGAGCCAGCTGATTGTGGACTGAAACCTCTACAATCTGTAAGCTAAATAAACCCTTCTCAGCAATGAGAGAAAAGTAACTAAGACAATCATCATATAAAGACACTAATTCTATAACATTTGAAATGTATACTCATGAAAGGCATATAGACACATGTTTGTGTATATATACATGTTTACATGCTTGCATGGTACACAGCAAATGTATGCACAAAATGGTAGAGGAGATGGATGTCAGAGGGATTTCTGTATCTACTCTGCTACTGTAAGTCTACTAAATACAGTACAGTAGACTGTCATGCTGAAGTCAAACTTGGACTATGTGATTATTTTAAGTTCATATTATATACTGCAGTATGCCCTGATTAAATATGTTAATGTTTTGGAAAACATTTCCTGTTCAGTGTTTTTTTTTTTTTTTAAATTTCCAAGAGCAATAAAGAGTGACAAGACCTCTTATAGGTCAGTAACTTTTCACTACTGTTCTCACGCAGGAGAACAGCCCAATGCCAATCTGTGTGCAATGGCAAGAGTCAGAGGTCAAAGTGGTGGGTTTCCCACACAGCCAGCAGCTCTTGGCCTCAGTCTCTCTTTTCTGTCTAGCTTTTGTCCCCTTCTTTGTGTGGCTTTATGGACGTGCCTTCTATTCATGCACAGGGAAAAGGGGGGACGATGCGGTGGGATCATGGGAAGGTGGTAGGAATATGAGCGAGGAAAGAAATAGTAAGTGCTCCTCAGGCAGAGGTTCTTACAAGCAGGGGTTCTTGTAGGAAAGGGAGTCTCCTTACTGTCATCTAAAAAGTCTTCCTCCTCATCCTCCTTCCTCAGCCTCCTCTTGGTCTCCTCGTCGTAAATGAGGCCCAGCAGGTTGGCCGGGCTCTCACTCTCCCCGTGGCACAGCTCATTCAGCCGCACGCCGATTGCCTACCACAAAGGAAAGGAAGGAAACAGTGCAAATCTGTGAGACTCGGGAATGGCTCGTGCATGCATTGCACAGGGCATCAGTGACCAAGGAGGAGGTGTTTCCGCCTTCTGCTGATATCAACCTCCTCCGCACGCAGTTGTTTTTAATAAAGGATTTGACTGCAGTAGAAACGAGATAGCAAAGATCCTCAGTGTGCCTCTCACTGAGCTATTTTAGGAGAATGTCAGTGTCATGTTAATGAGTGTGTAATGAGCTCGCAGTACAATAATTCTGGTATTGCAATTTTATTTATATCTGCTATTATGCACCGACCTATTGGCTTTTATAGACTTTGTTCCTCCTTTTATGATATACTCTCTGAGTTAGTAAAAAAATGCAAATTTGCAGAAAAATTACATTAGGGATATGACTTAATAACTCAGCAGGTTGACCACGAGACTTTCACACAGACCTCATAAAATCCGTGCTGTTCTTCTGAGTCATCAGGCATGGTTGTGTGATTCAGCAAAAGGAATTTTCCCAAAGAAGAGACAAAAGACACTATCGCTATGTAGTTAATTTAATACCCCGGTTATGCAGTGCATGCAAAAATAGAAGAGACATTGACTGGAGAGGAGAGTCAGGGAAAAGCTGAACTGAGCACTGAACATGGGGTTCAACCATTTGGCTTTCTATGCATTAGTGAGAACAAATTCCAGGAGGCTTCCTTCTTTGCTCCTGTGTCACACTTTTTTTTTAAATACTTAGAAAAGTTACTAGGTCTGGGGCGAGCATGAAATTAGATTTAGTACTGGAAACCAGCACACGTCTGCTATTGGATACACAAAATACAATCAGAACTCTTAAGAAAAACCTAAGTTTCTTTCTAAAAAATATTTTATAGTTCTGCAAACAAAATTTATAGTCTCTTTAAATGCTGGAATTAAGTAATAAGGTGCAAACCAGGAAGCTAAAAAAATACATCAACAAGAAAGTAGCATAAAAAAGATGTCACAACTAGGGATTTAGCTCAGTGGCATAAGCACCTGCCTGGCAAGCGTGAGGTCACAAGTTTGATCCCTGATACCAAAAACAAAACAAAAAAAGGCCACAGAGACCCTAAGATATTATCTGCTAACTTGAGAAGTTTTAAGAAAACAGAACAAAATAGAAAAATGAAACCACCACTACTACCACAAAAGCCTAGTCCTGTGTTTGGAGTGATCAAAAACAAAAACAAAAACAACAACAACAACAAAAACTGCATCTTAAGAGTCAAGGGAAATTTCCACATCGATCATTCTGGGTTATAGTAACCAAACAATTTAAACTAAATCCACAGCTCATACAGCTGAGTGTATTGTCAAATATGAACTTATAGTGTTGAAAAAAAATTCAAACCTCTCATCTCATCTAGGGCTAGACAAATGCCTTTGAGATGTTCCTCTTTTCTTCCTTCCTTCATCAAATATCTACAAGTAAGGTTTATTTGTAAGGTGTTACACAAAACACAAAGTTAAGTAAACTGTTATAGTACACAAGAACCTGTGTTTAATTAATGCTTCCTAGTAGATTGCAAATCCACATACAGAGGGTCACTGTTTGGCAAATAGAACAATAAAGAGGTGAGAGATTTGCAGCTCTGCGGTCTGCAATTGCAGTTCAAGCCCAGTGTGTCTGGTGGTCTGTATTTTGTGATCTTTCTCTACTGGAAGGGTAACGACACCCCGAAATGACACATTAAGAGACTGCAAACACTTCGTGAGTTTAGAAGCAATTAAATTCTGTTCACATGACCACAGAAAGTCTCGGTGCTGTAGACTTAGAGGAACTGGTGTCTGGCTGATGGAAAATGGAGAGCAGAAACTCAGGTGGAGGGCAATAAAAGACACATATTCAGGGAAAGGCACCCTGTGTTCAAGAAGGTCCTCTGAGGGGCGCGTGCTTTCCTGAGATGAGAGCAAGTCATGCCCTGGCCAGCAGAGGAAGTGGTTAGAACCGAGTGTCCATCGAGGGACATTGTGTTGGCTGCCTGACAATGCAGGGACAAGCCATGCAGCCTGCTTTCAAAAATGAATGCCACATCCTGCTGTTACTGAACACACCTTAGATGCCAAGGATCAAGATAAATATTTTTCAGATGCATTAGGTCATCTGACTTCATCATTCATAATCTTGGAATGCTTTGATCAAAGGTTGTAAAGTAGGTTACTGATGCCAGGCTAAATAATTTGAATTTTAACCCAAGGGGAAAGGGAGGGCATTGAAGCATTTTAATTATGCCAGAAACACATTCTGATTTGCACTTCAGCCTGTTTGCTCTGCCAGCAGTTTGGTGAATAAATTGGAGAGAGCAGGTCTGGAGGCTGGTAGATCAGATTGGAATGTCCTGTTTCAGATAAGCTGTGCCTTTGAGAGATCATCCCACGGGCAGTGTGGATCAGGTGAGGGCAGGCAGCGAGGAGGAGAAAAACACTGAGGAAAATACTTTCATTATTCAGACAGGAAGTCAGATCTGCCCCCACAGAATGCAGTGATGTGGGTGGGGTAGAACCAACAGGGGAAACAGGTTTGGAATATGCTCAAAAGCTGTGATATCAGAAGATGCTGGTATGATTAGTAGGAACAGAAAGCTCAGGGATAGCCGTAGGTTGTTTATTTGGGGAGAAGGGTTTTAATTTGGTCATATTGAATTTTTTTAATATAATTTTTATATAATTTTTTTGAATTTTTTAATATAATTAATTATATTAAGTAAAAAGCCTCCAAAATACAGTTGTAAATGCAGTTCTGGCATCTGAAAAGGGCTATGAGTAGAAAAATCTATGCCACTGATATAGAAAACGGTGAAAAACTCAGAAATAATATAGCCCAGGGGTACAATTTTAAGAGATTCCAGGGAATGTTTACATTTATCAGGAGGAAGCAGACAGGGGATCATGGGAGAAGGCAGAGGATTGTGGGAAGTGGCAGAGGACAGGCACAGAGATGCCCGAGGCTCCAGAGCATAAGGATGAAGGGCACAGAAAGATGAGGGCAGTCAGCAGTGTGTATGGCTTCTAGGAAATCAGAGGACACTGGTCATGAAAACATTTGCCTCAAAGAGCCCTTGAAAGGCTGAAACCCTGTAACACTCAGCACTGAATTCATGGTTTATCCTTCTTAGGGGAAGTCCATGGGCCTAGGAATAATGACTGTTACTTTAGAAAGACCACTCAGTAAAATACTACTAGAATGAAGTAGGTAATACAATGGAGTTCTTTAAATTGCTTTAGACAAAAAACAATGAAAATATCCTGAAAGGAAAATAAAGTTAAAAACCTGACAACTGGCCTAATTATCTGTCTTAGTGATTCCAAATTTCATTGTTCATTTTAAAAACGACTGCATAGTAGGTCTGTGTCATGGAAGACGGGAATGGAAGAGACAGAAAAGATGCAGAGTCCCAATTGACTGTGCTGAACTAGAAGGCTCAGTTGCTTGGGAGATTTTGGCAGTTCTGGAGGAAATGGATTGGATGGGCAGAGTGAAGGGCAGGTTTGTAGTTTTGCAGTGGTGTTATGGTTTGTGTCAAACGGTCTCCCCAAGTCTCATGCAATCATGGAAGCAGCTTAATCTAGTGTGTGACCGGTTCATTTTCTAGCATTTGGATTGGTGGTGTGAGTGCCACACCCACCCAGGGGTGGAGCCAGCATACAGTGCAGTGGCAGGAAGAAGGCATGTCTTCCTTTTTTGCAGTTCATGCTTTGCTGTTTGTGGTGGCCATGAACAGTTGCTTCAGCCATTGCCATTTTGCCTTGGAGCCAACTGAGTATGGACTGAAACCTCCAACCTATAAGAAATAAACCTTCCCTTACCTAACTTTAGGCATCAGGTGTTTTGTCTCAACAACAAGAGAAAAAAGTAAGACAAATGGATTATGCCCTTGTTGAGGACTCTTCATCTAAATGAGATGAAACAAACCAACTGTACGTGTCATGATAGAAAGGTGATCAAACATGATGAAGTACTAGAATTGGAATAACAGTATAAACAAAGAACAGGGATGATCAATTGAAGATTCTGAAGGTAAATAAAGATTTTTTATGTGTAAGAAGTATAAGAAGATTTTTTAAGGTACGAAGTATTGAAGTGAAACAATCTTACCTATTAATGGGAAAACGCTGTTCTTATTAAATTAAATTGATATTCATATCTATCTCTTTGTGCCTTTAATAGTTGAATAAGAGAGCGATTCAGACTTCATACATCCCGGCCATTTGTCCTCTTTAAGTAGAAGAATATGAAGGGGTGTATTGCCTTGGGAGACATCTGGAAATGTCTACATTTGTTATCCAATTGATTATTGTTATTACATTGAAGATTCAAATGAGACCGGGACTTCAGTTGTCTTTTTCCTTCAGGTCATAGGAAGCTCTGTGGAGACCTTTCACAGAGTGATAAATTATGTATATATAGCAAATACATTTGCAATTTATATTCTTATAATAAATCTCAAAGAGCATTGTTATGTGCTGTTTAATGTTATTAATAAGGAAATGGTTTAGCAAAACCTCTTCAGATGAAGGAACAGTAATGTTAGTTATTTATAACTGCTTGCCTTTTTTTTGCCTGAGGAGAAATAATTAAAGGAATCAAAACACCTCTCTTCTTAAATGAATTGTCAATTGAAGAAAATTTCCATAAAAGACTACATGTTCAAAACTAGCAGGTCTTTTGTGAAAATTAGACAGATTTTTTTCACCAGCAGAGGGCTGAATGGTATTAATATGGTTTTGTATAGAAAATAAAGAGGTTTAAGAGTAAGAACCACTCATTAACTGCTCTCTGTGGCTTGATGATCTAAATATTCCATATGATAGTTTTATTTTGATGGCAGCAAATTTGGTTCGGCGTAAGGCCTGAAACAGGATCCATGAAACTACGTCATTAGAAGCTATTCCTATTTTAGTAACAAAAACATGAACTGAAAGAAACAGTTTTGTAAGGATGGTTAGTGGGAAGCTTGGGGTGCCACTTGATTATCTCCTAACCAGAGGAGCGGCAGGTTGTGACATTCAGGATGAATGAGCCATGGATTGGGTGGGGTCAAAAGTCTGCAGGAGAGATTCTCAACAGTTGTTTGGAGGTAAAGTATAGAACCAAAGAATAACGCCCTTTCAGATTGCCTGTCCTACCTTTCCTGTAATCCCACTTTCACATTTCTGCCTTTACTATCATATTAGGGCGACTTAGCATCAAGTAGACATATGCTTCCTAAATTACCTAAAAGGTGTCACTGTAGAAAGATGTTCTTAGGAGTAGCTAGCCCTTCTCCTCACTCCCCATTCTCATCTTGATAATGTCTCTCCTCTCAACCCCATGTTTTGTCTACTGTAACATACGCTCCTGAGATTTTTTGTTAGTATAAGCATTCATGACATAAATTAAGGGCACGATTCATATCCACTAGGACAAGAGCTCTTTGTTGGAGCTCTTTATGGGAAGACATAGCCAAGGAAAACTTGCACAGAAAGAAAATGACATATTGCATTCTCACAAAGTAACAATGAGGTGTTGGATTGGCAATTAGCACAATTATTTTGAACATCTGGGGACAGGCTGGAATCCTAATAATATGTGATCTCTCAGTGGAGAAGGTAAAACCAGTCTTCCAGATTAGCAGAACAGGTGACAAAGTCATAATTTTTATTTAAAAATTTATACAACTTTACCTGTGCTCTCTGCCTTCCTTCCAATATTAGTGGCAAATATATTGGGTATGAATCTGTCCAGCTGGGTGCACTGAACAAATAATGTGGAAATCTGATGTCCACAATTTTATGTGTTATCCAGGGCCTTTTGATGTGTTGACTAACTTCCTTCTATAGCATTTTAACTTGTCAGTTATTCCAATCAGATGCTAAGATAATTCATGCTCATAGCCACAGTTTCAGTGCAGGGAAGGACAATACAAGCTTAGGTTCAGTATTTTCATTTCTAGCTTGATGAATCTTGCTTTCTAATTTATGAGAATTAAAATCAGGCAAGACAGAATGACAATGAACCTTTAGTAATGGATTTTCATTTCTTTTGATTCTATGGTGCTAAATGATCTATGTATCTCAAGACATGCCCTTTACTTACACTATTGGACTTAAAAAAAAAAAACACCTGTGCTAAATACTGTTAAATCTAAACAGGATAAAATGTAGAATTAAGTCTGGTGCAACTGTATCCTAATTTGGCTGATTTTTGAAAAATGGACATCACATGGGAGGAATCAGGTCTCCTCACATATATAATACACAACAGAAGCCCTGGGAAAGCCATGCTAAGTCCTGATCATTAGCATCAGGGATTCAATCTGACGGTCCGGAAACACTATCAGACACTTTATGTGTGTGTTTTTAAATATAGGATGTTTGTATAAGAAACAATTTCAAAGAATAGCAGTTAAAATGAGAAAGATTAGTGTGTTAATTTTAATAGAATGTACACATACTGGATCTAATTCATACCTTTTGAATGTGCTTTGGGATTTTGAAGATATAGGTAAAATTAGACAAAAAATACTTGCATAGACACATTCATAGGTACACTAGGTGAATTATTAAGGGAAATTAAGTGTTCGTTAAGAAAAGAAGAATAATTAGAAATCTCTATGAGCTTCTGTCTAAAATTAGCAGGAAAAACTCAAGGCTCTTGAACTCTTCTCATTCCTTACATTTTTTTTTTTTTGCCCTATAGTGAAGAAATTGGAATTAAAGCTTAAAGAAGACTCATTCATTTCTTATTTGTTCACTAATTCATAACCATACTTGCATAGAAGTTGGGTGTTTATGTGTGTGTACATGCATGTGTTTGTGTGTGTGGCTCATTTCTAAAGACTTTTAGGCAATTAAGAGTTGGCACATCAACAAAAGAGATAATTCTATTAGGGAACTGTAAAACATCATATCCTGGAAAGCATACATTAGAAGAGAAAACCAAAACAAGGGTACAAGTTTTTAATTATTATAAGAATAATTTTCACAAAGATGCTTTCAGTGAATACGAGGCTTTGGAATCCAGCCTGGACGATGGAATGTTGGCTCCTCCATCTCCTAAGCTATCTGAAGTCTGCAAGTCTCCTGATGTATATTAACTTATAAGTTTTTTAAAATGCAAAACAGAGATAGTAACATCTAACCTCAAAGACTTATCGGGAGAACAAAATGAGTTCTTCATTTTTCTCCAAACATTTCACTCAGTGCTCAGCACATACGAAGTACTCACTAAACAGTTCCCAAAACAAATGCAATTAAAAATAAATAAAGAAGACTGTCTAGGCCACTCGAGCGTCTAAGTTTTATAGTGGAAAGGAAAGGCTCACGTCTCCCCACTGGTAGAAGAGCTTGGCGGCGTTCCACTGCAGCTTCTGGTTGCGCTTGTTGCCCACGATGGGGGACCGTCCCCGGGACAGACCCTTCTTGGTGATGTTCACGTGGTGCCCTTTCATCCACTCGGGCCAGTTGCCGCGGTTGCAGCGGTGGACGAAACGGGCACATTCCAGAAACAAGGCAGCTCTGGCCACCACTGGGGCTTCCTGCGGGAGGTTGGCAAGGACAGAACGTGAGACTCGTGAAGAACAGGTTTAAGTCACCCCAGCGAGCACCACTAGGCACTTTTAGTTTATGGCAACCTCCATGTTTCAATTCCGCTCGGCTGTGTTTGCCACCCGGGTGTCAGCACAGGATGCGGAAAGCTGCAAAATGTGAAGCCACCAAGGCAAATCTGGACACAGAAGAAACAGATGCTTCAGGAAGGTTTCTGTGTTACTTTTGTCTTTTGCAAGGCATCCAGTAACTAGCTGCACCCTTCCATTTTGCAGATTTAGAGGTAACGGTGGTGTGTGACAGCAGAAGAACTTTGGTTATCACATAGGAAGATATCTGAGTCTAATTTTGACCTGGGTGAGTGAATATTCCATTTGTGGAACAAGTATTATTTTAATCAGCATGTGGTGATGTACCAAAAATGACAATTCATTATTATGAAAATTCATTCATTTCAAGGGGGTAAAATGCTGCCTGTTTATTCTGGCCAGTAAGGAAAGATTTTGATGAGTTAAACTTTCTTTTCTTTTCATTTTGTCATGAATAACAACAAAGCTGCTTACTAAACATGGTTTCAATTGAAAATGTTTCACAAAGAGGAAGTTATTTAATTGAAAAATGAGAAACAGGATATTTCTTTGGGGGTAATACAAATGTGGTTCCATCTTTTCATGTCAAGATGTGGTTGAAAAAATTAAAGAAGAAATCGCTTTTGGCTGATGACCAAAAACTGGTAAAAGAGAGATACTCTAATGAACTCTTTCAAGTCTAAGTAAATAGAAAAAGAAGAAATGTAAAGTTTCTCTAGAGAGTTAATGAGCCATAAGATACATATACATAAAGTATGAATATATATTATCACTTGTGCAAATTTTTGAAAAATGTATCTCAGTATTGATTATGTCAGGGTTACTTGAGATTGCTACAGGTTGCTCAAAAATAATAGCTCTTCAAATTGAAATAATTTCCACCATTTCAAGCAATCGTATTCTTAACAATGCATTGACCCATGATGTTAAAATGGGAATTATCAAATAGACAAAATTATGTGGCAATTAAGGTTTATAACTTATAACGTATTACAGTCCTGTGAGCTAAAAACAGTATTTTCATTTTGAGATTTTTAGAAAGGAAGTCCACTTTCTCTGCTACCACATAGGTGACAATGGTTACATGTAGGAACCAACCTCAGGTCTCTTTGACCCCCAAATCTATACAGGTTCTTCTTTGGTTCAATGTTGTCTTAAGTTATACTCATATAACCCTCAGTAAACCTGATTTCTAGGATGTAAGCAGATACTATTTTAAAATGGGATGTTGGTTCCACATAATACTAATTTTTAAAATATAGATACAGGATCACATTGCTTTCCTATTTAAAATCAACCTATTTCAAGTTCCATCTACCTCAATCACATAATTAGTAAATAAACTCAACGTAAGTGTTTGGTTCACCACTCTGCTCTCATCAAAACTGTGCTATAAATCAGTTATATCAAACTAGCTGCTGTTTCCCAAATAGGACATCCTGTACCTTTTCATTTTTAGAGTCTTTAAATTCCTTTTCTTCTACGACATTCCCACTTTTATGATTCAGTTGGTTACTTCCCCTGAGAAGCCTTCCTTACTTCCATTCCACTCCGCCCTCACTATGGCAGAGTTGGTTGCTTTGTACTTTCAAGTGTCCCCGTATCTCAAACACTGGATGATTCAAGAACATCAGCTCAATAAACATCTTTTCTTGATCCATGCCTTAAATTCCACCATCAGGAATTCCATTAAGAAGTATACTTATGTAAATATTTAACTTTATAAAGCATATTACACATAGTCACAGCACAAAAAGTTGATCTGTGTGGAAACACAGGATGTAAGGTGTGTACTGACTGTCACATGGCATCATTCACTCCCGAGGTACACAGCAATCAGGAATCAATCATCACCCGTGGGCGGGCGAGTCCCAGAACAAGTCTCAGGCTCAGTGAACTGCAATTGTAGAAAGTAAGATGATGCTCTTCACCGGAGTCATCAATGTTGTTCTAAGTGTCTACATTCTCTCATATTAAATATTTGTTTGACGACACACATCAGATATGCTTATCTGTGTCTGGGAAAGTTTGGAACATCTGTCTTTAAACACTAATGTCAGTCTGGAATGCAAGGCGAGTGACACAAATTTATTTTTAGCCTGTCATACTGTGACACATTTTCAATATAAAGCCATGCGAACCTAATGCCTTATGACAGGGAGACAGAAATTACACTGGTGTAGCATTCTGTCATGAAACTTGGCTCCTTGAAGATTACTTAGGTGACATGAACCAAGGCCTGCTGTGTGGGGTAGAAGATCTTTTCGCTGCCCGTAGTCTTAGGTGGCAGTTGAGGGGATGAGAGACATCAGATGAACACACATTCACACTGTGGTACGTGAGATTGTTCTGGAGGCTCAAGGCACTTTTTGAATGAAAGGCAATTTTAATTTACTGCATTCAAACATGTCTCATGACAAAACTCAGATATTACTGGTGTGTGGCTTTTAGCTTCGGGCACTGTAATCGAGGTTTGGAAATGGAGATGAGATCCATATGAAAAGAATTCCTATGATACAGCACAATGTTGACGGGATGAGTGGTTACTTTCTGATGAATTTGACCCCTACAAACAGCTAAACCCAGTGTCTCTTGGAAATGTGACTACATGAAGGCATGATAACTGGGTCCCTCAAATACTAACTTTTTATAATAATTTTCACGATCCTGGTGGACAAAAAGCAGGTGAGGGAATTCTATAATCAATGCAGCAGTGGATGATACCAATGTTTGGCACTGTACTTTGCATATCATTGTTGAGCTGTAGAGCTGAAGACACTACTGTGTGCTAGAAGATAACAAGAATTGGACTCACATGCATGCAGTAGCACTCAAGGCATCCTAATACTGTAACTGTCACTGTGGCTGAATTTTATTATGGAGAGAATTAGCTTGAGGAGCAGGCAACGGAAAAGCTTGAATAGAGAATGCTTCCCGGACATAAATGGAAGTCAGTTTTCCCTCATCTTCTGGAGTTTGCCTCTTACTGATCAGGGCAATCTGAAGGAGCAGTGAAAGAAGGAGGCAGGACCTGAGGGACGGGGATGGATTCGCATCACACAGACAACAGCACAAATGCAGAGAAAGGAAGCAGAAGGAAAGCTGCAGGACTGGAAGGAACCACAGAGTATCGGAGGCCTAGTCAGAAGTGAAATCTAAAAGCTCGACACCATTGCCGTAGCACAAAAACGCTGCTCACAGATCTGGGGGAAAAATAGTGGTGTTACAGGCAGCTGAGTTAGTTAGAAATCCTACAGGCAGTGAGACAGGGCTGGGGCCTCGAAGGAGCCAGTGCAGAAGCCCAGATACCCTGGCAACTGTGGGGGAGGCAGACACCTCCTGCTGGGGACCAGGCCTCAAGACAAAAGAGCAAGCAAAGGCATCCACATCCTGAAGACTGATATTCTAGATGGTACCCTATCACCCTGAGGAAGTCAGGAGTCACCATCCCAACCCCCTAGGGAAGAGTCATTGCTTTGTATTCATGCCCGCTTTCTATGTGACTTGTTTCCCCATTCATCCTCAATTTAATCAATTTTACCTGAATTATTAATCTTATTGGCTAACCATAGTTCTGTCCCACCTAATGCCCATCTGCCTTGTGAATTCCCAGTTTTCCCCACCTTGAACCTGTCTCACCACATTATTTTACTATAAGAAAGCCCATGGAAAGACAGACTCCTTAGCAACCCACTCAGGACCCTTTCTGTCTCTCTCAGACAGAAGCTTTCTTTCTCTCAATAAATACATTGTACTCTTAACCTTTATTGTTCCTACAATTCATTCTTCGATTTAGAGACTCTGTCTCCTACCGGACATAGGAGGTTGGGAGTTTCATTCCCCTGTATCAGAAGGAATATTACAATCTCTTTTTTTTTCCTTGTTAACCTGTCTGTCTAGATACTACCACGACACAAAATTGTTTCTATTCCCAATTTCATAGCCTACAGAGAAGCAAAAATAAATTTTAACTGAAAGGGAAAAGTTTAAGTTCAACCACATGAAATTTTAAAAGCATGAAGGTCGAAAATAGTCAAATGTCAGCAAATTTGTGTAGTTTACTTGCTCTCAAATAAGGAGTCTGCTACAAGGGTTACAGAATCAGCTAGTTAAAATGACAGAAGTCATTCTACAGTCTGGGTTTCTCCAACACTGCAACTGGAAAAGTGCAAGCATCTAACCACTTCCTTTGATTTCCTTTGCCATCTACCCCCAAATTTTGGAGGATGGCTGCGTATATTGAATGCTCCCTTTATGAAACAAGCCGTGGGCTGGGACACTGAGCCAAACAGCTGTGATTGCTTTGGTCTGTGGACCTAGCAAATACTGTTACCAAGATACAGTGTTTGATTGAAGTTTATAATTACACCCCATTGCTTTCCCTGCAGGACTGTATCTAAGCTTGTGATGTGAGGAGAAGCCTTAACTGATCTTGAAAACTCATACAATGCTGGATAAGAACTAATTGTTCTAAAAGACTACTCTCTCTGAGTCCCCGAGGAATTACATAACTTTTTATTGCCTTATAATAAAACCCTGTAAGCACTTGCTGGTGCAAGATACCTGTTTATTTAAAACCCGGAGAATAAGCAGCCACTGTGGGTCTTATCTGGTACAAAAACTGTCTTTGCTAGAGGGCATGTGCTTGCGAGTCAGTATTTATTGCTTAGCTTGTATTAAACTCTTTGCCTGACAGAGATCATTAAGGAACAGACTCCTGAGTTGACAGGCCTTCTCTGCCTGGCCCATTCCTAGGCTGCTGTGGGCAGGCTGGAGGCAGGCGCTATGCTTAGTGCACTGTGAGTTGTTTTAACACTTCTCAGGCTGTGCTAATATTTGGGGTATTTCCAGTACCAAACAAGATTTTCTGTTTCCAACAATGTGATGAATTAAATGCAAAG